ACTTTTAAAATGATATGTATACATTATGCACGCAGATTGCTTAAAACAGGCTTTAAAGATATTTTCCAACATACAAACTGTGTGATTTGATGATATATTTGGACTAAAAACATATTCAAACTAATCAATCTATCAAAAATTTGCTTTAATTCCCTCTTAAAACTTTGAATTCTCTGGAGATACCTATAACTATAAATAAACTGTTGTTAGATGCAATGTCTGTCACATTAGCTTTATTGTGGGAGGGTCCATTTTTAGAATGCATTTATCATTACTTACTGTACACATTTACCATACATATTGAGACCTAAGTAATTCTTAACTGTTTTCTGACAACTTCTTTTCCTGTCATTTAATTGCAGAGTCTTTTTTTACGTTGACACCCCTCAATGTTCCCAAAACCACCTAACCATTTGATCAAGAAATAACAACCGCTCCCTCCGTCAAGCTAGCACAAACTAAGCTAGCAGACAACAGTCGGGTTGCCGGTTAGTGTTACCCCCGATATATTTGCCCAGTGCTTGCCCCATGGGTGTTTTTCGGGTAATCCAGTATTTTTCTAGTAAGATTGAGTGTCTATACTTTCCATATATACCAAATTTGTCATATTGTTCGTAAGATTGGTTGTCTATACTATTCATATAAACCAAATTTGGCATACTTTTATGGGAAATAACCACCAGATAAATACTTTCAAACAATGTATCTTTAAAAAGTAACGTGTAAACTGATTAGCATCCATGATTGATTTTGGCCACATTACAGTATCTAAAACAAAATGCCCTTTTATGCTCATTTATTTAAGAACCTAAATAAGTGCAGATATCTTATAATTTGGTTATTGATTCTGTTACTATGCAGCAGTTTGGAGATCAGAGTTCACTCTTACAGTAACGAAAACCTGAAACCATTTATTATTTCATGAATGTATGACAGTTAAGGTTTCTCTTAAACATGCATTATGCAAGAGCTAAATCTGATTATTGCAAGTCTTAATTTAGGCTTCAGATGTTATAGAAATTATAAATTAGATCTTTATTTAAACAACAAGACCAAAATCAACTCTGTAGACCCACGGATGGCTCGGCTACAGCTCGGATTTAAATAGGATTTCACTAATTGATTAAATCAAATAAGGGGTAACCTGATGAAAATATGTCAGTTAGATCGAGGCTAAATGATAGAGTGTACTTAGCGAGGCCGCTGTAAAGCGTTTCGGTATGCCTTTGAAAACTTTACTTGATAATCGAGATATGTCAATCAAACGATCAGCGAAGGTGAAGACACAATTCGCTACCATTTCTAGGCAAATATTACAACGATGATAACTATGTTCAGAATAAAGTAATTTGACTGAATTTTTCAATATATTCTTCTTTCATCATCTACTTTTGAAATGTTATAGCAAGAATGGCCAACTCTCTATAAAAATCTCCCATAATGTATCTTTAATATCCCAGTAACATTTGTTTCATTTGGGTTTTTTTTGCTTAGTATACTGATTGATAATTTTACTAAATATATTATGTAATCTTAGCCTTGAACAGCAAATCATTAAAATGTTCTTCACACTAAATCTGAATTTTACCATTTCTTTAAGTTTGTGAAATCCTAAGACCCATATCTCAGTATCTTAAGAAAATATATGTAAGATTCCCTCTTTTCATTGACAGAGAGTTAAAGTTCCAATCACTGTTTTTAGTTCTAGTTTGACGGGTCTATCCTTAATAGTTTATTTTGATTGGAGGGTTTGGGTGGCCTGAGTAGTCTTAACACACTCAGTAGAGCATAAGTACTGTTATCTGTGCAAGTCAAGCTCAGACTTGAAGGTGACAAAAGTAGGATAACCTGCCAAAACCTATGTATTTTCTCCATCTTTTAAAAACCCATACAAGCAAGTTAATTGATGAAATAAAACTGACCACATTCACTATAAATACAGTTAAATTGTCCCAGAAGAAGGCCGTGCACTGAGATTCATGCAGGGTGAAACCAGAAAACACAAACAATAATGTACCTTATGTCAACAGGGTTTCTTTTTTATTTGACACACTACATGTAAGAAATAAATGAAACAAAATGAGGTTTAATGTATAACTTTTCTGCGTAAACTGGGCTATTGAAGACGGGAATATACCAAGCCATCTGTTATGAGGTAAAAATTTTCCAGGCAGCAGAATTATGGCCTACTCTTATTTTAATTTGAAACGGTTGCCAATTTTACAATTGTCCCATTGGAAAAACTAGATGTTATTCGTTGCCAGGCGCTCTGTCCTGCACCACTGGAACCAGACTAGAAAATCCTGGAGGGTTGAGCCCTGGACCCCCTGGTTCCCACTACGAAATAGCAACTGAACGTTAACTGTCCAGGATCCTTTTTGGAGCCTTCCATGTCTGTGAACTGACCACTCCCTGGTACATAAATATAAGGAATCAAGTCGAATAAGTAAAACCACATTACAAGACAATCTTCAAAAGCCAAACAAGGTTATTATTAATATGTAGAAAAAGACCCAGATATATGTAAGTACATGTATATGTATAGAACTACATAAAATAGAACAAAGTTTACTTTGATGGAAAACGAAATATTAGATTGTGTTTATCGCTTGAATTCTAGCAGACTTGTTGATTCAGCATATATCCTATACCTAACATCAAAAGCCATGGTGATGAGATTGTTATATATGTATGGAGTCATGGTGTTCTCTTCTGTAGTCTTGATTATTCAGTCTCTTAATAATCCTTCAAAATTCGGGTAAAAGTAAATGTGTTTCTGTGTCACATCAATAGAATCTTTTGCACATAAAAAAACCAAATTGTCTAACAATAATCTACCACAGTTTGCATCTAGTTTTTTCAATTTTATAACCTTCACAATTTAACAATCAAAACAAGAGTCTGGTTGAACATACCTATCTAATTTGCAGCTGGCTTTTTACCTACAAGATTCAATGTTAAAGAAACCCAACCTGTTAACATACATTTTGTAGTTCCAACATCAATCTATCAAATTGGCATAACTTTTATAATGTTTGTTGTAATGTAATATGTTCTATTAAAAAAGTTGGACCTTTTACGTTTTTCTTAAAATAAATGACACTGTTCAGAATCATGGACAATTTGTAAGTTAAAGAGGCGTGGTTCTTGAATTATGGTGTATTTTATTACAAAATTTGGATATAAATTACGGTGAACAAACAAAATGGTGAAATAACATGCACATCTAGGGCAGATACAGGATTTTAAAAAAAAAAGTGTGTGTTTAGAGGAGGGGGGGGGGGGGGCACCAAGTATGGGAGGCCTTTATTCACACTTTTTCACAGCAAAGTATAATTTGTTTTAAAACGGTTTGTGACATTCTTTTTTGCATATCATATATTTGCACAATATTGTGAGGTTGCTATCAGTGACATACATGTAGCTATGATTTCTCACTGATGGCTGGAAACATCTGTTTTATCCTAGAAAGAGACTGAAAGATGGTTTGTAGGTAATGGCCACATTTACAAGTGTTGTTAACAATGATTCTAGGATATAATCAAGTACAATAACTCTAAATAAGTATCATAATTTTTTGTAATTTTTATTCAATGCAATAATAGAATCATAAATTTCAAATAGATCAGATGGTGTCTTTTGCATGAAAAGTGTTCACAAGGTTCTACAGAGTGAGCAAGGACCACGATTCTTGAATTAAGGGAAACTGTTGAATTTAATGTTTCTTCATTTCATTAAAAATGCATTATGGAAGATTTAGATAAAGAGCTGACAGTTCTCGCTATAATAGTTAAAAACTAGATAATGAAAAGGGAATATGTTGAAAATTTTAGTCAAATTACTTAATTCTGGGCAGACTTATAGTCTTAATTGTCATTGCTACCATTGTTACAATAATAAACAAAGTCTCAGTTATTCATTTTTAAATTAAATCATTAACTGCCAATTGTATTCTAATCTGTTGAAAATCAAAACCATCCAAAGTTCTAGAAAGTTGAATATGGGCCTGGCATGTCAATAAATGTCTAATTGTATATTGTATTAGCTTGATAACATTGAGAGAATGCTCTTTGAAAGGTCACCCAAATAAATAAGTAGCTGTTTTTCCATAAGTATGTCTTTTTGTGTGTTGTATATTTGGAGTTAAAGTTTTACCATTGAAGGGAACTATGCATGTAAAAGTATCTTTAAAAGTAATTCTCCACAGTTAACTTAAGTGATTTAAGAAATTAATATTATTCTTAGTTTCTGTACCTGTATAACCTTCTAATTATTTGCATGGCCCATGAAAACAGGACAAACAAGTACATGTACCAAACTGATTAATGGACCCAGAGCAATTATTGTCACCCATACAAGTACATCACTTTTTACAGTACTTTCCATGGTGGATATAATAGAACATGTGACACCACTTATCAGTTATTTGAGAAGTCCACAGCAAAACCACTTTGTTGTATTTATGTATTGCAACTGTGTAATGGATGCCAAAAGAAACCATGATCATAATATAAGCATGCTAAACCACACCAAAAAATCAATAATATAAAATGATTTTACAAGTTAAAAAACATGCAAGTGACATTCATGACATCCACAGTAGACTCCGCGTTCCAACGGTATTATGAACGTGCGGCTCAGCTATAAACAATGACTGCTCCCTAATTCGCTGCTACTGTTTTACTGTTTCGGCCATTGCCGGCGTACATTACATTCGATGAGATATATCTTATTTACTATTAATTACTGTTTATAATGCACGGTATAAATAAAAAAAAATATACTCTGTATCGAAACGGCAATAAAACTGCACTTTACAGTGGGGTACATTACAGGACTAACTTAGACGGGATACTTGAAGTTTAACAGGAGATATTGATTCCCGGTATATTATCAATATCGATACTAGTTAGCGGGAAATGGACATTCCAGTTTTGAATGTTATTTGGGGAATAATTCGTCGAGTTATACTTATTCTATAAAACATGCCATTTACTCACCGCATATGCGCTCTGTGATAAACTCGAAGCAAGAATCACAAATACACTAAGAATTAACCTGAAATTTTAACAAATAAGGAAAGTTAGAGATACGAAATTATTGTAAAATGTATTTTACATGATAAATCATCAATTTTGCCCATCCTCAGATTAGAAAAATATAGAAATTTGTACTTACCATGCGGGCATGGTTCGCGACTTGGAAGTCGATCGTAAACACTTTTGACTACAGTTCTTCTTAGAGCACTGTTCGCTGGCCAAATTGCCAGTATTAAAATCACTAAAACTCATCTAACAAAATAAAACGGCGAGTCAAAACTCCAACCGTAACTTTCCCTGCTAGGATAGTCCCTAGCAATTATGGAAAATCCCTTTTCTGAGTCTAAATAAATTACAAGGATTCACAAAGCGTTCATCGCTCAGTTCTTTCGCAGGATTCTCCTCTCACCATGGGTAAGAATCTGTAGACCTTACACCAAGATTTGGAATGGTGGGCGGAGCGTAGTTCTTCTCCCACGCCAATCAAAGAGTATAGAGAATTTCACATTACTCAGTTCCTGTATATTGGGGAAATAACTACACAGCGCATTCCTAAGATAAACACCCAATTTTAATTTTAATCCCAGGCATAATCTTTGCTTTATATACAACCATTATTTATTAATTGGCCCGTTGTCTTAACAAGGGGTCATTGTTTGCGCAAACACTACAGATGCAGTATTTCCTTTTGAGGTGGCAATCGTCTTCCCGCTTGTCGTAAGACAACATCATTGATAAGTTTAATTGAAACCATTTGTGTGGATTTTGTGTGATTAAACCATTAATTTATTGGGACTCGGTGGAAAAGACAGCCTATTTTCTGAAATAAGTAATCTTAGAACACTCCTAGATTATTTTTTAAATATATAAAACTGAAAGACAGAATTGGAAGTTCAGCCACCATTTACCCGCAAAAACCATATTGATTGACACGTGTTCTGTCAAATTTAGTATGCACGTGGGACGGAGAACTACTTCAGGGCGGAACTAAGCTTCCGCTGAAGAAAGTTAGTTCATCTGAAATATATTTTTATATTGGAAATTGAACCGAATTCCTTAACTTGAATTTAGAAAGTTTGAATTGCAGGAAATATCTTAGATTTTCCTTCCGACGAAATATTTTCTGGGTGAGTTTTTCCTCGACCCACATATTTCTCGGTTGGAAAATAGTACCTTTGTTTTACCGTCTGCTGTGGAACTTGGAACTATAGGCAAAGTGCTCGTGCTTCGAAATCTCTAAAACAAGATGGTGGATGGTTCTTGTTAGGTACCATCTAGTAGGTTAGAACGAAGCAAAACTTTAACTTTTCCTCAGGAATATGTGGTGATAGTGTTGACAAGAAAGATAGCCGTTTTAAAAAACCTTTACCTAATTTATTTGTAACGGCATGAAGCCGCGGGGGAAGAGCCAATACCAATTGGCCGTAATATTAGTGATCTTCATATCGGAATACTTGAATCCAGCATCAGGAGCCGTAAGTATTTTCTCATAGACACAACTCTCTCTTTTTAACAAATATTAATTTTTCTAACGTTCTTTTGCGATGGAACTATTTTGGTTGAGCTTGAAGCATCAAAAACTTTCATAGAACTTTTAATGCCACAAGTTCTGTATACGCGCTGTAAGAGGAATTGGTGCCCTTCCCGCAAGAAAACTGAGATGAACAGCAAGTATTTACAGAAAAATAAAAGAAATTATATTATTTTTATGTTAAATTGAACATTCTTTTCATACACCAAAAATAAAATAAAAACGAGTTTTATATAGGAAAAAAATCTTTAGACCTAGGCTACGTTAAAATAATTAGTTTAAAGATATATTTTGTGGCAGATTATTTGACAAATATTCGTTTATAATTTACGGTTTAAAATATTGATTTCCATCCAAATTTATAAAAGAATACAAGTACGTTAGATTTACATGTACAAGAATGTTATTTTTGCGCATGGACCGTTTTTAAATTATATGGATAGTCTTTAATCACTTCAATTTCGCATAAGGGATTTAGCAGATATTTCCAAATATTTTAAGGGTTAATTTAAGATATTAATTAAGATATAAGTTTTATTTGACAGGGAAATAATAAGATATACCGCCGTTGTGGCGAGAGTAGAATGAAATGTAAAATCAAAGGTGTATGTAGGAATTTAATGTAGGCCTGCATGTATATTGGCTTCATCGTTAACCGCGATTCTGAACGATCAGGGAGCATTCATTATTTTAGGCTAGCGGTTAGTCTATGAACGCGAATGCCTTCTGCCAGGGATGGTGGTGGAAATTGAAGTTGCTAAAATTTGTCTGGATTTTGATTAATATGTTTTTTGAAAAGCAGATTTTACCATTTTGTGAATATTCGAATTATTGTTTTATGGTCTTTGAATATAGATACATGTAGGCCCTGTTTTGGTGGAATTTCATAATAAAAAAAAAAGGTTGGAGCAGGTCAAGGTGGAGCATGATGCCTAACAGTTGTTTCAAAAACTCCATTCCATTAGTTTATACATGTACCTGAACAGACTAACATACCTTGGTTTTAAAATCCACACTGCCAGTGCCTCTCTTACCATAGGTCATGTTTGGTTTTTTTAAATTAATTACCCCACAAGCAGCAAGTGGCTACTGAAAATGTCAGAGGAGTTTATGTTTGTGACCAGTAGGAGCCGGAATGCAATTGTAGTTTTTACATTTACTAAAATATATATAAATAGACATACAAATAAGTTGCATTTGTAACCTAAATATGAAAAATCAGAACAACACATAGGCCAGCACAGCACAGGGTCGACATAAAATGTTCCACACATTGTAAAATGAACAGACTCAACATACATGACCTAAACTGTGTGCATGTACATTGTATGGATACTGTTCTTACTGGACAGTTTGATGCAATAAATCTTATCTTATTTAAAAATAATTTCATCCTAAAAAATTTCAAATCATTCATGTATTACTTATGGCCATTTAAAGCTAACATTATTTTGTACTGATTCGCTGCCGCATCTTAATATTATGTCTTACATGAATAAAGTAATAATATTCCTGAAATGTTTTCGTACAAGCCCGCCCATTTTTCATGGAAGTTTTTGGTTTTAAAACTTGAATGTGCTTAGTTATATAATAACAATCTTTATTTTAATAAAGTAGGCCTACTTATTTATGTCTTTTAAGATACATATGAATGATCTAGCTTATTGTGCCTTTAATCTGAAAGTAAATAATAAAGAGATGTGGTAGTGATAAAGAAGTGTGATAGTGATAAATAGGTGTGGTAGTGAACATCTTAATTTACTAAATAGTGATAGATTCTTGAGATCAGAGTTTGAAGGTCACATTGCTTCAGGTAGATTATTGAAATACACAAACAAATATATCTATGATGAATTACATAATATTGTACATAGGATTATATTTATTATTGTAGGCATGTCCAGGATGTACAACATCACAATGTATATGCAAAGGCCAGAAAGGACCCACGGTAAGTCATTTCTAAACACTTATGGCATGTCAACTGTGCTTGCTTTGATCAAGTTTTAAACAAGCAATTAATGTAATATGTGTACTATACCATATCTCGGTGGAATATAGATAATATACCAAGCTCAAATTAATTAAATTTAACTACATGTAATTGTCAAAGATGCATAACTGATAATAACTGATAATTTTATTTATGAAATTTGTAGGGAGAAGGAGGTTTACCTGGTTTAAGAGGACCTGAAGGCCTACCTGGATTTCCTGGACCCGAGGGACCTCAAGGACCCAGGGGATTCAAAGGAGATTATGGCAAGGAAGGAAGATTAGGATCAAAGGGATACAGAGTAAGTAATCTTTATACAGTCCTATTCCAATATCTTAAAGATTTTTAGAAAGATTTCTACTGGCACTGCATCAAAGGTAATCAGACTGCTGTCAATGCGTCCTTGCTACTGTAGCCAGTATGCCAGTGCCATAGACCATTATTAAAATCAGACTTTCTTTGAGTTATAAGTTGAAATGCTTATAAATGTTATGAAATATCTGAGTTAAATGGTTGATTGCAATAACTATTAAAGACAATTCCCAAATAACCTAAGATAGTCTTTTTCTGACTGTATATTGCCAAAACCTGTGTTGTACATGTATATGTAGACTCTAGATTTTTAATAAGAAGCTGATGTCTAACATGGGAGTAAAACGTGAAATCTTTATTAAAGACACATACATGTACATGTATATGTAGGTGTACTTGATAACTTTCATCTTACAATACATTTTCATTCTACACCTAACAATGGGAATGCAACTCAATCTAAAATTTCTTTGGTGTATTTAAGTTCCAAACCAATTAATCATTGCCTGATAAGAAAATAGATGAACACTTACAAAATTCTATATTTTCATGCGATGTTGTTATTCTAATATCTATTATGACCAGAAAGAATTTTAAAAGTTTAACTATTTATGTTAATAACTAAAAGATGTTTAATTGGAAAGTTTGTCTGAATATTGAGAGCGTCACTCACAACTTAGAGATATTGAGTGTACTGTAAATCTACAATGCATGTCATGAACTTTCAGGTTGAAAAAATCAGTGTACATGTAGGTTTCAAGTATCAAGGAAGCGCTTTTTACAAAATATTCTAAGTCCGGTGTGGAGTTGACTGTGAATCAGACATTATGCATTAAGTGCTTGTAAACTATGAATATGTGAATAACTTGCAGACGGGGAGATAAGTGCTAATTGCAAACATGACGCGATTGTTTATTATGCAACTTCCAGGGACGCGATCATTGCCCCATATATATAGTGTCTTAATGACTTGCATGTACACATACAGTGCTTCTTTTTTTTTAAAAAAAAGAAAAAATATCCCCATATGTTGAAACAATAAAAAAAAAACATGATGTAATGGACAAGAAAAAATCGTAATAGAACCTGTGCCTCTAGAATTAAACGTAACGCTAACCTTTTGCCGATATTATAAGAGTTTCTTTTTGAAAAACTCAGGAAATTTTACAGAGCTGTTTCATTATGAGTCAAATAGAGCTCCACCCACTATCAACAGACATCAGACATGCCATGTTCACATGGCAGAGTCTGGGAACTATGTGGGTGTATGAGGTGCATAATATTAGAGAAATGTCTGGGAAATTCTTTGACTGTCCTTAAAAAGATACAATACTAGGAAATAGCATTTTTATGAGTGTACATATACATGAAAATTATGGATGGTTCTGTTTTAAAAATTATTATTTCCTGAACATTTTAAAGTTATTACTAATACTAAGTATACAATAGATTATATTAGAAAATAGTTGACATAAGTGATTTTGAATAAGCTAAGATGTTTTCTGCAGAAATTATATGCCTACAGTGCTCTTTCTATTAAGGGGGAACAGTGTGGTCAAGGAGTAAATAACTGGCCCCAAGATTAAAATGCCCCAGGTTCAAATTCCCACTTTAGCCTAAAATAATCTTCACAAGGAATGTGTGCTTATTTGTTTGGATGGGTAAAAAAAGTAAAGTCCACTGGTGTACAGAGTTTATTGCACGTTAAAGAACCCTTGACAGTTGGCATCTGACGAAGAGTGGGCTGAAAAGCTACTGCCTGGACAAAATTCACCACCCTTGCATTACACATGTAGTAATCATTGAAATGAAAATTACCATGTGTTAGTTTCAAAATGAGTGAAGTATTTTGTTGACAAGACGTTAAACCCTACATTGTACATCATTCCATTCTCTATAGTCAGCAGCTTTTCTTTTCACTGACACTGGTTCACTTCTGGTACTGGAACTCCATCTGCTAAACTCATTGATGATATTTACAAGGCCAAGCATAAAACATCAGTAGTTTCAGGTTCTGGAATAAAAGCAGAACTGTTGCTGCCATTCATTAATTTAAAACAAACAATTTTTTAAACTTGAAAATTTGTCTGTTAGGAACAACAGTAATACAATATGCATTACGTTGTAAAGGTAGTAAATGACTGACAAGAATCAGTCATACTTATTTTTATACACCCACAGGTTATAAGTAAGTCAGTCTGATAACATGCAATTCTTGTTTATAATTAACATTGGATCATTTTGAAAATTTGATGTCTCACTAAAACAAGGAAAGTTATTGACTTTTAATGATTTCAAACAAGTTACTTTCACTTTTTCTGTCTCGATTATGGATTTAATTTAGGAAGAAAACTATTCATTTTCAGTAATTATATCCAGAGCTTCATCCCTGGATAAAGAAACCTCTGGGTGTCACAATTATAAGCACAGTTTTTAATACAAAATCTTTTTGTAATTGAGCTGGAGGAACTCTACAATGTTTTAACCACTAAGTCTCTCAATTCTAACCCAAGCCACAGCCCTGCCTTAACTGTCAGTCATACACCAGTTAACACATATTTAACCTCTCTGACCAAAAATGTCCAGATACCACTGGAGGAGAATCAGAAGACAGTAAATCATCTGATATTGACCTAATATGTGCAAATAACATTACATACAAAAACAGGTCATGAAATTTTAAGCAGCATTCTGTTTACATGTATTTCTATAAATGATGACTGTCTATTTAAGAAAGATAGTACTTTGTTAATTCAAGACATGAAACATTCCTGTTACCTTTTAAGCCTTGATTATTTCCTGCAGTTTACAATACACCACTGTTTATTTTGAGAGGGGAGGAAATAGTTTACAATTAACTTAGTATAACTTTTCCCCTCAGTTTCTTTTATGGCTATCAGTCTGCACATCTTTAATTCACATAAATACCACCCATCCATGCTGTCTAACTATTACTGAATGCACACTCAGTAATATATCTGACAAGCTTTCTTATTTGAATAATGACTAATTTGTATAGTTCATTAACAATAGTGACAATGTAAGTACATGTATTTGAATATATTCTCAAGAAATTGAAAAGAACTGGCTGAATTTGTGGTTTTCTTTAAATAATGCCCTGTCAATTATTTAACATATTTGTGCAACTGCTCTTGCGATATTTCTCACAGAATAAAAGTAAGGTCATATTGAATAAAATGTTCCTAGGTTGAACTAAGTTGATGCATTCTAAAAAAAAATATTCTCTTTTCCTCTTAATGGAGAATTTATGATGTATTTACAAACTGAAACTATTAAACTTCAACTTAATATTCACAAGTACATGTGCCTACATCTCATCATTAAATACCAGTTAGATTTAAAGTCACACATGTGTGATGTGTGATGACAGATTTATTTCAGCTACATGTACTGTGATAAATGTTTGAGATAAGCATTTACACCATGATACAGCCCTGAATGATGCATGTCGTTTAACTTTTTGGAATGGTAATTCCTTAGTACACTGATTTATTAAAACCCTTATAGAAGTATTGCTTCCTGTTTCTATTATACATGGCCAGTTTCATATTTGAAAGTTGGAATAATAGTAGCATTATACAAAGGAGAAACGTTAGCTTCAAACTAGCTCCAAACCCGGTCAGAATGTTCCCATGGCAATTATGTCAAAGTGTTAGCATTCAGAAGCTGTAAGAGCTTGCGAAGATTATATTTGGTTTAAGAAAACGCTTTTTCAATTGATACATCAGCTGTTTGTGAATGAAGTTGCAGAAAAGCTGTGTCAGAATCAGATTGAACTTAGTAGTTTCAGTGGAAACAGCATTCTAATTCTGTTATTCACTGTTTATAGAACATTACATTGTAATTCTCACTATTTGTTATATTCAGGGGGATGATGGTTTACCTGGATTTACTGGTGTACCTGGTGTTCCTGTAAGTATTAATAAATAAATGTATACAAAATATTTATTATGTAGAAGATCTATAGGATTTTGTACTACTGTATGACTGATATTTTTATTTTAAGTCAATTTTAGTGTTGATGGTTTTGTTTAACAACTTATCACTGTACAGTTTACACTATTATATAATAATGTCTTTCTCATCATAATATATGGTTTATTGATGTTATTATTGTAGGGTCAGATTGGATTGGAAGGACCAGTTGGACCAAAAGGTTATCCAGGTTGTAATGGAACAAAGGTCAGTGGACATTAAAATGTAACAGTTTCTACCATAGACTACATACTGGAATGAATCATTAGTAATTAGAGTCAATGATTAAATTCCAAGGGGAGGGTCTGTGGCCACTGACCAGTTACTAATTGGTCAAAGAAATTTGACAGAGTTTATAAGAGATATAGAGTGGGTGTTATCCTTATCAGCTGTTGTGAGGGTAATGTGATCTGTGACATTGATGTGTTGTACAGACACCCTACTGATTTCACAATAATCCTTATCTTATTATCACTTTTAACTAATTTCACATCTATTTATTACACAATGGCCAGCTTCTAAATTGTGTTGGTGTTATATTAAAGCCCCATGACTACTGTGTGAGCTTCAAATGTTACCTTCTATTGTTTTTTTGAACTGAAAAGTATTCAACTGAGTAAGACAGTTCATCCAACATACAATTTCAGACTGAAACAATATACCAAATTTTAATACACCACAAATTCAATTTCTTGATATGAAATGGAAGAAATGGTTAAAAATGACGGCTATATAAATGTGTATACATGTAAATAATATTTTCTTGTATTCCAGGGAGAAAGGGGTTTTCCCGGACAATCTGGTCTTCCTGGTCAGCCAGGTTTCAGAGGTAGAGGAGGTTTGCCAGGATTGAAGGTAAGTTATACATTTAGTTATTAGAATACACATTAATTTTGTATTAAGTTCCTTTTTCTGATTAGATCAGTAATGTGTAATTACTACTATTTTTTTAACATCATATTACCCATTATACTCTTTATTCCTTATGCTGTGACATTCAAATTGTCCAATTTACATAGATTTATCTATAGATTCTTTCTGATATATTCTGTGTGTTTGTACAAGTCCCTATAATATGTTGCAGTTAATCTACCTGTAATATATCATTGTTATATTCACACGCCAAAAGAATATGGTTAATTTCATATTTCTACAATCTGTTTGGTTTCGTTCATCCAAACCTCGATTGGCAGAAAGTTTCAATTTTAAATGTTCAAATTAATTAGTTGCTAAAGTATTGCCATTTAAAAACCTATTTTGAAATACTGGTGGACTAGTCTAAAAGGTTGTTTTTTTCATCACTTGATTGCATTTTTTCTGTAAAATATTTATTTTGGTTTGTTTAGGGTGAACCTGGTCTTTTAGGTGGTGTTGGTTTAGGAGGAGAAGGTGAACCTGGTGAATCAGGTTTAGATGGAGTGCCTGTAAGTAATTATTTATTCTAATCTTACTAAATTATGACATTATTGCTACATTACAATATGATTACATTGATAGTTCATGTTGAAAACTATAATTAACCTTGATTATTTACATATTTAATGGCGTTCCCCCGTCTTTTCATCCATCAGTCAGTTGGTCTGACTATCCACATTTGCTAGGATGACTTACAGTCAACATTTTTCATCTGATTTTAGTCAAAATTGTAATGGAGTTTTAAATGGTCAGCCATATTCATAGTCAAAATTTCTACATACATCAAGAACAATCAACCAATAGCAATGACTTTTACGTCAAGTTTACACATACAATTACTTTTGTTCTGTAGAACATGAGGCATAATAATAATAATAATAATAATTCATTTATTCATATGTAAATAAGTACACTTACAAAGATTCAAAAATAAATATATAAATATATATACATTTACAGTGAACAGTAGTCATACGATCATTATTCTGTACACAGAAAGTTTATAATTTCATTAATATTATTTACATCTTGGTTTTCGTGATATTAGCTATCTCACATCAATGTAAAGTCTCTGATACAACCAGGTATATTGTCATACGTTATCTATGAGATCTTGGATAAATTTAAATGAGATTCATCAATATTTTGTTCACTTATTGCCTTTTTATTCACAGCATGAACCAGCATCACTCACAAACATATACCTGCTATATTAGGTGTGATTTCATCAATTATGCCATTGACTTAAAAAAATTACATTTCTCAATCCTCTGTACTACAGTGTGATATATGGAACTGGCTTGATGGTTGTCATTTGTGTAACCTCTTGATGAGCATATTTGCCATGTCATCTTCTTGTCATTTTCTGATGATTATTTAGCATGACATTTTAATTTTATAAATAAATAAGATTGTGTAAAATAATTGATTACAATGATTTTAATCCTTTTTTTGCAGGGACGACCTGGTCTACCTGGCTTCAGAGGAGAAGAGGGTTACCCGGGTCCTACTGGAGATATTGTAAGTAAAGTGTTTCACTTTGAAAACAGTGCTATATTATTTTCTGTCACAGATTACCCGGTAATTTTAAAAGAACGTCTACAGTAATAAATAGCGTTGTGGTCACAGTATTTATTTTTACAAGATATCTATTTCATATTTTAGGGTCCAGGCGGTGAGAAGGGCAGGGTTGGTGACAAAGGTAGTAGAGGAAGTCCAAATATGGGTTCTAAAGGTTCTAAGGTATGTTGTTTCATTTTAAACTTACGAATTTACTGTAAAGTAGTTTTATGGTTAAATTGGAAATTTGATAAAATATTTCTAGTTTAAAAAATTGATTTTGTGATATTCTAGGGAGAAGCTGGTCAAAAAGGAGATGCAGGAAATCAGCCTGTTGTTAGTCAGCCACCAATAGGCATTAGAGAAGGTTTACCAGGAGATAAAGGTATCAAAGGAGAAGGAGGAATGGGTGGAGGAAGAGGAGCAGAAGGTTTCCCAGGAATGCCTGTGAGTAGGATAACATAATTATATAACAACTAAAGGTTAAATTATTGAATCCAAGAGATTCAGTAGCCAGATCTTGGAATACTAAAGCTAAGTACGTTAGATTGAAGTGGTTTATTTTTTTATGATCAGAAACTTGTAAAATTGTATGACCTCTACCAAAGATGGTCAAATTTTGATCAACTGAAGGTAAAACTATATTCTTGTCATACGTATAAACTTGTTATTTAGGGTATTCGAGGTTTACCTGGTCCTAAAGCTGTGAAAGGAGATGCTGGTAATTCTGGACGACGTGTAAGTTGACATTTTATCTTACTTGAAACAGATTTATTGTTTTTATTTATGTGATTAGTAACTTTTAGCAGTAAGAAAGTTATTGAAATTTGAAGCAATTATTTTGAGCTTTGTTGTTCAAGAAATATACTTGTTAATAATATTCCTTGGGCTGAAATGCTGATTAAGATATTAAAGTGATATTTTAATATTTGAATTTGCCCCATGATTATTAATCCAATACTATTTTAGGGTAAACGTGGTAAAGAGGGTGTACCTGGAGCATACGGATTAAAGGGGTCCACAGGAGACAAAGGTCTGCCTGGGTTAAATGGTATTGATGGACCTAAGGTAAATACTCATTGCATAGAAAATTTGATGGTGCTATTCCAGCAGTATACTTACAAACAGCTTTGTTCTTTTGATTATGTGATTCATTGGTTTACTCTTATTTACCCATTAAATAATTTAGGCTATATTGCAACATTTTAAAAATAAGTTTATTTAAGTTTTACAAATTGATACCATTACATATTAAAAATATTGAAATTGAATACATCAGTAATTATAGAGATATCTCAGATGTATGGTGATACATATTTAGTACAGTACTTAATTTGATCTTTTAAATGTAATTTAGGGTATGCTTGGTGACGGTGGTTACACTGGACGACAGGGATCCCAAGGACCTCCAGTAAGTATATAAGCTGGTGTGCTTTTATTTTAAATCTCAAGAGATTTGATTTTTAGTCTTCTTTCTGTACTCAAATCTAGTAATTCCACAACTTTTTTATGATTCTATATTATTTCATTTATAATGCTGTACCATTTTTATATGCCCACATTCTCATGTGGACATATATTGTCGTCGTCCCTGTCTGTCCTGGACACCCTATAGGTCACAATTTTTATCCGATTTTGACGAAACTTGTAATATAGGTTTATCTCTCAATGATCGTGGTTTCTTTCTATATTAGCATGTATCAGATTGTAACTTTATTGATTATGGCCCCTGATTGTATGAAAAATCAAGCTTCTAGCTTGTGGTCTCTCTAGAGGTCACAATTTTGATCTGATTTTGACGAAACTTAAAATATATGTTGATAATCCAACAATCTTGGTTCCTTTCAATATTCACGCATATCGGACCATAACTTCCTGGATTATGGCCCCGGATTGAACGAAAAATTGCGTTTTTAGTATGTGGTAGGCCTACGTAACTCCCGAAGCAGACAAATAGGAAACAGTGATCCAATGGGGCTGCAATTCAACTGGGGTGATGTTAGCTGCGATGCGATGTTTATCAATTTCCATAATTTTTCTGTAAATGCAAGTGACAAAAGAGCGTATAATACCGACATCCAAACTCTCATTTTAACCACAACTAAACATAATATCAAGGCTGTATATATCGAACTTTCAATCAAATTGACTGACATGCCGCCTCGCTCAACAGCGGCCTCGCTTTGTACACTCCATCATTTAGCCTCGATCTAAAATTTCTGGGAGTTTGACGTCAACGTAACGGTTAATCTCCGCTTACGACGCCATTTAAAAATTTAATCAATCAATGAAATCCTGTTTAAATCCAAGCTGAATCCAAGCCATCCGTGGGTCTACAGAGTTGATTTTGTGCTTGTGTAAATAAAGATCTAATTGATAATTTCTATGACATCTGAAGCCTAAATAAAGACTTGCAATAATCAGATTTAGCTCTTGCATAATGTATGTTTAAACGTTAACTTTCTTGTAGCTGTGACATGTTTAGCATCATATCTTTCTACGTGAATTAACAATAAATTGTTCATTCGATAAAACAAATATTTTTTATACTTGTAAAATAAATACCAATTGTTTATATGATAAGTTGAAGTCTACCATGTAATATGGTAATTTGCAACGCGTTTGGGCATCATATCTTTTTACATGACCTAACTATAAATTATTCATTGGATAAAAAGGAAACATTTTATATAACTGTAAAATAATATACGAATTAACATTTTATATGGCATATTTTTACTGATAATAAAGGTATTCAAGTAATGTGGGAATTTGAAACATGTTTTAACACCATACCTTTTGCCTCCTTTTTCAAGGATGGACACTCAAAAGGAGTATGGTAGTTTCGGGGGTCCCTAAACTAGTTAATGTTCTTGAGTAGTCATGAATTTACGTCGTTTTTGATGAATTTTTAAGATATATGCATAAGCTAAAAACACCAGGATATACTCTAGAAAGCACCATTTACAGTCAGTTTTTTCAAAAGAAATTTTGAGCCTGGTTGGAGAGAACTCTGTCGTTCACCTCACGGAGCAAAGATAAGCCTGTCCTATCCTAGATATCATGTAATTTTAATTCAACTTCACAATTGTCAGTATAAATATAGTATTTACTCGACAATTATCACAATTTTCACCTGGCCTTAAAACATTTTGCTTGGATTTGTGTTCCTGGTGTTAAAAGCTTTCCAATAATGTATAGTTTGTTTAGTAGGGAGGACCTTGTAGCTCATCAAATGGGCTGTTTATTAGGATATTATAAACCCAAATTTATGTTTTTTTAACATTTAGTACACAAAGCCGTCGTGTAAATTCACTCAAACTGAACAGTAAGCTGTGCCTCAATTCACGCCACATGGCTAATTGTTTACATCCCGTGGTTTGATTGACAGCTTGCAAGTGACATGTATGTTTTTGTGCTTGCTGACAGCGTTTTTCAACATAAACAGATCAAAATTTTGGGCATGTGAGACATATAATATATGGTGCATTCTGGCACATAATGTCGACGTGAGCGGCTTTTCCTTTTTTCTTCCATTTCCTCTTGAGAATAGCTGGGCTCGAATGTTTATACGGCATTACTGTATACCTATAGAAGAGTTATTTTATACTGACGTTGACATATTTTGTAAATTTATATATTTATTTGAATATATATATGTGCCACAAGTCCGTCCAGTATAAGTGAACACAATACAGCAGTAAACTTGTGCCAAATCTGTATGCTTACTATTGAGCCCAGTGAGCATGTTGAACCAACTATGTCACTTCCGGTTTAATAAAAATTAATTTCTCGCTTACAAAAACTTTTTTTCTTGTGTTACTGAGGGGATTATTTATCAATATATATTTAAGATTTATAAAAACCTTGTTGAAAATCGTGGTCTTCCCCTTTAACATCATTTTCAACACTCATTTTTGAGTTTTTATTCAAGTTCAATGACTCTGAAAACCTTATAAAAGAGATATTTTAAGCTAAGCTATATAAAACAGAAAATTGACGATTTTCTAAAAAAATCATTCATTTTACGGAAATTCTTGCTGCCATTTTGAATTTTCTCCACCTTGGATTTTTCAAACTTTCTGTTTAGATTAAACATACATTATGCCTATTGCAGGTCTTTCTTTAGGCCTGAAATGATTTCTAAATTATTAATTAGACATCAATTAACTGATCCAGGCCATAATCAACTTTCGATGGCATCGGATTTCTCTGATATTAAATAGATTAGAAAGGTTCAGCCATATTATTTGTGAATGTAGATGCAACAGTCTGTTTTAATGATCGATATTCAGATCATCATAGAATGGCATTTCTGTTGCAAAACTATTAGAACTCATTGGCTAGAATAGCAGAAGAAGACATTTGAGGTGGTTGAGTTTTGCTAAAGCCCCCCAAACCCCGAGGCTCTGTGGACTAAACAATTAATTGATTTTTTGGAATTAGGTTCAGCTTCCTATTGATCAGCGTTAAAGTTGTTGTATTCACGGGCTGAAATAGCAGGAAAACGCATTTGTGGACTCTGTGGACTTTAAACGATTGAATGGTTGAACAGAATTTTCTTAGGAAGGCAGTCTGGAATTTTTTCGGGAATTACAGGTCTGCCCTGTACGCCTATGTTTGTAATTCTGTACGAGTTTTGTAAGACTAATACCTTTCATTGGCAATGTTGTTCCATTTATTGACCTTTCATTTGTCATGCTGTACAAGTTTTATAACACCACAGCATAATCTTTCATTTGTACTACAAGTAGATATTTAAAAATAACTGTGTTATAAGTTTTGATGATCTTATTATATTTGAATATAAAAAAGGCTAGGATTATTTTTGTAAAATCACAGATAAACTTCTTTTTTTTAAGGGTTTACCTGGTATTATATCTGATAGGGAAGGCCGTGGTAACCCTGGTTCCCCAGGAAGACAAGGTCCTCCAGGTGCTCCTGGTAAGAAAGGAAATGAAGGTATGTGTCCACCATAACAAGTTCTTAAAATATTTTCTTCAAAGTAATCCTGTAAGTATATCTTCTCAGGATGTTTTTATAACAGGATCTTACTCAATGAGTTTAATAATAGGTTTTCTTTTGTTTCTGTCAAATTTTGCTGGTGGTAATAGTATACAATTATTTTTCAGGTCTACCAGGAGAAGTAGGTCGTGTGGGTCTACCAGGTCTACCTGGTTTCCCTGGTATTGATGGTATTCAGGGAGAACCTGGTATACCTGGTATGTCAATGAAGGGAGACAGGGGAAATCCAGGTAAATATATTGTAAATATGCACTGATTTTTCAAACCTCGTTATCAACTGTCACTGTCAGTCAGGGGTGACACCTGCAGGGCTGCCCTGCAAGAAAAGTGTAAAATAACCATTGGTAGTTGTAATTTGAATAAGAATATCCAGAAATGCTATGCAAAATTCTCTTCCCGACATTTCAGACATAACGATAGAAATGAAATTAACCTTATGGTAGTCTCAAAATAATGAGACATTAAACCCTATTTATTACATCTTTCTTATTTCTGAAAGAATTTAATGGGCTTTAATTCATGCCATAAAATATTTAAGCAGGTTTCAGTAATTGTAGGCCTATATAAGTATGATTGTTTTTAACAGGTGTTCAAGGAGAGGATGGTAAACCTGGTCAAAATGGTCTACCAGGTTTACCTGGTATTGGTGGAGACAAAGGTCAACCTGGTCAAACTGTTGTTGGTCCAGCTGGTCCATCGGGATTACCTGGTTTGGATGGTCTTCCTGGTTTACCTGGATTTCCTGGTGATCCTGGTTTTAATGGAGATCCTGGTTTACCTGGCGATGGTTTCTTTAGAGTTGGTATCCCAGGTTCTCGAGGAATGTCTGGTAATCGTGGTTTACCTGGTCTGCAAGGACCTGATGGTTTACCTGGTCTTCCTGGATTTAAGGGTAAGTTTTACATCTACTTAAATCTTATAAACTCTGCATTTAAATTGCTTTGTTACAGAGTCAGCTTTATTTAAAGAGACATTGTGTGAGAGCTTAATGTTATATGAATTGTTATTTAGACATTTATTCACATGTCAAGACATAATCAACTCTCTAGACCACCAGATGGCTTAAATTGTCATTATTGTACTTGACAATCCAGAATATGAATTGAGGACCAACTATCTTTCAGCCAATGGTCGGCAATCATCAAAGACAATTTAGGGCCATTTCTTGTCAAAACTTCAACATTCAGAATAAATCTAGCATAATGTTTCTTTAAGCAATTGATAAACCAAGATATTTCTGTACTTAATTGGTGTATATTATTTCAGGTGATCGAGGTGATGATTGTGGTTTCTGTCCTGATGGTTTACCAGGACAAGTAGGAGAAGCTGGTGATCCAGGTTTACCAGGTAGGCATCAGGTTATGTTAAGAGAGGCGCTAAAGTTGTTTATACATAATATACAGTGTTGTATGGAAGATCAGTAAGTTATACAGTGCATTGTTAAGTACTGTAAGATCACTTCCACAATAAAGTAATTGTGGACCTGTATTGCAAAGTATTTCTATATGCCCACATTGAAATATGGTTGTATATTGCAGTCATGTGCTTGAAATTTATAGGTATTGTTCAGATAAGTGAAACGAAGAGGCCTATTGAATTTCAACTATTTCCATTATTACTTAATATTTGATGGTAACCCTGTCAATGCTCTAACAACAAAAGTTATCATCCAATATGTTTGAAAATTATTTGCATTCAGATTAGTTGTTCTTGTTCAAGTTCTAGAATCTTGTAAACACTCTAGCTACTTATTGATTGATGAGATAAATGAAACGAAGAAACCAATTTCCTTTAATTACTTCTAGAGCTATGATCATTGCTCACTTTGTAGAATATTTTTAAACACTTGTTTAAAGTCGTCATCATTTACAATTTGTGGTCTTAAGTTTTGAGGTTAGAGCGAGCGCGTTGTATCATAAGGTCTGTCATTGAGTCAGCTGACATGGTTTTGATTCCCCGTTGTACGTGACAAGGAGTAGGGTCGCTTGTCCAACCTTGTGGGTTTTCTCTGGGTCCTCCGGTTTCCTCCCACTGCTGTAGACCCCTACACACAGGCAAATTAATGAAATAAAATTGAACCATATATGTTAACCCTGAAATGATGTAGTTTGGGTCAAGTGGACGTTAAACCCATTTCTCTCTCTCTCTCTTTTAAGTTTTGACTATTGCAATAAATAATTACTTTTGGTGTCTTTGCCGTTGATTATTTTGTATGAACCTGTCTACTTGCCAATGAAATTGTTTAATACTTATTCTTAAATAGATATTATTTGATTAGAATATCCTACATGAACAATACAAACTTATATACCTTTCATTGAAAAGTATTAAGGCCTATGAATATTTCAATATACTAAAAGTATTAAAGCCTATGAATATTTCAACATAAATGAAAACACTAAAAGTAAAATAGAGGAATATTAGCTAACTCTTTTATAGTAAAGTCTGCTTTAAACGACAAACCACACTACATAAGCCTGTAATAATTGTAGTTTATATTTAATATATATATATATATTTATTTGGCTATAGGTTTAGTTGGATCATCCGGTAGTCCAGGTTTACAAGGACCTAAAGGTGGTCCTGGTGAAATAGGTTTGAGTGGATTACCAGGTCAAGATGGAAATCCTGTAAGTAAATAGAATAAAATAGAAATTCATTCAGTATTAATGTGAAAATTATAAATTTCTAGATTTTGTATATGAAATTGTGATAAATTATTACAGTAATATCATGCAAATCTCCCATTTTCAATAGAACATTTAAATGCTTATATGAGCTGTTCATGATTTGAAATGTTTTTTTCTAGGGTTTCCCTGGTAGAGATGGAGGTCTTGGCTTACCTGGATTGAAGGGAGAGAGAGGAGAATATATTGGTGTAACCGAAATAGAATTTTATCGTGGACCCAAAGGAAGGAAGGGAGATCGTGGTTTTCCTGGTTTGCCAGGTATTGATGGTTCTATGGGTACTGTCGGTCCCCGTGGTCCCCGAGGATTTGATGGCCTGCAAGGAATGAAGGTAGGGAGTGTATTTGATCATATGGATAACAAAGAACATTTCTCTGTGAGCATAGAACATTGTAGAAAAAATTGGGCATTTGTTGGATTTGTTTAAACTCAAAAGTGATGAAAAACACACTAGCGATCTATCGCATATTTCAATGAAACTTGATTAAGGTTGAATTTGTGTGCTGATAGGCCTTTCGATAATCAATAGTTTCATCAATAGTTTCATCAAATGATTTCATTTATAGTTAAATGATGATAGTAGTTACAGAGCAAATTACAATCGTTTTAATTGACATTTAATAACGAATAGTAGAATATCAAGTAGAATTACTTGATAGTAATCATTTAGGTATCTGTCTTCTGATTCTACACAATATATCTTTTAGTTGCTATATACATGTACAGGTTTTCATTCTTATTACTGCTGATAGCCAGCCTGATTAAACAATGTTGCAAGACAGCCTTACCTTTCACAAATACCTGTGTTCTAATATAATCATGTGATGAAGTTCATTATATTTTGTTTTGTGACATGTCTGCTGTTTATTTTTCAGGGAGATACTGGTCAGCCAGGTGATGATGGTTTAGATGGTTTACCCGGATTGCCTGGTCTAGAAGGAGAGAAAGGAGAGATCGGTGATACAATGATAGGAGCCCGGGGTCGTAAAGGAGTTTCTGGTCTTCCTGGTTTAGATGGTATGCCTGGTATAAAGGGAACAAAAGGTAAGTCTTCCTAGAACTTCTGAAAAGTTTCAAACTAAATTTTATTTTATTTTTGTATTTTATCAATGTTTAATTTTAATTTGTGCGATTGTGCTTTATGTAGTACCATTTGTCAAGGTTAACCCTTGGTAGTTGGAAATGAAATGGTTGGTGGTGGGAAGTGACCATAAAAAAGAATGAAATATTCTGTTAACGAGACGTTATATTCGCATCGTCACTTCGCATCGCATCATGGGTTTTCTCCTGGTCCTCTGGTTTCCTCCCACTGCTAAAGACCCCTATGCTCAAGCAAATTATTGAAATAAAAATTGAACAATGTGTTAGTCCCAAAATGACCTAGTTTGTGTCAAGTGGATGTTAAAATCTATAATATCTCTATGCTATAATATCACCTCTGATGTGTATAAAAAGAAGTTAAAATAACACTTTCAATAGTTACCATATTTTAAATTTATCTTATAGGTTTTATGGGAGACCCAGTACCACTGAGATTTTTAGAACCGATAAAAGGTGAACCTGGTTTTGCTGGTAGAAGAGGTCCAAATGGTATGCCTGGACTACCTGGACTACCTGGTAAGTAAATAATGGTACTTTAAAGCTCTTGTCATCATATGCATTTTTTTGAATGTCTAATTTTTCATGCTAATGCAGGGAAAAATATACTCACTTTGATTATTTAATTGAAAAAACCAAAACCAAAATATCAATGGTAGATAATCTCCCCGTGTGGATTCAGTTAGATTGAAAATAAGCTCACCAAAACATTTTACCCAATACCAATTATAGGTGACACTTCCTTGTTTGTATCATCTGCAGAGATTTAACTTACATAGTAGTTTGCAAAGTATTCAAAATACCTCATATCATGATCAACTGCTGCTGTAAAATTCTATGATAAACTGTATGGGGTAAAACTGCCATAGATAGGCTAAATGCACTTCCGTAAGCCTGTATTGTGACAATATATTTTTCATATCTTGGTAATAGAGAAAGTAGTGAAATTGCACTTTGTTTCCAACATTATATTTAGGTTCCAAGGGTGAAGAAGGTGAAGACGGTTTGCCCGGTTTACCCGGATTAGATGGTATGAAGGGGGATAGTGGATTACCTGGTATACCTGGTGGACGTGGACCCCAAGGTATTAAAGGATATCCTGGTATGGCTGGATTACCAGGTTTTGATGGTTTAGATGGTCCTAAAGGTATGAGTGGTGACGACGGTTTACCGGGTCTACCTGGATTTAAGGTATTTTATTTATATTTATTTTGTATTGTATATGATGTCTTTGAGGTTCTTGGATTAAATTCCAGTCCATTCTGATAAACCTGACAGAGCTTCCAATTGTGTTACAGATAGAACTTGCACGTGTTTTGATAGTGCAATGCTTATATTGGGCTCTGCAGCCACTCATATAAACTTTCTGGCTTGATATGATTGGCGTAAAGAACCAAGTAATATATGGTTGAAAACATGAAGAGATGTGTAACTAGAAGCAATAAAAGTTATTATTTATCTGTATCTGTCTTTTGAAGCTGACCTTAGAACATCTTTTATAGGGGTATGCTGGAGAACCTGGTTACCAACCACGTGAAGGTATACCTGGACGTCCTGGAGAGCCTGGACTTGATGGTGGAGTAGGTCCTCCTGGTTTAGATGGTCAAAGAGGTGCCAGTGGATTCCCTGGATTAGACGGACGACCTGGACCAAATGGTACAAAAAATCTTGTTTATGTCTTGTCCAATTTGCAGAGAAACATGAATTCTACATTTTCAATTTACACAGACAAAAAAATAATCTGAGAACATCAGAACAGGGATCATTATTTAATTAATAACATTAACCTTACCACTTAATATAGTGATTAATATATTTTATAATTGAGTGTATTCTCTAAAATTCGGATGCTTAAGGTGTATATGCTTGTTTTGTATAAAGGTGATCCTGGATTACCTGGTATTCAAGGTAGACCTGGATCCAAAGGACAGCCTGGTGAATCAATTTCAGGCCGACCTGGTTTACCAGGTCGACCGGGAGAGGATGGAGCTCCAGGTAAGATTTCTGTTTATCAATCCCTTTATTACATTTTCTTTAAGAAGATACAAAACAGTGCAAACAAAAACCACAATCAAATTTCTGTAAACTAGTAAATATTTTACTATGATGTTGGATATATAAAAAAATAACAATAGATTATTGATGTTATGCATTGCATGGATTATGATTATTGCAGGGGAATATTAAAATGGGTCTGTCTGTCTGTTCGTCACACTTTTTGAAACACAATAACTCTCCTAATTGAGCTAAAATTTGTCTGTCTGTCTATGTTTGGATGATGCTTTGGGACATGATAACTTTGATTCTAATTAGGTGAGAGTGATGAAACTTGGTTTATTGTTTCATTATATCCATACCATGACTATGTTCAATAATGATCATTTTCTTCTTGGGGTAAGCAGAGTGGTAAGCAATTTGATCGGTGGATACCTTGGAGTTAGATAACTCTGATTCTAATTCGTGAAACTTCGAATATAGTTTCATTACATTAATACATTGACTAAGTTTGATTGATGATGAGCATTTTCAGCTGAGGCTAAGTAGAGACATCAATCTGATTAGCTTAGACTTTGGAACATAATAACTCTACTTCTAAATTGAGGTAGAATGTTCAAACTTTGTGTAGGTGTTTATTAGGGGAATGCCTTGGCATTGTTTGATGATGCACATTTTCCACTAAGGCAGAGCAGCGATAAGCAATTTTAGTGTTGAGATTTTGGAACACGATAACTTTGGTTCTAATTGGGTGAGGATAATGAAACTCAGAGCATGGATTCATTATATCAATACCTTGACTAAGTTCGATGATGAGAATTTTCGGCCTAAGCTAAGTAGTGATAAGCAATTTGATGGGTCAAGACTTCGGAACATAACAACTCTGCTCTTAATTGAAGAATAGATGTTCATTATGTGAATATCTTGACATTTTCAATTAAAGCAAAGTGAAGCTAAGCAATTTCATTGGTCGATGGTTTGAAACAAGATAACTTTGATTCTAGCTGATGTAGAGTGATGAAACTTAGTGCCTAGTTTCACTACCAGGTACTTCAAAACCTTGACTGATATTGATCGTGAAAATATCCTGCTTAGACTAAGTATAGATAATCAGTTTGATCGATAGATATTTTTCATATTATTTTGGGATTGCAATGGGGGACATCAGCCTCACTATTGTCTTGTTATTTTAGGTTTGCCTGGATTACGTGGTGTTCGTGGTGATGATGGTTTACCAGGATTGCCTGGCCTTAAAGGACGATCTGGTGAAGATGGTCTACGAGGACGAGATGGTTTCCCAGGAGACCAGGGACGGGAAGGATTAGATGGTGAACCTGGACTGGATGGTTTACCCGGACGCCCAGGTATAATGTTGCTATGTATATTAAACAAAGTTAGAGCTAAATGTGTTTTTGCAATTGAAATGCAATAGAATAATTTGATGATGTAATTAATTACTAAGGAAAGACATGTATTTTTTTAAAAACATTTTTAGGACTTGCTGGTGAAAAGGGTTCAGTTGGATTACCTGGTCTACCTGGTCGAGATGGTAATGATGGTCGACCAGGAACTGATGGACCTAAAGGTCCTAGTGGGGATGATGGTTTACCCGGTTTACGAGGTGCTGATGGTTTACCCGGACAAAAGGGCTCTGAGGGAGAAGATGGAAAGAATGGGTTTAAGGGTCGTGCAGGTGATTCTGGTTTACCCGGTTTACCAGGAATGAAAGGAAATAGAGGATATGATGGTAAGTTTTTTTTGTCAGTTGTAACATTAGATCTATTGAACTTTCGTCTGTTTATTGTCAGGACTCCTGTGAGTGTTTCAATTATAAACCTAGGATTTACATGTAAAATATTCTTACTTTTCAATCACATTTGTACAGTGAACACCATTATTATATGTTATATAAAACTACAATTCATGTATTTAATTGTTGTTTTATGTTTGTATAGGATTAAAGGGTATGGCTGGATTACCTGGTGAAAATGGTCTACCTGGTGATAGTGGAATGAAGGGTGAATCTGGTCGATCATTCCCAGGAGAACGAGGTAATAATAGATATTCAAGAAGTTTGTTGTCGGCTCCTTAGGGCAGATTCACAATAGTTTCCATCAATTTGATTTACAATGTTAATCGCATCTATGCATCAGCTGTACATCTATCTGGAACTTGTAAGTACATCTTTGAAACCATTCAAAGGATTTCATTCAAAGATGATGCAGACAAAGAGGATCATGCGTATATTTGCAGGAAGGGAAATACAATATATTTTAATAAGGTTAATTTGTCTATTCTCTGGGAAGCTCTAGTTCATATTAGGCTGGTGCAATATAGCCTAGTTGGTGTTTGTGTGCCACAAATCACCATTTTATTTCAATTCATATCAGTCCTTGGTAAAACCGTCCTAATTTGCTTGTCAATCGAAAAATACCTCACTGGATAATTCTACTTTGAAATTGTTATGAAAGAGACAGATAAGAGTTAACTGCATGACTATCTAATGTGATGATAATGAATACACATACTCCATATTTCTTGATAATTTATTATGTAGCACATTGTTTTTTGATTCTGACTAATATTTATGGTTAGCATAAAAAAAACATAAAATGGGTAGACTTGCTTGATATTCCCCATATTTAAATTAGGTTCATGTCAATAATATCTCTTAATAATTAACCCTTTCAATGCTAGACGTAAATCCACTGCCTGTGCTAGACCCTTTAATGAGGAAAAAAGGGAGGTTGGAACTGAATGCCAAGCAGTACTTATGGAAGCTTTTATGAAAAATCTTTTTGTCTGTTGGGATGGGCATGAGGTTGGGCTAAGAGGAAAAAATAGAATTTTGGAAATTTGCATAATAATGTAGTCACGTGACGTCATGGCGGCCATTTTGGATTTCTCATTTCACACTAAAGCTAACACGAAAACGAATTTTTCTCCATGAAATACTTAAAAGATATTGTTTTTTTTACTGGATTTTGATAAAGATATATAAAATGAACAAAAATATCAATAGCAGCCATGAGCAATGCCGCCGCGAACACGCGCATCACGTCTCCCGCTGCCATGACCACGTGCGGATTGCAATACCTTGTTTTTACTTTCACTTTCACTTTCATCCCCAAGTCCCATATCATTATCAATATAGTCAGTCAATAGATCTACACGTTCGGGAATCAGGAATTACCTACGTATTTTACGATCCAGCAGGTCAGCATTATTATCAACATCAGAATTATTGTCAGAATCTACTGCAGACACAGGGCTATCGTGTTCACACTGGGCTTGTTCATCATGCACGGGAGACATAGCTAGCCATGGGCGGAACGTCGCGCAAAAAATCACACACTTCATAATACCAATCACTGTCCTGACTACTATCATTATCAAGTAACTGGAAACGAATTATGTGTATCACCCGCCTCGAAATTGTCCACATGTTGGTCAGCAAGACGTCATTCACGACTTCGTCGAGAGTGCATCGTCTACGTTGTCACAATGCACTCCGCCATTTTACGGTTTGCTGCTTTGAAACACGTGGAAATATGTTCTAGTGTATAGAAAATACAATAGATGGCACTTGCAGTTACGGTACTAATTTTAGCGAGGGCTTTACTGAGTACACGGTAATACCGGGTACGGGCATTTTACCGACATTTTATAATACCCGGTACTACCGGGTATACGCAGTGAAAGGGTTAAATGAATACTGGTCTGTGTGTATTTGTTGGCAACTGAAAATGAAACATCTGTGATTACAATAGTTCATAAAGTCTAAACATTGTTTATCATGTTTATAAAGGATACTATGAAATTGTATGGTAATCACTTGTCATAAAACATAGCAGATTGATGTCAAGTATGGAGCCGAATCGTTGCCATATTAAGAGAAAATATAATAGTTACAATTGACAAATTATCATAGTCAAAATGGTAAAAATGGTCATTTTCGAGATTTTTCACTTGTAAATATCACTTAACACAAAATCACATCAAAACAAACCCAAAAAATCTATTTATGTTTTTTCACTTTCTACTTTTCGCCTTTGCAATTTCACTCTAACTTTTTCATCTTTGCATTTTCAACTATCAGAATTTCTCCAATATAATTCCACCACAAAAATTTCTCCAATCGAACGGACAGAAGGCGTGGTTCCGGGTACAGCCAAAGTTGACGTTATAAGACGTCAGTATTTATCGTCTCAGCTAAAATTACTACTCCATTGGGTTATTCTTAAGAATTTTATTGCCGATTTTATTTATTTTTTTGGAGAAAAAAAATGAAATAATTCGTTGTCATGTCTAACCACTTTTGTTCAATGAGTTATATCATCGAAGCTTGACCGGATGAATCTTTGACAGCTTATCGGCATGGATGTGAGCGAATTTCTGGCGTTATATCTGAAATAAGTGAAACTACAAAAGAGGTGCCTGGCTGCCTTAATCAATTAAAAAATGGTCTACAGTTATTAGACGATGTAATAAATTGCAAACAAGACAATTAGGGCATGGTAGAAAGTATCATTTTTGGTCAGGAAGAGTTGATCCGCCAAAGTTATTTATTCCACAAGAACAGTTACAATATTTAGTTGATAAAGATCTGTTATTTGTAGAAAATAAAAAAAATTAAAAAATAAAATGTTCCCGAAAAGAGGTATAAATTATTGTTTCACTGGGTCGGTTTCCAGCATATTTTAATTTACCTTTTCAATCAATCATGATAAGGTACGGTAGTTGTCATCGCAAAACATGCAGCAGAGTCTACCTGTTCACTGTCAATATTAAAATCTAATGGATTATGTAGTTGTCATAAAATATGACAGTAAAGACATAAATTATTTGTTCTTTTCACATTAACTGGGAGTTAAATAATGCGAAACTAGAAATAGAAGTTATATTAATTAAAATACAACTAGAAACAAAAGTTGTATTAATTAATATACAAGGCGGGCTTAATTAGGCCTATATTACATCTCCGACAAGAGTAAAAAAAAAAAACCCAAAAAAAACAAACTATATTATTGACGGTTGGATGGTATCATGTTAGTAATAGTTATTTAATTTTAATCATTAGCATTTTATACTTTGGCAAAGCGGAATTTTTTAAAACAAGTATCCGGTAGCCAGTATGTAGGCCTAATAAGGTTTATGTGGTCTAATAAAAATACAGATGTGATGTCATCTTTTGATGTTGGCGTACTAGTACTTCAAATAAAGTACACTTCTATGGTATCTACAATTAAACATACATTATGCAAGAGCTAAATCTGTCTATTGCAGGTTTTTCTTTAGGCCTGAAATGTTATCTAAATTATTAATTAGACATTAATTAACCTATCCAGACCATAATCAACTCTAGATGGCATTGCTAGCCTGCGATCTTTAGTGGATTGTGAGCCGATTTACTGCATAACTTTCCTTCTCAATTTAACGATTAAATGGATAATCGAGACTATGCTGTTTATCGTACTGACTTTAGTAATGATGATCAAGGCTAGCCGGGAATTTCAACATTTAGTTGGTTCATAGTGGATCAATTTGAATGAAATTTTCAGCAAATTGCCTTTACATTATCTAGTTTTTAACTCTTATAGTGAGAACTGCCAACTCGTTATCGCATCTCCCATAATGTATCTTTAAACAATTGCCTACAAATAACATATTACGTTAAATATTGTTTTATAATTAATTAATCACCAGGTGTTTTTATAAGTCAAAATCCAGTAGGCCTACAGCGCAGGCCGGATCCATTCACTTAATTTGACATGCTTATTGTTTGAAATATGTGTAGCCTATAGGCTGTTTTGTGTCGTGTCCACGGGTTTGTATTGTGTAATTGTTATGTGTTATGCGGTCCTCCTGCTCTTACTATTCTCTCAGTTAACCGAAGAACTCCAAATTTTAATGCATCAGCCGCTTATATCAACATAGTCCGTATCAGGGAGCATTAATTTTAGTCCAGACGATAAAAACAGATGAGTTATGACGTCAACTTCGACCGAACTCGGAAACACGCCCCTTTCCTTATATGGCAGTTAGATTGGAGAAATTGTGATAGTTGAAAATGCAATGGAGAAAATCTGATAGTTGAAAATGCAAAGATGTAAAATTTACAGTGAATTTGCAGAGGCAAAAAGTAGAGAGGGAAAAAACAAAACTAGATTTTTCCATTGTTAATTTTTGTCGAGCAATTTTGTTTTATGGTAAATATCCATTAAAATGTATTAAGTGTTATGTGATTTTTACATGTGAAAAATCTCGAAAATGGCCATTTTTACCATATTGACTATGATAATTTTGCAATTTTAACCATGATATTTTCTCTTAATATGGCAACGATTCGGCTCCATAGTGAAGGGGATTAAATTGTTCAACAAAGGAGAAACTGAATTGTTTTAAGGATTAAGATAAAGGAATGACGTAGATTTAGTGGTCATTCATGACAGGTTATTATAACACTATAACTGAGTTGATCACTTTATTACTTAATTAATCTGGCCTATTATTAACGATAATCAAGATTAATAAGAGTTGTATCCACAGTGCAGTCAATATTTGGGAATTTCTTTTGATTTTTTAGTTTGATTCACCATGATCTTGATGTTTCTTTTTTTCTCTGTGTTATATTTTTGCAGTTTTACTTATACATGATTTTAAAATGGTATTTCAGGTAGAGATGGTTTACCTGGATTGGATGGTTTACCTGGTGTTGATGGGCCACCTGGTTTAAAGGGTGCTATTGGAGATAATGGACTTCCAGGTAAAAGATAAAATATATTTATCTGATAGAAGTACATAATGTGAAAACTCTCTTAAAACTTAGCAAGATGGGTTTTTTTAAAAGAAATTACGACAATCTATTCTTCTCATTCTTAAATATAAATAATTTTACCCCAAAACTTCCGAGCAAAATTCCCTCTGATAGCACACTGCATGGTATATGCCCATCTTCATTAGCCCAGTCTGTGCCAAAAAGTAGAACGTTAAACCTATTTCATGTTTATACGGCCACATGGAAATGTGGTCGTATATTGCCGTCGCCCCCATCCGTCTGTCTGTCGGTCCGTCCATCGTCCACAATTTCTTGTGAACACTCTACAGGCTACATTTATCATCTGATTGTTTTGAAATTGATATATGTTGTTTGCATTAGTGAGATGAAGAAGCCTATTTAATTTCGATAACTTCCGTTAATTTCTTCTGGAGTTATGGCCCTTGTTTCACTTTGTTGCACCTTGTGAATGCTCTAACGACAAAAATTATTATCCGATCTGTATGAAATTTATATGTATTGTTTAAATTAGTAAAATTTTCAGCAAATTTCTTTTAATTACATCTAGAATTAAGGCCCTTGTTTAACTTTGTTGAATCTTGAGAACGCTTGAACAACAAAAGTTATCACCTAATCTGTATGAAATTCATATGCATCATTTGAATTAGTAAAATGAAGAAGCCTATTGAATGTCAGCAATTTCCGTCAATTACTTTTAGAGTTATGGCCCTTGTTTTACTTTGTTGAACCTTGTGAACGTTCAAACGACAAAAGTTATCATCCGATCTGTATGAAATTTATATGAATTATTTGAATTAGTAAAATGAAAAAGCCTGTTGAATTTCGACAATTTCTGTAGATTTCTTCAAGAGTTTTTAGAACCTTGTGAACCCTCAAACGACGAAAATTATAATGTTATCTGTATGATATTGTGTATTAAATTCCCCAAATCACCTACAAAAGAATAATTATATGACAACCCTTGTCGACTGCTCGGACGATTTAGCTGCTGTGAGCGTATGTTTTGTTGCCTGGCAACCTATCTTTTTTCATAATATTCCAAAACTTAAATTTATAATTTTGATTTGATAGAAGAATTAGTCTTTTATGATGTAATAACAAAATATATGTGTAGATTATCTCAATTTAATATTATTTTTAAAATCTTCAGTTATTCACATCACAGAATCCACTTCATTTTTTTATACCTAAAAACCTATAGTTTCTTGGAGTAGTTTTAAAAATGACATATGTAGCAGAAAACTTGGCTCCCATAAAATACCTGTGTATTATTCTGTATAGTTATAAGGTTTGTGACATAATCAACTTTTAGAGATATTTGTACTTTGTCACAGGGTTAGATGGTTTACCAGGACCCGAAGGAGATAATGGTTTCCCAGGAGAAGATGGTCGAGCTGGTCGCCCAGGAGTGAAAGGGGCACCTGGTCAAAGTGGTTTACCTGGTATTTCTGGAGAACCAGGCCGTGAGGTAGGATGCAAATAAAATGATTGTGTACAATCGTATCACCTATGATAAAGCAGTAACAGCTTGAATATACAAAATAAAACCTGTCATTATAAAATTGAAGCTTCTATATTATGCATCAGCTTTTTAGTACTGGGCTCTGTGTACAGCATAATGCTAGCGGAACTAAAGATATTTAATTTCTCGGACCACCCAGAGTTGCCGTCCATGTGCAACTGTATGTTATGCACACTCCTAAACGTTACATTTTTGTCATCATTTCACTTCACAGTTCTTCTGATAACTGGTGTATGAAATTATATTTAGGGTGAAGATGGTCGCCCTGGAAGAGCTGGTCTTCCAGGTACTCGTGGTGATGGTGGTATTGATGGGTTACCAGGATTAGATGGCGAACCTGGAGCACCCGGTGAAGACGGTCGACAAGGATTACCAGGACTGCCTGGTCTAGATGGCAGAAAGGGTGACAGTGGTTTACCTGGTTTTGATGGTTTACCTGGAGAAAGAGGTCAACCTGGAGATGATGGTCTATATGGTCTACCAGGTCTCAAGGGTTTCCAGGGTGACTCTGGTTTCGATGGACAGCCTGGTCGCCAAGGAGAAGTTGGATTCCCTGGTAATGTTGATAGATTTTAGATAATGATTTATTTATCAATTTCCATATAATTGTTAAGAATTCACTAGATTATTTTAAAGACAGTGCTTGGATTGGGTAATTGTGTTATGTGTTATAAAGATAACATAATACTATAGTAAATGATAAATATTGCTATTTTCAGGTGACGTTGGTCCTGATGGTTTACCTGGTTTACCTGGTTTAGATGCCCCTCCTGGTAATTACATATTATCATACTTTCAATTTGAAATTAAACCTCAAACGGTATTGTCAAAGAATACTGCCGATACATAGTATTGTTTGTATTTTTTGTGCACACACATCGAAATGACATTGTTGTCACCCCTGTCTGTCAATCCATAGTTGCTTGGGAACGTTCTAGATGAAAAGGTAATCATCAAATTCATACACAGTGTTTATGTTCAGGAGACGAAGAAGACTTTTGGTGTTTTTTTTAAAGTTCACAATATTTATGAATACCATATATTTGTTATATATATTTCTCATGTGTGTTTTTTTTTTTCAAATTAAATTCTGTTTGGATACCTTTGCTATTCAGGTGAAAGAGGTCCAAGAGGTATTGAGGGTTTACCTGGTTTTGATGGAATGCCTGGACTACCTGGTCTTGATGGTGACAACGGTGAACCTGGAAGGCCCGGACGTAAAGGTCAAGCAGGTTTCCCTGGTGTAAGTCGTCCAGGAGAACGAGGTAGACCTGGTGACGATGGTCTCCCCGGTTTAGATGGTAAGTCAAGAAGGAAAAACAATAATCAGGGCTTGTGTTTCAGTCAAGACTGGCAGGGAAATTGACTGGAATTAACCTTAAAACAGAATAAATACAGTTTAATTTATAGTTCCTAAGAGTAACACAATTAAGAATATATAAAAAATGCAAAATATTGTCATTTTGTTTAGGAAAAAATCTTGCTAATCCAAGGTAAACAAATTTTTCAAGTGGAAACCCTGATTTGAACCTAAGGTGAATATATGTTTTAATTTTTAATCGAGAATATCAAAAAATAAGTTTATCATGTTTTTGAAAAGAACTCATAATTTGTATGTTTTGTTTCTTGTATTTCTACAGGTTTGAAGGGTGACAGAGGTCTTTCAGGTTTACCTGGCTTGCCTGGCACTGATGGCTTTAAAGGTGATCGTGGATTCCCAGGACGTCCAGGTTCTGATGGGCTACCTGGAGAAAGTGGTTTCCCAGGACCATTGGTAAGTCAACACTATACAGATTTGGAATTATTAAGCACTCACATTGAAACATACTGAGTACTGATAATTACTGTGAATCCATTTGAAGCATGGATGCTCTAGGGGCTAAAAGTATTATCTAATATACACAGTTTTTACTGATTTCGAACAAATTGTGATTATTACTGTCGAAGTTAGTTATGACTTTGAAAAATCTTGTGGCTGCTTTAGAGGCTAAGGTTACATGTGATTGACTTGAAATTTTCGCAGCATGCTTATGAGATGAAGAAGCCTATTGATTATGTATGATAAACACTAGGAGTCTCTAGACAGCAATCAAATTTGAATTAATTCTGATAATTATTTCATGCACTGTTTTTAGTGTCTTGTAAATACACCCATTACCTACAAAAGAATAAATATGAGACAACCTTTATGGACTGCTTGGGCAACTCAGCTGCAGTGGGTGTATGTTTAATTGTATGGCAACCTTTCTTTTTTACTTTTTTATGTACTAAAATTATTTTACATATTAGGAAATAAACTTCAATGTTGGAGTTTTGTGAAAGATAAACATTTCGTTTCAATTGTTCTTCCCCATTTTGTAACTAAGATATCTTTGTAGTGTATTTGTTTTCTTATCATTAATAGGGTGATGATGGTGTTGATGGAGGCCCAGGCCGTAAAGGTGAACGTGGGGAGGATGGTTTGCCTGGTCTGGATGGTAGAGATGGTGAAAGTGGTAGATCAGGTTTACCAGGTCCTCAAGGGCTACGAGGAGACGATGGTGTTCCAGGTAATTGACACTATTATAGTAATGAAATTAATAGTTGGTATGAAATAAGGAATTAGGCATATCAAATTCACAAGAAAATATATTTATCTAGAATAATATCATATTCAATTTAACCCAATTATTGAAAATCCAAACATTGGCCTATTTAGAATGTTTACTGGTAATAGATTTTAGAGCATCTTACATTATCATGATGAAGTTTTATCTCAGAGTTTACATACATTATAATGTGAACTTTTCTGATATAACTGTACATTCAAATTAGAATTTGTACCAACCAGTAACAATCTCCAATAGGCTAATGTCGCTGTAAATTAAATGTTTACAGAACTGATTTGATTTATTTTAATTTAAAATCCATTAGATATTGTGGTGAAATAAACAAAGAAATCAAGATTACAAAATGTCCTTTTATGGGCTATAGAAAAACGTTTAATATTATTTGTATGAAACTGTTATTTAAGGTCGACAGGGAGCAACAGGTGATCAAGGTCCATTGGATTTTCAGAATATGACGCCAGGACAGAAAGGAGAGCCTGGACGACCAGGTCTGCCTGGTATACCTGGTGATGACGGAAGAAAAGGACCAAGAGGTGAATGATTGTCTTGACAAAATTGTTTTTAATCACAAATAAACAGATTCTTTTCTGACTAATGATTTCCTCCTGCTCAGTCATTGTGTCTGGTTAAAACTCCCATACATTTATTTTTAGTTATGTAATCAATTTAAAACTTTGTCTTATTCAGTTTAGGCTACTTTATGCAATTGACATCATTTCTTGCTTGCAAATATTCTGTTTTTATTTGGTTATAAAATGTTTTTCTCCAGGTATTGATGGTCTACCTGGAGGATCTGGCCGAAAGGGAGTGAGGGGAATACCTGGTACTCCTGGATTTAAAGGCTATAAGGGTGACGGTGGTCAGCCTGGATTATCTGGACTAGATGGTATGCCAGGTTTACCAGGTCCAGCAGGTTATCCTGGTGAAATGGGAACTATTGGAAGAAGCGGTGTTGGACCAGGAATACTTTTTACGCGGTTAGATATTAATTAATAAATAATACTGAATTCCAGAGTTAATAATACTGATATAACTATTTTGATAAGAGATAAGATATTGTTGAAATAACTAACTAGAGTTAACCCCCTTTAATAACAAAATTTCATGTTTATCAACTGTATGAGAAACACTTTAAGGCTAGGGCCTAGGCCTATATAAACAATTCTGATTCGCAGATACTGCGATGCCATTTAATAAAAATGTTCCTATTTTCTGTATTAAAGGCAAGTAATTGTATTAAATGTTGAATTTTGATAAATCATAATTATCAAGTACATACTGAGAATCATAAATGGCACTGAACATTCATAAAATAACCCATTGCTCTAGGAGGTGGGAGATAGAACTACAACATCTGACTAAGACAAAACTTAGTTGCTGCTTGAAATTGTATTTGTCTTGTTTAGTGTGCAGTAACAAAAATAAATTTTAAACATCAGTTACTAATTATGTAAGTGAATTCCTATGGGCCTAAACCATATGTATGAACACTAATGAGATACATGTAGAACCATGAAATGTTATGTTTGTAAAAAGTCATTTTGCCCAATGATCCTTTAACTGTCAGATTTTTTGGATGGATTGTCTGAGAACCAGGGTATTTTTGGTGTTTAGGCCCTATTTTTAATATTATATAGTCATTTTTAAGTAAGTAGGCCTACATTAATTCATAAATTTCTGAAGAGAATTTTAAAATAAATGTTTGATTTATTATTTTAACAGACACAGCCAGTCTACAAATATACCAGATTGTCCTCAAGGTACAACACAAATATGGACAGGTTACTCTTTGTTATATATACAGGGTAACGGTAGAACACATGGTCAAGATTTAGGTTAGTTTGTAATATATATTAATACACCATACTATTATTAACAAATAGTCTACTTGTATGGGGCCCACCACTGATTGCACTAAAGCTAATTCTTTCAGTAGGCAGACTTTTTTGATTTATGCTAATTTCTCAAATTTCTTTTATCTAATTTTGGTTGATTTGGATATGTCGTATGAAAGGTCATATTGATCTCATTTCTGAAAGAATTAGCTTCAGTGCTATTAGTGGTGGGTCTTTCTGTATTTCCACTACCATAGCCTGACCGGTTAAATTGTTATCTTTCATACACTGTCATTAATAATAGCTGAAAGCAACCATTTAAGTTCTTTACCGTAACTATGAGCATGCCTGTTGGAACTAGCCACAACATACAGTTTCTATAACTTACCAGTAATATACATTAAAACATACATGAATAGGTGATTAAAGGTGAATGTAAAAACAAAATGATGATTTTTTTTCAGGTCAACCAGGAAGCTGTTTGAGAAGATTTAGTACCATGCCATTTATGTTCTGTAATATTAACAATGTATGTAATGTAGCATCACGATCAGACTACAGTTACTGGTTGGCTACCATGGAACCAATGACACCAATGATGGATCCAGTCAGTGGTAGTCAAATTAGTCCTTACATCAGTCGATGTTCTGTTTGTGAAACACCCACACCTGTAAGTTGGATTTTATTTCTCAAATTTTTTATACGCCTACATTTTCATGTGGACGTATATTGTCGTCGCCCCCCTCTGTCCACAAGTTGTTTGTGGACACTCTACAGGAAACGATTCTAACCGATTTTGATGAAATTTGAAATATAGGTTTCAGTTCTTTACGATATTTGCATGTATTGAATCATAACTTTATGGATTATGTCCCCTGATTTCAGTTCTTTTCGATATTTGCAGGTATCGAATCATAACTTTATGGATTATGGCCCCTGATTGTACGAAAAATCACATTATTAGCTTGTGGACAATCTAGAGGTCACAATTTTTATCAGATTTTGATGAAACTTGAAATAAATGTGTATAACCAAACGATCTTGGTTCCTTTTGATATTCGCACATATAGGACCGTATCTTCTTGGATTATGACCCCTGATTGTACGAAAAATCACATATTTAGCTCATGGATCCTCATTATATTCCACCATAATGAAGGTGGAGATCGAATTTCGGGAAAATTGAAACAAAACTGCCCAACAAAATTGCGTACATAATTTTTGTCCGATTTTGATGAAACTTAAAATATATGTTTATATCCCAAAGATCTCGGTCCCTTTCGAATTTTTAGCTTGTTCTCTATCCATCTCTTGGAAAATGTGGGCGTATCTTGCCTGGCAACTGCTGGTTAATTCTTTTTGTCAATGTCAAAACGCTAAAGAAGCCGCATTCTCACTTGCATGACATCGGCTAAATCTATTTGTTAAGGCCAGATCAATTTTCATTGAGGTCGCTGAGATATAAATAAGGTTAGGGCACGTGATTGTTGGTGACATTGTAGGTTAGGGTTAGGGTATGCATTGGGGCTAGATCCAGGGTTAGGGTTAGGGTTGGGATTAGCACTAGCCCTCTTTACATCTCGTGACCTTTGACCAAATTTTTATTGTTCTATTATTGTTGAGGTAGTATAAAAATTGTAGTAATAGCTCCCTTTCCAATAAATAAAGTGATTTTCATGGAAACTTTTTTTAAAGTATATCCTTATTCTCAATAAATTTAATTATTTATTTAAAAACTACCTTCAGGATGAGTAGTATATGTGTTATATATATTCATATAAGAAATGGCTATAGTGTTCATCGAAGATTTAAGTAATATTTACACATGTTAAGGTTTTATGTTTGTATTGGTTGTAGGTTGTAGCTGTACACAGTCAAACTATGATAATTCCTGATTGTCCAGTTGGCTGGACCAGTCTTTGGATTGGTTACAGTTTTGTAGTCGTAAGTATACCCAATTCATCTTTTCTGTCCATATTAATTTACTCAAATGTCTGCAGACAGGCTAACACAAAGTAATGGTATCCAAACTGGACATGGATGTATTGTTGAAATAGTTTGACAAACTTCCACATTGTAAATCAAGATGACCACGTAAAAATCAGTAGGTCAACTGGCAAGTAACAGGGCCTGTGAGAAGGGTCCCAAAGGTATGCCAAGTAATTTTTAAAAAAAAAATACTGTTGGTATGAATTAATTAAAAACATACACAGTTACTTGATCGTAAAGTAGAATAAATTTGAGACTTTTCTGAATGTGGGTACCTAGTGGCGTGGGTAGGATTAGAAACGGATTCTGTCAATCCACTTTTTTTTTGGAAAAATTAGTGAATTAAAAGCTATAAGTCACCTGTCCGGGCCTAAGGCTCTCGTCACCGTCACAGTGTACCAAACTGAATAGTTTACGTGATGAACTTCCTTTTAATATTTTGGCGTCTGATTGTCACAGTTTTTGTTTTGCTTAAAATTTTCTGTCAAAATTGTGTACATCTGATTATTATTGTATCGGTAAAACTAGAACGTAGTACATGTATTTGGTATGTCATATGTTGTGTTAAATCTCAGTTAATGTGTTTTAGCAAAGTAACCTCCAGTTACCCCAGCAAATATCTGCCAAAATGATGCTCATGACCATGTATCTTTCGAAATTTTCGAGTCTGTGGGGACCCAATAGATTTTTAAATCGTGAAAGTTTGTTCTCAGTTTGTCTAGAAAAATCAAAGCTTTAAGCAGTGAATTCTGTATAGCATTATAATAACTGGTGACATTGGTAATATAAAACACAAAATTTTTATGCAATACATTTACTGAATATAATAGTAGCACCATTTCAACAATGATTCTCTTGTATGATAAATGCTTGATAATGACACAGGAGTCATTTTGAAACCTGGCTCATGTAAAATTAAGTAATTGTATCCCATTAAAGTTTTGTGTTAAAAGTTTTGTGTTTTAATTAATAAAAGTAGAATAGCTGATATAAGAATTATATTTATTGAAAAAACCAATCTTTGATTCTTTCAGAATACCGGTGCCGGATCAGGTGGAGCTGGTCAATCACTTGATTCCCCTGGTTCCTGTTTAGAAGATTTCCGTTCTAGACCATTCATTGAGTGTCATGGAAAAGGCACATGTAATCATTATGCCACTAGTTTTACCTTCTGGTTGGCTACATTAGATCGTCGTGAACAATTTGGTGCCCCTGCAGCAGAAACTATAAAAAGTGGAGATTTGAGACGTAGAATAAGCCGTTGTCAAGTGTGTAGATTAGATCGTAGAAGTCGACCAGCAAATTTTAGGTTTAATAACAAATAAATAAACTTGTAGCAGAATTTTTTTTTGTTGTTTAAAAAATCTGTTTTGTCAACATTTGTGATCTCTGTCTCTTGTTTGTTTTGAAATTTGGAAAAAAACGGATAAGATCTATGTGATCCTTCTGTAAATATTCCTAATGTTTATTTTTTCATTGGGAGTCGTCATTTAGTATAAAAGGTCAATATTTTTCTGCTATATATATTATTGTAGATAGTTATGTATGTGCAGTTACTGTCATGGCAACTTGATTTCAATATGGTGCTATATTGTTTATGATGATGTATTTTGTGTACATTTTGACAGAATATACTCTGTTGCAAGAATGTTGTGTTATTGGATATAAGCATTATTACCTATTAAACAAAATCCCCCCCTTTTTGTATTATATATTAGTGTTAGAATATCGATTTCCAGGTAGTTAGAATGTATTAAGTTTACATTTATAATAATCATAAGTACATACATGTAAAAAGACACTGCCATTTATGGTAAGGCTACACCAATATTGTTAAATGTTTTAGGTAAGGGTACACAAGATAAAATGCAAAGAAATGAAAGCTGCCTAGGAAATAATAGTTCATAAATTTTGTATTATGTTAAGATTCAGGACCACCTAAAACATTAACTGGAATTTGTGTAGCCATTACTTTTACTTGTGATACAGCCAGATTATGCCTTAAATTTCTTTACTTACTGTTTTTCTAGAGAGTTCTACCAATAATGTGCCTAAATAACAATCCCTCCATTTAATGTGCTAAATTTTCTGAAGAGGTGATTGATTTTTTGTTATATTTTTGTGTAATTATTATAAATGTTCATGTCGCCTTTAGTGCAATACCAGTAAGTAAACTCTTTTAACATTAGAATTGTAGATACAGAAACAACAACAAATTGTTTTAGTGTGTTTCTTATTTTCATAGAAAAACATTTTACACTATTAGGTTATCAATTTTTTAAACTGAAACCACCATTTTATATGTTATGGATATTGGATTTCTTAAAATTACAAAGCATAATATATTTTAAGGCAAATTGATTGTACATTAGCTAAATATTAATTAGAATGAATTTAGCTGTCCATGCACTTGTTTTAAGATAAACCTTGATTTTCTTTATTTTTTATTCTATAGCAAGACTGTACCATTCAGTATTGGCTGAGCTCAAACTTTGTTTTGATAAATTTGTAATTATTGTGCTATTAAAGATCATGTCACAATTTTATCCCATATAGTCATGTCTTTCTGGTGCTTCATGATAATCATTGTTGGAACAAAATGTCTCAAAGCTGGTAAATGAAATGAAATGGGGTTGAATTTTTTAACATCTTATTTCTTAAACCAACTGCAATGGTAAGGTGCCCCACCATAAATAAATATCTCAAAATATCTCGACAATTACACCACAATATTTATATATATTATATACCAAGCTTTAAATCAGTTTCGCCCATTTATAGTCACTAAATAAACGACCATGTTGTACTTAATAAGCTATGACCATTTAACCATCAATAAATAATAGACTGAAAAATGGTTACGAGTGTCGGCCATAACATCCAGGCACTTTTGAGTAAAAAATATGTTACGTGCGCTTAAACAGTCTACCGACCATTCTCCATCTGACTGACGGGCCGGGATAACCAAGACTACTTTTTACGAAACATAACAGAAAGCTGGAACAAGAAATTGAATTTAGAAACACGCACGTTAGGCAACTCAACAATTATTTTAAGAACCTTGTGAAAGTAATATGAAACTACTGCTAGTATCATGTTTCAGAGATATTATTTGTACTAAACTTATGCGGCTCTTAATGTAGTTAATGATAAAACAATTTAAAAAATAAAACGAACGTAATTTCTAAAGCTGTTGTAATAACCAAAAAGCTAAATTTTACTGCTATTCCGAATGTCAACAATACATTTTTTACGGCTGTAATAGGGTTGATAGATGTGTAGTGAATTTCACGTGCGATGACTATTTATAGACTCATAGATACTTGTGCTGAGCGTTATTGCAGTGTGTGACTAACCAGAAATCACTTCCAGACAAGCCACTGAAGCGTTCACATTCGCCGTGTCGAGTCCAACTTTCAGTACGGAAAATTTTTGTGGCATGGGGTACTCTATCTATGGCCTATACTTTCTGTCAAATCAATTTCTGTCAGATCTATAACAGACTATCAATAAATGGTCTTGCATCACTTAGAAGGGGATACTGGACTAGAAAATCTTATTTGCCAACACTGGGATCAAACCAGGGACCTCTTTTTTTGTGAACCAGCGTCACACTCCCTAATCCACCTTGGCTTGGATGCTTACATATAACCACAGTAAACAATTGTTATTTTTTGTTTTTTTTGGGGTCGATTTTTATACACCCACATTTAAATGTGGCCGTATATTGTCGTCTCCCCCGTCTGTCGGTCCGGCGTCCACAATTGCTTGTGGACGCTCTAGAGGCTAAAGTTAATATCTGATTGAATTTAAATTTATACACAGTGTTACAGGTCTTGAGACAAAGAATCCTATTGATTTTCAGCGATTTCCGATAATTACTGCCAGATTTATGACCCTTGATAACTTTGAAAAAGCTTGTGGACGCTCTATAGGCCAAAGTTAATATCCGATTGACTTTAAATTTATACACAGTGTTTAAGGTCATGCGACTAAGAAGCCTGTTGATTTTCAGCGATTTCCGATATTATAAATGTTTCATTACCGAAAAAAGTAAAAATATGCGACAACTCTTGTTGACTGCTAGGACGATTTAGCTGCTGTGGGCGTATGTTTCGTTGCCTGGCAACCTATCTTTGTTTGTGAGGGAAAATAATTTGCAATTCAGCATTACTGATGATATACTTAACAGGTGACGAAAATATGTCCATGTGTACAAATCCTGTTGCTTTTTTTTTTTTACCTTGCAACCTAGATAAAGAAGTATATACTGTATTTCGTTATACTTTTACATAATTTGTATCAGGCCTAATTCAGTTAAAGATATTGGATTGGCAAATATTATTGATTTTTACTATGCCCTTATAGTGACATCTAGTTTGTTGGATTCTTAAATTTGGTTTCTTCCTCTCTACAAAACCAGATCTATCCTGCATTACTCTATTAGTAGTTGAGTGCAAATTGATTAACTGGGGGTTTGAGACAGAAATAGGATTTAACTCGACACAATCAAGGTTATTCTGGGACTAACATATGGTTTAATTTTATTTCAATAATTCCCTTGCATGCACTGGGAGGAAACCGGAGAGCTTGGTCATGTGATACTATTCCTGGTCAAATAAAAGTGTAGAGCATGAACCATGCTACTTGATTCGATGATGGACCGTATGACCTAACATGCAGACATTTGACTTTTGAGCCCCCCACAGAAATCTGCTTAGAGGTTCTTTTACCTGCAGACAGCTAAATATTGAAACGCAACTTTTAAATAATATTCTTTATTTACAAAGATGTAACAATGTATTAAATTTATACATGAAGGATACATTTATATATACAAGTTGTTAACTAGGATTCTGTTTCAGTGCCACAGTATATTATCAAAACATTAACATTTCATTCTGAAGTCTCTGATCTTCATTTGGTGGAAGTTTTTAAATCCTTTTAATATTGTGAAAGTTGAATCTCTACGATCAGTCAAAAATTGGTTCAATTCTATTCAGTATTTACTAAAAATATGATGAAGCTAAAATTTGGCATCCCTGCAGACAATATAGACGGGGGGGGGGGGGGGGGGGGGGGGGGTGTGTTAAACTGTGAATATCACAGTTGTAAAAGAGTAAAATAAATCTGAAAGCCAATATATTTGAAGAATTCCAGAAATTATTTCAAAGCAATAATTGATCATCTTAAATCAAAGAGTAGACATGCATAAAATTGAAGAAAGACTAATACTGTAAGAATGCTCAGAAAGTTATCTTGCTGCAGGATAATCATAGAAATCCACGAGCACCTGATCGTATCATTAAATTAATGCTGTAGAACATCATAAAAATTTGAAGAATATTGCAAACCATGCAAACTGCAATATCTTGAAATCTGAAAGGAATTTCAGTATTTACAGAGATTAAATGAATTGAAATCTTGCCACATTCATCACTTTTTGTCCACGATATAAAAAAGTCAGCTCCACCTGTAACTGTTGGGTAAAATTATTTGATATGCCTCTTTTATTAAATTCTGATTGAGATTATCTACAGATGATATTTTGGTTTTGTTTCCCTAAATTCAATAATCAATTTGAGTACATTTTAGCATAGATTACTTACTTATTGTCCTAAAAATTCCAATTACACATTAATTTCATGCATACAACAATAAATGTATAATTCCTTCTGCATCTGGATTATCACAAATATTATCAGGTAACATGAACATTTCAATTTCACTTCTCTAACCCATTCTTGAATAAAATCTCAAGTAATAATTTATGAACTGAGAAGAGAAATGATTTATTTGTGGTATATAAACATATGAATTTAATGGTTCAGCGATATCATTCTATCAATCACTCGGACACTTTCAAAATATACATAATGAAATAAACATTGACACAAATTATAAACACTCAATAAACAGAATTCATCATCTTCTATTTTTCTTATGTTTGTGACGATGACGACTAGGGCTTCTTGATGTTTTTCTCTGTGGTGATCGTGATAATGAATGACGTGATCTTCTGGGACTAAAATAAAGGGAAGAAAATAAATAGAATTTATCAGTCGTAAACTTCATCAACATCAACAGCGTTAAATCATCAGCACCCTGTGTCCTTGCATCCCAAAAGTCACATTTATTTTTATGGAACACAAAAATAATTAAATCTGATAGATTAGAAAACTACTGTAAAACATTAATGTGTATACAAAATTTCAAGATGTCTTGAACAGTTTATGAGATATGGTTCAGAAACAAAACAGAGCCCATATCAATATCTCTCACATAGCTTTATTCATAAGTACAAGAAAGTTCACAAAACCCAGGCATTTAGCAGCTGACAAAATAGTAACTAACCTTTTAGTACGCTTTGTTCTTTTGGGTGAACTTGACCTGGATCTTGACCTTCTTCTTCGTCTTGGTGATCGATTTGGTGAATCTGTACTCTCCTGTAAATCAAAGAGAAAAAAAATCAAGAAAAAAACAAGGAGAGAAATGTTATGCAAACTTAATGTTATGAAATTTCTCAAATTTAATTTTTAGCTGTAATTAAATATAACGGGGATGGGGTGTTCAGTGCCCTTGCTGTATGACTTCTGTTACCCCCCAACACATGTTTGAACTTAGATTTAAAAAGCATAATTTCGCTTCCTATTTGTGATATAAGCCAGATCAATCAACACCAGCAATAGTCGTAAACCACATCAATAGCTGATTTTCAGTTGCTATAACTACCATACCTTGTTTAGCAGTTTATTTCTGTATTGTTGTATCTGATCCAACATTGATAGGTTCGGTTTCCTCGATCTCCTACCAGCTTCAAGTTCATCTTGATATTTCATAACCTTCAACTAGAAAACAATATCAGTAATTTGTAACCAAAATAATAACTAATGTTGTTAATAATATGCTTAAATCTAGTACATACAGAATACAATTATATGACATAGACAGTTAGCAAAGTGTTAACTAGAATTCTCTAGCCATTGGCTCTGGTACCCATGCCCTCTTGAATTAACCCAATGGTGCGTGCTTGGTATTCGCATTCAAAATTGGCATATCGTTGCATCTTCCATAGTGTTCTACGCCCCAAGTTTTTTTAATAGCTAGATTTTATACAAATGTTTGCAGTGCACCATGTTGCATTCAAATGTTTGTGTTTGAGAGAAGAAATCTGTGGTGTGTTTACCATCATTCTGACATGTTACCATCGGGATCTAATGTTGTTATATTCATCGCATCTCTCAAACTAGATTTACAAGTGGTGCTTTTTCATTGCGTCTAGGTATAAATACTTTTCAAAAGAAGTGTAGACCACAACATACAATATTCCACAATAAGAGAACCACCAAATCAAACGAAATACAAATTCTTACCAAGAGAATTCAAACCACTGACTGAATATTCCTGACAAAATCAATTACCTCAATTTCTCTTAATTTAGCTCTTCTCCCTTCTGACATTTCTTGCCGACCCTGAGAACTTCTGGGAGGAGGGATATCATCTTCACTGTCACTGACATCAGATACTTGTGATCTGCTATTTTCATCTTCAATAGGTCTAAATTACAAAACATGAATATAAACTGAAATACATACCTTTATTGCCCAGTGTGAAACAAATCATTTTTCAAATGTCAGTGGGAAATTCTGTGATGGCTTCATTCCTACAATTTTTTGGGGTGTTTTTACCATTTTTTTCTGTTTGAAAATTTCAATCAAGCTCTTTGGAAAGAGGAACTATCGATATTCTGAGAATGGGTGTGTAAATGGAGGTGTGGCTACAGTATGACAATAGGTGTATTAGTTAGAAACGTAGTCATTAGTCCATACATAAAAAAAACCCCATTGATTATTAAATATTTGCCAAACATAGTCATTAGTCCATACATAAAAAAAACATTGATTAGTAAATGATTGCCAAATCCCAAGCCTTTAGAAATGGCAGTAGGTTCAATAGATCACCGAATTTTATCTATACGTAGACAACTGAAAACCAGTTTACAGTGTAAACTTTACACATTCTACGATAAGGCATTGAAGACAGATTTCCACTAACTATTGACATTTAAAATCAAAATAGAAACTAAATGAACATGGTAACAGGTACACAAGCAAACACTAATTAGTTGAAATTACCATGCACACTATATTTTAAATTAAGAACTTACTGTCCATCTAGTTCTTGTTCTAAATCTTCTGTTTTATTTCGTTCATCGGTTGGATCTAATTGATCCCACTTAGATGTTGTCATTGCTGTAAAAACACATCAACATATCATATAACAGTACAATAGAATTTGTTTTCCATGTGATATACCACAATAGATAAACAGTTCTCATCTATAGTGTTAAGCAGGGCTCAAACTAGGGACAAATTTTAAGGAGAAGTGACTTCTCCCTACAGACAGAACAGGGAGAAGTGAGGGAGACATGGGGAGACTTGAAGGAGAGGTCATATTTCATGCATTGACGCCACCAATTTTATTAAGTTACACAATATGCTAAATAAAATAACAAACATCTTTTAGCTGCAAACATATATATTTATCAGTAAATACGACAGTAGTGTGCGTAACTCCTGGTCACTCAGTAAGACATTATTTTTTGACACCCCACTCACACACTCGTAGTCATTTACCTTGTTTGTTATACGTTTAAGTGTTTAGATTAGTGGAACTACTAATATTGACGTAAATTTAATTATCAACCTGACATTATGCTTATCAACACATTCTAAATACATGTTGTAATCATTCTGATAAAAATTGTTTTACTATCGCCACCCGTCTACATAAATGTACGCCAACGCTATTTTCACTTGTCACACGTGTTGTTCTTTATTGACTGTACCATGTTGACACAACAATGTACACCTTTCGTCACCTTTCAATCACAAGTTTTATGTTTATTATTCTCTTTATTATTAAATTATTTCAAAGAAAGCGGACGAATTCAGTATTTTGTCTTCAGTATTGTATCCGCCGCCATATTGGCCATGATAGCTTTTGATTGGCTGTTCTTTCTGGACGAAGCCAGAGGTTCTAGCGGAGATTTATGGTTCGATTTCTTCGCTTTATTTTTAAAGAATTGTATTTCCTGTTGACATAAATTACAATTTTTACCATTGAAACTATTAAACATTGTCACAGCCAACAGAGAGAGAGTCGAAAAACAAAAAATTAATTCATGTTTTGCTTTTCACAACTTGTTTAATTTTCAGTTTTCCTTTCGATGCTCACAATGAGAACACGTGTGTTGTTTTGAAAATGCTTTGTTTACCGTTGATATCGATGCCTGTTAAATTACTACTTCGCCCTTGCACAAATGTACGGCGAAGTGTTTTGCTTTTCACAACTTGTTTAATTTTCAGTTTTCCTTTCGATGCTCACAATGAGAACACGTGTGTTGTTTTGAAAATGCTTTGTTTACCGTTGATATCGATGCCTGTTAAATTACTACTTCGCCCTTGCACAAATGTACGGCGAAGTGAGGGCGACTTCAACTTCGCCCTATTGCCTTTTAGGGCGAAGTCATCAATGGGTTATGCGACTATTTCGCCCACGTCGCCCGCTAATTCGAGCCCTGGTGTTAAGTGGTAACAGGTGTTCTTGAAAGAATAAGGATATAAAAAAATCTGGTTCTAGAATACTGACATGTCAATTAAAAAGTGTGGCATGATCAATTAAATGTTATCATTGATATTGCCATTTAGTAAATAATATCAATCTGTATAAATTTACCTTAAGGGCATTGAGTACTCTAAAATGCACATTTTATTTTAGCATAGATGATAGCTGCTCGGAATAGCTGGGCCAGCTCTGATCAATTTCAATCAACACCCTCTTTAACAACCCCCTTATTTCTGTACGTTGGCTTCAATTTCCTTCCCAAATATGGAATAAACATCCCCATTCTCCCAAGACCAGGGGGGAGAATATTACCTTATTTGGTCTACCAACCATATGTCATAAACAGATAGAATTTGATGGATATTTTGATAATGGTAAGGATTTTACCAAAATATCACAGTTTTTTTATATATAAACACGTCATACACTTTCATTAGTACGTGTGATTTGACTCTATAGACAGTATTATCCAATAATTAGTTAAAGATACACTATGGTTTTAAGGACCAAAGTACTACACTACACATTAACTACCAAAAGGATACCAATTTTATTTACCAACAATGTTCCAAACTTGGCCCAAAAGCATGATAATAAAGGGTGCTAAATTCAAGTCCAAGCAACCTACGGTGCATGTTTTGGCTTTAGTCCGTGTTTGTCTGATATCCATTAAAATGCCAAAAAATGATGAATTTTCTTGGAAATTCTATAAGTTCAGACCAAAAGGAGATGTTGATAATCCCAACCGTAGATCAAAAGTAGAGGTTATAAGCGACATTTCAACACCAAAAACATTGAAAAACATCAACTCAAGACTTCAAACCAGATTTGGTTATTTTGGGTAAATTCTTTGAATACGTCCACAACAAGTTTAAAAATACAACAATTCGGATGTAAAAAGTAAATATTTACTTTAGTGCATACTGCCGCACTCAAAATCATGCATTCAAAAATGGCAGTCTTTGACCATCCAAAAAAGAAATTCAGCGATGTTCCAGTCGCGATGGCTGGAGGAAGCCATGATTGTTTACTGCGGATAACGTGACCAATGTGCACGACATCACAATTTATTCAACAACTGATCTGGGTCAGGGGAAACCTTATCACTTGCTAGAAATAAGTCGGGGTTTTTTTTTCCGCTTGTATCTCCATTATTACACAACAAACAGTCGTAATTTTTATGTGTCTTCTGGGTATTTCACACTTGGAACAAGTATGCTAAGTTTCAATAAGATTGGCGCTGAAACGTTAGTGTGTATCTTCGACTACTTAATGCCCTTAAATCTAATATCATTTTATGGAAGTTTTATAATATGAAAGTTACCTCTCAGTCTAATTATTTAACATTTACAAAATCCATACCTTGTGCTTCTAAATCTGCCTCATCAACTGTCTCCCATTTTGAAGGTATAAAAGCTGCCATAGGTTTTGATTTCGGCTTTTCTACTGCAAATAAACATTGAATATATAGCGTATATTTAGTATGAAATTGTAACTACCAGTCAAGCTGAAATTTGCTACATTACATAAGCTGATCACACTTTATAGTAATGTATCAATAAAAACTACAGTTGACTGGTTCAGGTTTTAATATAAATGGTGGGTGGTTTATTAAAATATAATATAATAGTGGGTTTTGGCATAAAATACTGACTGACAATATACAAATGAAATAAATAAAGTTTAATGCGTTATGTTTCTTTCCCAACTGGGTTATAGAAGATGTGCATAAACCATGCAGTGTGCTATGATGAGGCAAATGTTGCTCAGAAAGCATCATATCCAAACAAACAGACGCTGTTCCTTGCCAGCTCATACATCCTACAGCACTGACAACCACACAGTATCATTCATAGGAACATTCTCAGTCAACAGAGGGATTGAACCAGGAACTTCCTTATTAGTTAGCCAGCATCAGGCACACACACACTGTATCTCAACAACAACACTTGTATTTCCATGTAGCAAAATTTATTGAATTTAATCAAATTGATGATTTATTGTTCACCCAAATTGCAGAGATCAGGTTCTCTTAAAGATAATTCATGAGAAAAATATAAAGTTTAAATTCTTACGTGGTTCACCATCTATATCATCTTTTAGTGGTTCACCATCGTAATCTTCAATTAAAGGTTTACCATCTATTTCAGATATAGATACTTCATGTACTAGAGGTGCGCCATCTAAATCATCTTTAATAATATCTACATCACCCTACATAAGCATACATGAATTATATCATTATTTATCATTTTAATCTTCTAAAACTTGCATGAATTGAAGGTGAATACTTTCAAAGGCTAATTGTCAGTTTCCTTTTAAATTTAAGTAAAATAAGGTACGAAAGGTGTACTTAGATAATTATCTTGGTGATTAGATGCTATTATGACTTCACTGTTCAAACATAGAAACAAATAACACTTCAGTGACTGGTTAACATCCTATAGTAAGTGCAGGAGGATCACAATACACGCACACAAAATCAATGGCATTAAACAAACCTGCGCTCCTGCAGACAATTGCTCACTGCGCTCTTGTAGACAATTGCCCACTGCGCTGATGAAATCAATAGAAAATAATAGGAGATTTAGACGGTTGGACTTTGTGATGTATGGACCAATACTCTTTTATATACATTTAAGACTAATTTTAAAATGTGTAGGGAATGAAAATTTACATTTGGCTTTTAGCCTGGAATATTGTGCCTCCAGTGTATTGTAATAGGGAATGTAACAAAAACAGATTGTATGAAATATGAGATTAATGTGTTGCTTAGTGGCATTATTATATTTATAAAATCTACTAGGTTGTTTTACCTTTGGAACAAGCCCAAGGAATATATTCTGTAGTTTAATCAAAAAGTCGTTAGGATAAATGGTCCAATCTTCCCATGCACGGAAACATAACATTATTTTTTGCTGAAAAATAAAATAAAGACTATTTTGAATAAATCTGTGCAATTCTACTAAAACTATAAAAATTCTAACTATCTGTCTTCATAGTTTTACTTTCTTTAGATGAACATGAAAGTTAAAATTAGCAAAAAGTTCAACTTTTGTCAAATATAACTACATGTTGACATAGTATTAAAACAATGAAGTTTTTAAACTATTCTATCTCTTTGCATTTAGATGGGAAGTAAAATATTAAAAAGTTCAACTCTGGTCAAATACCATAACAAGGTATACATGAAAAGACTTGACCATCAATTATTTGTTTTGGAAGGAACAGGATTTGCATACCAAAAACTAAGTCAATTTTGAATCCATATAAAGACAAAAATTGCAACCCTGAGAAGTGGTTCCAGAGATAGTCTCTGGGAAAAAAACCCAGGGATGGATGCAGGCCACGAAATTTCACACGAATGATACCAAGCTGTTACCTGCGATCGCGCCAGCCCAAAAACATGCGACCGATATCCTGGTTACGCAAATTGAAATATCAGTTACGTTAACAAATTTATTCACATTTGATAAATTTTTATACAGGATAACTTTGTGACACAGGTATAAATTACTAGTATTATAGCTTTTAAATTAAGGGTCAGCACAAACTCCTTTCATTCATTCATACTTGGCATTTCATTTTTCCATCTTACCGGTACTTAAAAGATCAGGTATTTTGACAGATCACATATTCTGACATCACCTTTTGACCAGTTGCAAGCAGGTTAATTTAAAAATGCCCTCCCATCCCTAATTCTTTAAATGATTAGTTATGCCATAAATATTTGAAAGTGTAACTTTGGATTTTCAAATATAAAAAAAGAGTTTGACTATTTAACATGTAAGCTATATTTCCAAAGAATTTACTACACGTTCCTTTCACTATAGCCATGCTGTAGGGTGGTACCAATGACCCGTATGTATGTCGTCAACTTTGACACCCACCTGCACATGGCAAAGTTGAGTGATAATGTAAACAGTTTTAGTGTCCTGTCTATTTTAATATTATTTCATCACAGGCTATTCGGTTTCCTTTTGAGATTTTGTTTATAGAGTGCCGAGGTTAGTAAATATTATTTGTCAATCAGTCGGTACCTGAGGTTGTATCTACTTTCTGATCAATAACAACAGACATAAGAAGTCAATCAGCTAGCTTACTAAGTTACTTAAAATATAGGGATTTAGTGAAGTGGAACAAATTTTTCTAGTGTTTAAATGGGGTCATCGTGGGGTTAAAGTCATAAACACTTAAATTCAAAATATAATATTAAATATAATACAATATAAATTAGTAAAAAAAAATACATTCACTGCAAGCGGAAATGAATAATAGCACCATATAAATCTGGATAAAACATGAAAATAGCGCAACCATTTTATGTAACCAATTGGTTACGCAATGGTCATCTGGCGTAACCCACAACCATTTTTCTAGTTATGCCAAAATTTGAAATTTCGACGCCTGTGGATGGGTGGATGGAATAAGTTCATTTTAATATCCCTCTCTTAATCTACTAATTTAAAACCACTGTCATATAAACATAGGATATTTTATCAACTAAAACATACCTTAAACTGTTCAGCTTTCAGACGACCTTCAATACTTTCATAGGTTTCTCGAATATCTTTAAATATGTCCATTAATTTTGATTGGAAACTGGAAATATAAAATATGTACACATTACAATTTGGTGGATGTTGGGAGTAGGTTTTCAAACATAAAGATAAACCCAATCTTATTTAGAAATATTATCAACTTTTTACAGATCAATAAAAAGCAATTAATTTGGTGAAGGTATGCAAAGACCAGAGAAGATTTGAGTACTTACAATTTTCGGAAAAAAGAAGCATTAGGAACTTTAGCACTACTGTTAAATAAAATATCTGACACTAGGAATATACGAGCAATCTGAAAAATACAACATAAAAAAAATACCAAATTACAAAATTTCACAGTGTAAAGAGTAGGTTCTCTCTAATAACTTCAAATTTTGCGGTAAAATAAATCAACAGTACAAAATTATAACTTGACATTTTGCCATAAAATACATGTACAATACAAAGAGTATCTCTAGTAACTTGACATTTTGCCATATAAAGTACAAAGTACAGTACAAAGTTATATATAGTAACTGTACAAAACAGAACATTAACTTACCTTTTTAGGCATAGGTGTTTGTAAAATTGACAAAGATTCTGACAAGCATTCTACTATTTCTTCTGCTGACTCTGCATGATCTAGACACCATACCATAGCATCACCAACTTTACATCTCTCTGGTGTTAGTTCTCTTAACATATCTTCTAAACGATCTCGTTGACTATATTAAAACAAAAACATTAACACATTTCTCAACAACAGAACTAAGCTGAGCTGAAAACTCCTGAGGATCTGGGATCTCATTAAAATTACAATCTAACAGTTATAACCACTTTCTTAACACTTTACTACTACAGCACTACTTCTATTGTAAAATGTTTGCAAGTGAATACACTTTTTTATAAAACAAATATATATATACTGACATACCTGTCTTAAAGTATATGGAAAATAATCAAATGTAAATACTTATATGCGAAATATTTTCTGCACCAAGTTGATTTAAGACATTCCTCTATCAAATATTTACAGTAAGTTTGAACATTCTACTTCAGTTTAGAAGCAAAGTTATTGTGCCTCAAAAAGTGTGAGACAGAAAGATGGACAGCTGTTTAGTAAACACAAACGAACATTTACAACCAATGAATATTCTGTCTCAATTAGAAGTACAGTGGACTCTTGCCACTTCCGACATCGTATGGGATCGATACAACATGCCAGATTATACAGCATGACGGAATACTTAAATTGTCTCAATTCTGGAAGTATTATTGTACCTCAAATAGCGGAAGAATTATTTCAATACACCTTCGAATACCCAGAACTTAAAATATGATAAATCTTTCTGTACATTCAAAACTTTATCACATAAAATTATTACGTTTTTACTTCGGAAGCGTACAAACCCCTCGTGCATCATTCTGTTGATGTCTTCATATTTAGAGTTCAAGTAAAATCATTTCTTACCCTTTCTTATATCACGATATTCATATACATCAAGAGTGACATGTCAGTTGCTGAAGTGACGAGTATTGAAATAAGAAGTGGTACCGACATCGCTAGCCATTTTGTAATTTAGTACACACGATATGATTGAAGTGACAAATAAGACAGGTTTCAGCCAATGTAAAAATTGATTACTGGGTGGCCACAGTATGATAGCGCCTGCCTACATGTATTATAATATGGTTTCTTATATTTTTTAGTGGTTTTTAACAAGTTTTTGGGGGGGCTTTCAAAAAGTAATTTGTGTTGTATATTGTGCTGCACTAATACAAGGAGAGTGTACATAGTTACCGTGAGTTGCCATATAAGATCGCGACAGGCCAAAAAAGCATCTACTGAATACTTAACGGCTAATTTCTTCTGTGTAGGTCGTGGAACTTTCTCAACATCTTCTTTAATTAGGTGCTGGACATCCAATGTCCATTCTGTACGGACACGCTTTTCTGGACAATCCAGTCTTCATTAGCCCAGGTTAGGAGCAGAACAGTAGGACGTTAAACCCCATTTCATTTCATTTCTGGACGATCACACATTATGAACACAATATTATAACGAGAGATTATAAAATTATTAAGCAATTAACACCCACTGATTGAAGGTCGGATTATTCAATGTTAATTTAGCACAAATCGTGTGACGGAACTGCTGATTGGTGTCGCAATTAAGAATATTCAAAATACCGGGTACTCAAAATTGTTTGGTCGAGGTAATAAGGACATGAAAATGAGGATTGATTTCACAGAATGTCATAGTATTCAGATGTCGGAAGTGACAGTCCATTGTAGTTATTGTTTTCCAGAGTCTTAAACAATCAAATTGCTGACCTCTGCTTAGCCTAAGAAACAAATGTTCATCATCGAAATCAGTCAAAACCTTCATCCAATGAACATCTACACCAAGTTTGAACACTCCATTTTACTCACCTATCAGTTAATTGTCCTTTCTGTATTTCTACTGGTTCTTCTTTAACTCTTGGTGGAGGTTTTCTTTCACTAACTACTAGATCTTCTGGCATACCTTGAGTGTAAGGATTCATTGGTGGTGGTCTCCACATAGATCCTCCATCAAACATACGGAACTCTTTAGTATTCCATCTGTAAGGTGTATCACCCTTGAACAACACATTGAAATAAATATTCTAGATTTCTATTTATATTTTTAATGTCAAATGTTTTGGATAATATTGAGTTAGAGCTACATAAATCCTACTAGTTAATCTCATATCTGTTAAAGGAGAACTTCAATTATTGCTGTTTGTTTACATTTCATTTATTATCTAATATCCAAATAATTTTAATAATACACACAGGATTATAGTGTAGCAACTTACTGAACAACCGCAGCTGTTAGTCCATGTAAATAAACAAATAAATGCTGATGTACATGTAAGGCTTGCCACCATATGTTTGTGTCAAGACAAATTAAGTATGTGTGCAAGTTCAAAAACAATTTCTAGGAGAAGCAATATGTAATACATGTATATCCTTATAAAAATGCCCTCAAAATTTTTCTATCCGAACATTGAGCTCATTATGGTATCATCTAAAACAGAGCATATTAGAAGTGAAGCAAAAGTTACTACGCATGAAATGACATACGCAAATGAAATCACTTACTTGTAATATTGAAAACATTTTCCATCTGTAGTAAGTATGAGCTGGTGTCTGGTTGTCAAATAAAAACCTGAAAATATTACAGTTAAAATATGTCATATATAAGTAATCATATTGATTAAAATATGATATATGTTGTATGTACATTGAATGAAATCTAATAATAAAATATCAATGCTTGATGATGGTGAGAGTATAAACCTAGTCAAGGTTATCATTAAAGCTGTTATTTATATAAATAGTTTCAGTACACACAATCATTTACAATTTATATTCTAGTACATTGTACAATCTTGTTTTTCAAATATTTAGAATTTTACAAAAACTATTTAAAATTGAATACGAATATCTTGACTAAATCTAAACATGTCTCTTTATAATAATTAATTAAATAAGTACACTGTTAATTAAGGATGTAACGAGTCAAAAAAAATTGAACCGGTTAACCGATGAGCAAAAAACCGACCGTGACCGGTCAACCGATTCACTTTTTAGTTGCGAAGTTATTAATCACCGGTACCGTACGCAGGATTAAAGTTTACTTTTTCACACTGTTTAACTTCGTTTTGAATATAAACTATTAGACCCTAAGTCCTAAGAAGAGTTTATTTATTGCAGCTTATTTTGTTTTTCATTCAAATTTCTCGGAAGGAAACATTGCGTCGTCTAACAATCAAAAAGGTCATGGTCTCACGTGGTCGTCACTCGCCGGGTACCAGCACATGCCGTTGTGTGACAGATCGGAAAATTGATACAATATTATTAGTGTTCGACCAGTTATAATTATAGGAATATTCTATGGCCCAACCTACCTCCATCTCAATGTGCAATGTTAAAATGTAATCCATTAATAAAATATTTAATTCGGCGTCTTTATTCGCGCGCACGGCATTACTTTCATTTTCATACGTAGTCAAGATTACCCAGCCCGAAGATACAACGCAATAAGTCGCTCTTTTCTGGAGAGTCTAATTAGATCACGGTCAAAACATTATTATAACTGTAGGCTTATAGTCCATGCCATTTTCTTAAATTTATATTTATAAATATTGCCGTATTAAAAGCTAATACTATAAAATTTGTATGTTTACCACACGTGACTGAACATGTGACCCCATCGAGCCAATGAAAGGACGAAAAGATTATACCATTTGGCCACGTGCCAGAGGGACGAAAGATACTTTGTTTATGGCATAATTTTTCTACTACGTTTTCGAGCAGCGAATACAACCGTTTTATTACCGGGAAAGTTTTGTATCAACGTGTAATATGAACAAGAGAGCCTGGGCTAATGCTAGTTTACTACTAGGTCGATATACACTGACATTTTTATATAGAACGAATAACGGTCACGGGAATATCGAACCGGTCAGGTTGCAGAACCGAACCGTAACCGGTCAACCGAGTAACCGTTTACATCCTTACTGTTAATAGATTGTTTATCACTATAAACTGTATTTTATGACCTCAGTAATAATTTATTTTCATTACAGATGTAAAGGATAAATCCCAGATATCTGTCAACAAAACTTGTGTGAAAACTCCCAGCTTATAATAGAATCTGAAGGTTACTGCCACGTTTAATAAATTATTTCTTGGAAGATGATACAAAAATTATTGAATAGTGGAACTTATTGTGTGATTAGAATGGAGGAAAGAGTGTATGTGTGTCTATAGTGAGATTTATGTTGACTTTGCAACTGGGAGCAACTAGGCTTATATCGATCAATTCAGCAACTGAGAGCAACCGAATTATGTTGACTTGGAACTGACAGTGATTACACATAACATGTGACTGTTAATTTATTCATCATGTGTGCAACAAAAATGGTCAGTCTTGCCACAATTCTATCATTACATTATTCTCGACATTGTTTGCTTCCATTTTGCCTATTTACGAGGTCACATGACAAATGACGCCAGTTTGTAAGAGCCCTTATGTCGACGGTAACTAGTTGCCACTAGTTGAAGCGAGTTGCAGAAAGTGAATCATGGTCACTTCAACTGAATGGAACTAGTTGCATTAAGTTGTGGAAGACGCTCATTCAGTTGAAAGTTGAAGCAGTTGTAAGGTCTATAGGAGACCCACTTAAAAAAAAAACCTAACAGTTATTTAACTAAAAAACCAGCGGCTGCCAGGCAGGATATGCCCACATTTTCGAGAGATGGATAGAGAACAAGCTAAAAAGAAAGTGATTTTTCCTACAATCAAGGGCCATAATTCAGGAAATTACAATTCGATATGCACAAATATGGAAAGGAACCGAGATCTTTGTGTAATAAACTTACATTTCAAGTTTCAACAAAATCGGATTAAAATTGTGACCTCTATAGAATCCACAGCCTTGATATACCATATTTTTACGCTATTTGAGAACGAAGGGCGGCCATTTTGTCTGTCAGTTTTGGGTGGATTTTCACGAAATTCGAACTCAGCCGTCCTTAGGGTGTAACGGTGATATAATAATTCATTTTTTTAAATCGGATAAAAATTATGACCTCTATAGGGTCCACAAGCTAAAAACGCGATTTTTCGTACAATCAGAGGCCATAATTCAGGAAGTTACAGTCCGATATGCGCAAATATAGGAAGGAACCGAGATCTTTGGGTTATAAACTTACATTTCAAGTTTCAACAAAATGGGATAAAAATTGTGACCTCTATAGGGTCCACAACCTTGATATACCATATTATTTGAGAACGAACGGCGGCCATTTTGTCTGTCAATTTTGGGCCGATTTTCACGAAATTCGAACTCAGCCACCATTAGGGTGTAACGGTGATATAATAATACGTTTTTTTAAATCGGATAAAAATTATGACCTCTATAGGGTCCACAAGCTAAAAACGCGATTTTTCGTACAATCAGGGGCCATAATTCAGGAAGTTAAGGTCCGACATGCGCAAATATCGAAAGGAACCGAGATCTTTAGGTTATAAACTTACATTTCAAGTTTCAACAAAATCGGATAAAAATTGTGACCTCTATAGGGTCCACATCCTTGATATACCATATTTTTACACTATTTGAGAACGAACGGCGGCCATTTTGTCTGTCAATTTTGGGCCGAATTTCACAAAATTCAAACACAGCCGTCCTTAGAGTGTAACGGTGATATAATAATACGGTTTTTTTAAATCGGATAAAAATTATGACCTCTATAGGGTCCACAAGCTAAAAACGTGATTTTTCGTACAATCAGGGGCCATAATTCAGGAAGTTACGGTCCGATATGCGCAAATATCGCAAGGAACCGAGATCTTTGGGTTATAAACTTACATTTCAATTTTCAACAAAATCGGAAAAAAGTTGTGACCTCTTTAGGGTCCACAAGCTAAAAACGTGATTTTTCGTACAATCAGGGGCCATGATCCATGAATTTTCGATCCGATACATGCCAATATCGAAAGCAGCTGAGATCTTTTGGGGATAAACCTATATTTCAAGTTTCGTCAAAATCGGATAATAATTGTGACCTGTAGAGAGTCCACAAACAATTGTGGACGGGCGGACAGGGGCGACGGCATAATACGTCCACATGAAAATGTGGGCGTATAAAAATGTTCAGAGTTCAATCATTTCCAAATGGATAATTAACTTAAGCTGAAGCTTTCAGACAAGGCATTTAAATTGCTATGTGAAACTTTTGGTTTTAGAATTCTTGGACTTCTTCTTTAATGATATGTTCCTTTGAAGCCATTGAGATTATCGATAGCCAGCTAAAATAAATAAATTTATTGACAGTTGTGGACTGAAAAGCGATGACAGTTAGTTAGCTTTAAAAAAAAAAGGTAAAGAGAGATCTAACAAGTATGAAATCATTTGCACAAGTGCTGCTCTTTCATTCAAATGTATGTAAATTATACATTAGTTGTAATGGTAGTGTTTTTAATATTGTCATAGAAAACACTCCCAAGACATATCTTTATACAAAAGTGACATAAATAAACCAATTCTTTTTAAGAAATTACTGAATTTCATAACAACAAGAGTATTACTGTAAAAACAATGCTCCTATTAAATTCAGTAATTGTATTCCATAATTTTTTTGTGTTTTACATATCCTGTTCATGTATATTTTCTAAGTAATAGGTACATGTACAGAATTAGAACCTTGGACAACAAGGGAACATAATTTTATATTTTATACTTACAATGGTATGATGTTTACATCTGATTTGATTTACGATAAAACTAATTTACTATACCTGAATACTGGATTACTAAGTTCTCGATTCATTATCATTGCTTCAAACATTGGTCCTTCACGAACAACAAATTCAACCATTCGATGTATTACGGCTAAAAGACTTCTGAAACAAGAAACATGGACATGGCAACACCTAAGGGGAACCCCCATCTAACCACAAAGACTACATACAAGCACATCTAAATTTATGATGTTTAAAACAAGTTTGTAGTAACTTGGACACAGATCAACACACATACCTAAACCCCCACAAAACTACAGTTTGTTAGTAATGAAATTTTGTTTAAGAAATGTACAGTGATCTAGGCTTTAACTTAATGTAATACCTTAATGTAATAGCATCAATTAGTTTTTAAATAGTTATCCCCCAAACAATCAACCTTGATTTTAAATAATAAAAGCTGTATTTGGAAATCCTTAATTACACAGACAGTTTAGAGAATAGTATTTGTATATAATATTGTATAAAAGTTTGAAGTTTAAATTATTTTCAAGACACAAGAATGAAAATTACAATGCAGTTTTATCCCCTCCTACTTTGATTCATCATAATTTAAAGAGTACAACAACAAAAGGCTAAATCGCTGCTGTATCTCCTGAAACAAATAATTTTGTTTTTTCTAAGTGCTACATGCTGTAACACAATTATTTTAAAGAAATACAGCAGACACCTATATGCAACATGCAATTTCTCTTCAATTCTTTAAAATGTTAGTAATAAAACCCCATAGTTAATTTTCCATAAGATTAAGAGAAAGGTATGAATTTACAAATTGATAGATACTAGCTTTAAAATTAGGCATTTCTAATTGGCAAAGGGTCATTGCTCACACAAAAACAAAACATGCAAATGTGATCTTAGAATTAATTCAATAAAATAATAATCATTACGAATCAATAATAATTAATTATACTAAATCCATTTAAAATGAATTTTTCAATAAATCAATTTTAAGTTTTAACTCTTAACAATAAAAGCCTAATAAAATCTTCTTGCATTCCCAAAGAATCCATCCATATTCTTGTCCAACCATTTCCGTCCACCATCCTTCTCCACTGGCTTCTTTCTTCATTACATTGGTATATTTTAGTCTTATAAGATTTTTTGATTTTTCAAACACCCATTCAGATATCAGACAAGTTAACATTGGCAATAGATCAAAATTGAGACAATGACCTATCTATTGGTGAATATTTCATGATTTTTGTGATAAAACAATTAGTAGATATTTTGTTTCAATTTTTTACAGCATAGAAAGGAAACTTTTATCTTATAAATGGTCACTCATGCCTCGTCAGTTATTTATAAACCTAATGTTTAGATTACATTCTCAAAACTTTATGAGTAACAGAAATCATATTTCTACGAATTTTTAAATTTTGTCTGACATGGTGACTTGTTGAGTTATAAACATACTTTTCAAGTGTCATCAAAATCGGATAAAAACTGTGACTTCTAGAGGGTCCACAACCTCGGTAATACCTTGACAGTTTAGGTCTGAAATTGGAACTCAACCGACATTATGGTGTAACGGTGATATATTCGAATGGTTCTTTAAATCAGATAATAATTGTGACCTGTATAGGGATCACAAGTTAAAAAGGTGATTTTTGTACAATCAGGGGCCATAATTCAGGAAGTTACATCTGAAATGCACGAATATCGAAAGAACCCAAGATCTTTTGGTTATAATCATGCATATCAAGTTTCATCAAAATCAGATGAAAATTGTGACCTCTAGATTGTCCACAAGCTAAAAACGTGATTTTCCATACAATCAGGGGCCATAATCCATAAAGTTATGGTCCAATACATGCCAATATCGAAAGGAATCGAGATGTTTGGGAGATAGACCAATATTTTAAGTTTCGTCAAAATTGGATAAAAATTGTGAACTGTAGAGTGTCCTCACACAACTTGTGGACGGAATGGGGTGACAGCATAATACGTCCACATGAAAATGTGGTTGTATAAAAAAGTATTCCATCTAAAATGGTGCCGTATTTGCAATAAACAGCAATAGCCATGCTTCATTAGCGTGTAATGCTTCATTTTGAATTAAATTTGAATACAAATTTGACTGCCATATCTACTGGTATGTTAACACCACCAAACTGGTTATAACTTTCACTTATTTTAATCCTGCTATTATGTTTTACTAGTATTAAGGATTTATCCTACTTCCAAATGTGTAGTTTGGTAGCAAATTGTTTGTGTGTAAATTTTTAATTCATTAAAATACATGTTTGGTAGTTTAAAATCACTTATTTGAGGGATATATAATCCCTTGTCAACTACATGTACAATCAAGTGCAAGTTGAATCTAAAAAGAATATTGGCCTAAGAATGGTTCAATTCCCTTAAGATAAAGATATGATCAACAGCAAATTCATAAGATTTTACAATCAATTGCAGATGACAAAGACAATATTCCCTGTAAATGTTGGTTTAAATTTTTGGTAGGCCTATTTTTAGGGTATTTTAGTGTGAATTTAGATATTTAAAATTTAGATATTGTCTGAAAATTGTGTCGACTTTAAATGTCATGCCAACTTGTCTGATGATCATTGGGGGATGAAATATAGAAAATAAAAGAAATAAGGCTGTATACCTGTCTGCCGGAATTACGACTTTCACTACAGCATTGGCTAAGGTCTGTAGAAATGGCAGTTAAAAACATGGTCAGCTCAATTTTTGATCAAAACTTACACATAAAAAAGCATAAATTCTACACCCCACCCTATCAGACCCTTTTTGCACATCAAATATAGTATTTATACATAATATTCCTCTTTCTGTATTTACATCATTGAAATATTTTCACTATCTTACTTACCAGTGAAAAAACACAATTAAAAATAAATTAAGAAAAATTGGAGATAAATTGAGAAATATTTGAATGTAGCTAGTGAAGCAATGTTATATTTTTTTTATCTAATAGGGAACATATTAAAACAAAGTTCATGTTGTCATGTTCTTTGAAAATTACCTTCTGAAGATCATCGGGAATCTTGCTGCCATCCATCATATCGTAGTTGAGTGGTGGAAATTTATCTCGATCACCTGGTTTTGGTGGTTGTGCATTAAATGGCAATCCAGAAGCAGGTGGTGGCTGAGTTAATTCTGCTAGTTTGGGTGGAATGTAAACTGGGTGTGGTGGGATTTGGACAGCTTTTCCCCATCCTAATTTCATCTCATATCCCATTATATCAGTACCTAATAAATATTAACGGAAATTTAAATAGGGTTACAACAAAAATCATCAAATGTATTCAATCTGTTTCCTAGAAATATCTTAAAGAAACATTATGGGAGATTTTTATAGAAAGTTGGCCATTCTTGCTATAACAGTTCAAAAGTAGATGATGAAAGAAGAATATATTGAAAATTTCAGTCAAATTACTTTATTCTGAACATAGTTATCATCGTTGTAATATTTGACTAAAAATGGTATTGAAATGTGCCTTCACCTTGGCCGATCGTTTGATTGACAGGCGTTAACTCCACCTACATATCTCGATTATCAAGTAAAGTTTTCAATGGCATGCGGAAACGCTCTACAGCGGCCTCGCTAAGTACACTCTATCATTTAGCCTCGATCTAACTGACGTATTCTCATCAGGGTGCGCCATATTTGAATTAATTAATCAAGTGAAATCCTATTTAAATCCGAGCTGTAGCCGAGCCATCCGGGGGTCTACAGAGTTGATTTTGGGCTTGTTGTTTAAATAAAGATCTAATTTATAATTTCTATAACATCTGAAGCCTAAATTAAGACTTGCAATAATCAGATTTTGCTCTTGCATAATGTATGTTTAAGTCTTTGTCTAGTTAAAGGAATAAAACTTGATTTAGGTCAAAATAAAGTATTGAATTGGGTTGATTTGATACAATATATTGGATTAAAATAAAATCAAGTACGAACAATCCAAACCATTAGACAAAATTCGAAGTCCTAAAAAAACGGTATAGGCAAAATAGTGTAATAAGGCAAAATAGTGTAATCAGCATATGGATTGTTCACAGTGTACAAAATACATGACAAACAGTGGTAACAGGTGTCCGGAAGAGTAAGCTTACCCTGCCTAGCGCAACACCCGCCATAGCTGCATCCAAACTATTAGGCGAAGTCTTGGTATTTAGTTTGTTTACTTATTTTAGTTTTTGGCTTCTCCCCAAAAACATTATTGAAGTTTGCAAAGTGTAAGGTGATCACATTTTTGTTCTAGGATAGGTCATTTGATTTCAATTTTGTTTCATTAATTACCAATTTAATATTTGGTAGTCGAATATTTGAAATGGAGGAGGAATTGAGATCTCTAACTACTCTAAGATTCACAGATGTAGAGCAAGTCTCACTGTATCAATGGCATTTTAAATATACTGCTGTTCACAATTATGGATTTGGAATTAAATTTTCATACCATTTAGACCACTAAGGGCTCTGTCACCATCTTTACGATTCATAAATGCTACAAATCCACAATTTCTAGCTCTTGATCTCTCCTCATCTGTACGTGGCCACATTATCTTCACACTTGCTAATGGACCATATCTCCCGAATATTTCACAAAGTTGTGGTTCAGACATCTACAAATAGAATTAAATAACCTCAAAAAAATATAAAGCATTTTTGATGAAATCTTTTTGACATGACCTGTTACGAAATATGATCAAGACCCAATTTCTTCTACTCTTATAAAAGAAGGTATATTTCGAGTAAAAGATACATTATGGGAGATAAGATAAAGAGATGGCAGTTCTCGCTATAATAGTTAAAAACTAGATAGTGTAAAGGTAATTTGCTGAAAATTTCAGTCAAATTGATCCACTATGAGCCGAGAAAGAAGAGGGTGAAATTTTTGCATAGTCTCGGTCATCATTACTAAAATCATTAATATAAACAGCATAGTCTCGATTATATTATCCACTTTTTTTGATTTAATTATCAATGGCCGTTGGCGGCATATAGGAATCTAATCCAGCCAACATCGAAGGCTAGCCTTGACATCGAGAGTTAATTAATGTCTAATTGATAATTTAGATAACATTTCAGGCCTAAAGAAAGACTTGTAATAAGCAGATTTTGCTCTTGCATAATGCATGTTTAAGAGGTTGACATCACTGCTCTTAAAAAGAAATATGCAGCAGACAATAAAAATATTACTTGCCTTAGGATTAATATTGCCAACATATAAATTTGTTGTTGATTCATCGTTTGTCTCTAATGGACCTAATGCCATCAAATCTATATCACTCGCTGAAACAAAATTATTCACAGTAAGTACATTTACACAATCGGTCTGTCCAGATTTAACTTTAACTAACCAGTTGAATAGAGCAAAGTAAGTTTGATGTATGAAAATTTTGTACATCACTAGGGTGCTCCACCATAAATAAACATCTCCAAATATTTCAACAACCATACCGCAATATAATTATAATAAAATGGCAAATCAAGAAGAATAATTTAAGCATACCAGATACTCTAACAGGCGAGTCTGATTGTTCCTCTTCAAATCTTGGCATTTTATTTTCAGGAGAATCAGGTTCGTTAATGTTATCATTGTTCATACTTCTCTTTAATCTATGTCTTTCTTGTCTTTCAATCTGCATTCTATAAAATACAATATCATTTGAATCAATATATCTATTTTATCTAAAAACCTGTCCAACTGGAATATTTTATCTGTCAAAAATGTATGATTATGATTAAAAAACAATATAGCAACAAACGTGTTTCTCAGGTAACATATAGAACAATTATAGAGGAGCTTACATCCGACACACTGACTTTTGTTTCTTAGGCATAGTGATAGTATAATATGAAATAATAATGCTCGGATAGTCATGTTAATATATTTACGCATGCCATATGAAGCCACAGTAATCGAAATTCAAATATCAGAACATTTAATTCTCTTCGAAAAGAACTGAGTGCCATGGTGACCAAGAAAGATTCTCTGGATTTTTCAGAATGGTTCCCTTTTGTTACTGGTGCAGGACAGAGTGTCTGGCAAGGAACACCATCTAGCTGATCAGATGGGACAAAAAACTGGCCATAGAGTCGATGTCCGGACAAGATTTACTGACTTTGTGTTTTTACACTGCGTGCCCACTTTTCACTGGAAAGTTCTTAGGATCTCCATTAGCTGTATTTGACTTTCTTGTGTTGATAAATGTCTAGCCTACAAATATGCCAATTTATGGATAGGGTACAATTTTCTTGTAAACTGGATGGCACAAAAAATCTCCCTTCTATACTTACTGTTTTAATTCTTCCTTAAATAATTCTAAATTACTTTTCTTCTTTTCATCAGCTTTCTTCTTTTTAAAATTTGTCTGAAGTTAAGTAATCAATGAAAATACATAATAATTAATATTCGATGGGACTTTTAGCACTGTTACTCCAGCTATTTTTTCCAAAGGCCCTTCTGTGAAACTTTACTATTCTTGCAGTGAATTGCATTGGCTATAAAATAATCTCATTTATTAATATATAAAACATGTTACATGTTTCCATTCTATTAAGATATCTTGAACATGGAAATCCCCCCACCCACCCACAAAAGCGCTATTCATCTTGTTCTTCATGTTGTTTTTTGGGGGTATTGATCACAAAATGCCTAAGGGTCAGCCACTTCAAGTACGATCGACATGACACTGGGTATGTTTGTTTCTTGGACAACTTATGCATTGACTAACAGACTTCACTTTTTTATATGATGTCTCAATTCCAAGATGGCTGTGATGACGTCATACTCGGTTCCTGGTCCATAACTAATTCATGTATTGATTTCAAATTACATTACCTTATAAACATCGTCAACAAGTTTAGGGTCTTTTTTAGAGGAAAAAGTTTGAGATAGTTTGGATGTTGGTTTATAGATTCGGTTCTTTTCAACTTTAGTTACTTTGGCTAAAAAAAAAAATGTGACTTTATAAGATTTTTTATGTACATGTTTGAAAATGTTTCAAATAATAACTACCATAATCAATAAAACATGGCTTGCGAGGCAGGCACGGCAACATTTGCACTTTATAATAACCTCCAATAACCTTTTGCAGGCACATTTTTAAAGATGTAGCCACGCCGGGCGGCGCCTGCGATCGGCACTATTTTTTGCCACCCAGCACAAAGACAAAATCGAAGAAAGCCGCCCAGTCGTATTTAAACCCCTTCGTTCCTCTCTGTATACAAACTCGGCGCTCGAAATTTACCACGGTAATTAAACGGCAGAGCCATGGTAAAAGCCGACGTACGCAAACCATGCCTGTCACGGCATAATTTATTTTTGTGTGCCGTAGTAGACCCTATCATCCCAAATTAGTTTAAAGAAAGATGTATAGGTATTTTGTTTATCTATACTTAGAAGATGTGTAGGCCTAGGTCTATTCGTTTTACAATTAATCTACGGTCTTTATATTTGTTTATTTGCCGTAAATAGGTCACCCAGACCAATTTACGGCACTCCAATGACAAAGGTTTGAATGTCGTAATTGTCCAACACGTGCCTGCAAATTTTCACGATGTTTCTTATTTTATTTCTTACCTGTGTTGACCGTGGATTTGCTACGGCCCGAGAGTAGGACTAGGAGGACGATGAGAGCTTTCTTAGTTTCTGCCTGACCTGACTCTCATTCCACCGTAATAATAATAATAGACACGTACAACAACTTTACAAACAAGTCAAATAATACAACGTATTTTAATCATCAATATCTACCTGTTGTCATAATTCGTTGCACTCAAATAAAACACAAACGCCGTTTTAAGAATCGTTTTAATTTTTAATCTCAAAGTAATAAAGTAATATTTGAAAAAAAAAGCAACAAAACAACAAATACCGAAAGGTTCTCAACTTATCTATCCAGAGAAACAGAGTGGGGCGGGACAATTTTATGCTCGGTCGGGTGGTGTCAAAAAGTTTTTAGATCGCTGTATCATTGATGAAAATTAAGTGAATTTGGTAAAATTTGAATATATAAATGGAAATTTGATTTGCACTGAACCAAATACAAAAGGCAGCAGATGCTCTGAAAATACACCAAGAAGGGTTTAATTTTCATAAAAGACGACGCCCCCCTCCCAAAATTTTGGGGGGGTCTCGCTCCGCTCGCCCAATATATTTTTACACCACTCACCAAATCCTGGCTACATCCCTGTGTTTCAGTATGACCCTGCAGGCACATTTTCAAGTGTGTGCACAGGCACACTCAACTTTTATAGAGCCCTGCCTCCATCTCATGATTTTTCCGTAGGTTTTTATCAAGGTACAGAAGGATTTAGAATTATGAGGTGTGTATAGCAAATATTAATTGTGATCCAAGGTTCGTGACAACTGGTCAAGATATCAAGTACTTCATGCCGATGATGGTAATTTGTACAATTTTGTACAATATATGTTTACATATACCTGTTTTGCCAGCATTTACTACTTCTCCTTTAACCCATGTTTTTTGTAATGAACCTTTACTATCTTCAAATGATTCCACAAATTCTTCATAAACCTGTGCTGCTGCAGCCTCATCTTCCTAATTTACAAAAACAAAAAATTACACAGAGATTTGAGTTTTAAAACAATATATGATTAACATGGTGCAACCATTACTGGATAATATCAAATTACCATGTCTTAAATAATATTTTACAAGGTTTTCGTAAGATTTTAACAATATCTTCAGTTCTAATCTGCAAAATGACAAGTATCTGCATGCATATGCCAAGAGATTTTGTCATTCAAAAGCATAAATTGACAAATATCGTTTTGGTGGAAACAGACATTAAATATGTATTTCACAAATCTGGTGTCAAAATCTGTGGATGACAGGATGGCTTTTCCAGACTTGTATATAAAGGTGAAGCCTTAATCTAATTGTCCTCAAAGGAATGAATTTCCTAAGCTATTTAGAATTTTGTTTAAAATCTAAATGCACATGTACATGTAGGACTACTATAATATATCAATTATCACTTTACCTTTTTCTTCAATTCTTCTTGCTCCTTTTTTGACAATGTTTTCTTTTTACCAATATTCATACTTCCAATTTCAAATGCCTTCAACTTATTTTCTGATATGGTCTGGAAAACAAAAAATGTCTAAAGGACATGTCTAATGCAAATTTTTGTAAGTTTATAAAACCTGAAGCAAAATGTTCTACTCTGCAATCAGTTTCCATACGATATCAGTAATTGACAAATTTTTGAAAATTAGATTTGGTATCCATGAAAATTGACATATAGGAAAGAATAAAGCACTAGTCGTATTTTCCATCCACTTTTACAAGATACTTAACATGCTATCTTCTGAATTGTGATTTCAGTCTAGATAAAGTTTCCTATAGAAATAATCCTGATAATCCAGGAATGTCAATGAGTCAGGAAACATTCACAATACCGGTTTATGAAATGAAATGATATGGGCTTTAACGACAACGTCCTACTGTTCTGCACCGACTAGGCTAATGAACATAGGCAGTCATAGGCATACGCCATACAATGTGCTATGAGGGAAATTTTGCTTGGACATTCTAACTGCTAAGAGTTCTTTTATGTGCACAATAATAATTAAGCTTGTATAAATTAATTTTGAATTTGTTGGTGACTCAGAGAGATAATATATAATAAAAATAATGCAGTGGCTGGCTATTGTTACGACGATGCTCTCAGAGCCCTCCATCTGCAAAGTTTAGGGTTAACAGGCCCGGATCCAGGATTTTGTCGGGGGGGGGGGGGGCATACATTGGAGCAAAGGGTTATCATCAGAGTGCCACTAGCATTAGTGGTTTGCATTAGTGGCGTGGGCTGAGGGGGGGGGGCACGGTCCCCTAGATCCGGGCCTGGAATAAAGTTGAAATCCATTGAGTAATAGAAATCATCGATGGTCATAATTGAATAGCCACTAGGACTATTTTTACAACTATTCAGTTTGTAACTTCGCCGATGGAGGGCTCTGAAAGCATCATCGTAACAATAGTCTGAGAAATATTTTCACGACTCGTCGTAACAATAACCACTACGTAAAAATAATGCCAAGACTTTCTTTTTTTAAGATAAAAACTTCACATCTCATCTTTTTTTTTAAAGTTTTTATCTTAAAAAAATCCATCTACCGAGGAAGGCATGGCAAAAGATGTCCTAATAATATCTAAATATGATAAATGAAATAAATCAGATGCATTCAACATGACAAATGAAATGAAATGGGGTTTAACGTCCTACTGTTTTGCTCCGAACTGGGCTAATGATGACGGATTCAACATGACACAAAATCAATCACATTTTAGTCTGACTCAGTAGTACTTGTAACTAACGAATGTGACAATCTGAATTAGGCCTAGCCGCCTATTCGACATACTAATAGTAATACTGTCTAATATTAATAACTATAGCACTGACTTAGTACGCGATTTGAATATATGCGATATAGTTGAAGTTATTACTTATCATAATGTCTGCAAGGGGTGCTATATACATTTAGCTAGAATAATATCACTATAAATAGTTCTATATTTAATAATTACCGTGGCAGAACCCGGAAGAACGCCGTGAACATTCAATCCCCATGGCATTTTATCCGCCATTTTGTTATTTCTACGGAATAAAAACCGAAGAATAACGAAGTTTCCCGAAACACGGTGTGGGGATTAGAGTTATTTCCCTTGAATTAGAAAAACAGGTGCTCGTAGTCTTGATTAACACAGAAAGGACTGCGTATTGCTGACTGGGTATATTTCTAATTGCATCATCAAAACAACCACTGTGCCGTCATCAGGCATCGAGACAAGTGGAGAAAAATAATACTAAGATGTTGACTAACATATGTCGCCAAGCACGATTTGTGGCATCACCAAGAGGATTCGCAAAGACTACCACTTTTCACAGATGCAAAGAGGACTATTCGACAGAGAAACCCGTTTCGCTTGTCGGACGTGATTTTTTGACTTTGCGAGACTTTACTAAGACTGAGATACAACAGCTACTATGGACATCGCTTTGCTTGAAAGATCGTATCAAGAATAAAAAGGAGATTTTCCAACCATTGATAGGAAAATCGGTGTCCATGATTTTTCAAAAGAGGAGCACCAGGACTAGACTGTCGACGGAGTCGGGAATGGTATTATTGGGTGGTCATGCTGCTTTTCTCGGCCCATCCGATGTACATCTGGGAGTGAATGAAACCATCAGAGACAGTGCCAGAGTGTTGTCAAGAATGACAGATATTATTTTGGCCAGAGTCTATGCACATTCTGACGTGGAGGAATTGGCAGATGAGGCCAGTGTTCCTGTAATCAGTGGCCTGTCAGACATGTTTCATCCACTGCAGTGTTTAGCCGACTTCGTAACACTTCAGGTAAAATTTTTCAACTCTTAATTTAATTTTTTTTAAATACCAATATGATTTCATAAATCATAGTTACATAAAAAAATAAATACATAAACAATGGTCAAGCGTGTCAAACATGTAAAATATAAAACCGTATGTGTAGCCCCACCCACCCCCCTCAAAAAAATGAAAACAAAAAATAATAAAAGATATCACCATTTGAAGTATACTGTATTATATATCTATTACCCGGTATATAAAAAAAAATATAGAGAGGATATTTGTCGTTTTAGAGTGAATAACATATTTTATTTCATCGAGAAGCAAGAAAACTTATATTTTCACGAATGCTACGCATTCGTGAAAATATAAACGTTTTCTTGCTTAGAGATGAAATAAAATATGTTATTCACGACAAAACGACAAATGTTCTATTTATTTTATGATTTTACAATCATTTTAGGTAAAAACAACTAGCCAGTGGAATAACACTTTTATTTCACTGATAAAACGCGGTATTCCACTACTGATCATAAAATAAAAATTCACATTCGCCACGGTTGCTTGGGCCATATTAGCCAAGGATACTGACACTGTGAATAAGAAACGATATGAACTCGGTCTACTACGTTTCAAAATAATAACCCTATTGTTGAACGTTATATTTTTTCGTTACATGAATTGAATTGTAGTCAGTATAGTTTAGAGTATGAATATGATAAAAAAAATTATAAGCACTTGTTAAACTCCTTGATCATAATACCTATTTAAAGGGCACATGACTCTATTTTTGGAACCATAAATGGGTCTAAAAGCACATACTGTATTAAAGATACATTATGTAAGATTTAGATAAAAAAAACCTAGCCATTCTTGCTATAATAGTTCGAAAGTAGATGATGTAAAATAAATAATTTGAAAATTTCATTCAAATTACTCTATTGCAATCCGTCTTCATTAGCCCAGGTTAGGAGCAGAACAGTAGGACGTTAAACTCCATTTCATTTCTCTATTGCAAGCGAAGATATTAGCCTTTGAAGGTTTGATAGACGTGTGCAATAATTTCAACCACCGTACTGGTTGATCGAAGCTAAGTCTCGGTCCTCAATATTTGATTAAATCAAAGTATCGCTGAACCATTTTAATCTGTTTAATATCGGAGAAATCTGATGCCATCGAGAGTTGATTAAGGCCTGGATCAATTAATTAATGTCTAATTAATACTTTAGAAAACATATCAGGCCTAAAGAAAGACCTGCATAATGCATGTTTAATATAAAGTGTTTTATATTCAATTTTTAATCAGTTATGTTCGATGAAAAACGCGTAGGCCGTACAGTCTAAACTGAACGACAATCGTTTACGCCTAATTTTAGCCCATTCTTCAGGGGTTTTTTTATTATTGTTTTATCATTTGTGAATCAGCCATTACTTTTTACTACCACATTGTAATTTAGGATATGTTTTCTTTATTCATTCATTTTGCTTTCGAAACGATGTGAACGATTCGTGTACGGATTTTAAAATGTTAATTGTGTCTCAAATATAGGATCCCACATTTTCACGGTTACATAACAACAACAATATGGATTGAAATGTACCTCTATTGAATTCTAATTTGTGTTTTTAATTTCGAATATTATGGAAAATATTGAGTTAGAGACGTTAAAATCGAACCGGAAGCCTCTGAAAAATTATGTTAGTACATACACCTAATAACGTCGAGTCGGCACAAACCAGAAACTAGGTCATTTCGGGACTAATATAGGGTCTTTAGCCGTGCGAGGAAAACGCAGGACTCGCATAAAATCACGAGGTTAGACAGGCGACACAACTCTTTGTCACGAACAATCTGGAAATCTAAACCACGCCAGTTAAAACAGTGTCAAACCTTATGACCTAAAACATACGCGTAAGATCGTCTCACATATAATATTTGTGAAATTATACCACAAATTGACCATATACCGTTAGTACTTAGTAAATCGGTCTAAAAGTATATAGGTACGTGTAGTGTGATTATGAAATATGAGTTTTCTACAAAGAATACCGGCATTAATATTATTATTGAAAACAATATTATGACAAAATATATCATCATTTAAACCAAGATAAATGTTATTTTAGTTGATATCCACAACGGATTTTGTTTTATATTTCTTTGTTGTGATTTGATCATCTGGACACTCAATTGTTAATAAATTTGTAAATGGAATGAAATGGGGTTTAACGTCTTACTGTGCTGCTCCTACTGGGCTACTGAAGACGGGCAACTGTCAAAGGTTCTTTTACGTGCACGAGAATGTGTACGCGGGACCTCGATTTTTCGTCCCACCCGAACTACACCACTGACAAGGGGGAACCACTCCGAAAAACTTTTTCGGCAAACGCAGTAGGGACCTCCGGGTTAGCGATCCAACGTCCAACCTAGTAATGGCCTCGAATTATGTTGCATTATTTGAAAAATAAACTCGTGGATTTTGCACAGTAATACTTTGAACATAATTGAACACCCCGTACCATTCTCAATATCCCCAGGGCTAAATCTATTTGTTAAGGTCTGCTCAAGTTTCGTAAAGGTAGCTGAGATGAATATAAGGTTAGGGCACGTGATAGTTGGCGAGATTGTAGGTTAAGGTAAGCATTATGGCTAGGTCCAGGGTTAGGGTTGGGATTAGTGGTATCGTTCCGTTCTACTCCGCTAACCCCTGGGTCCATCCATTGTTTACTTATGGACGCTTTAGCGAAAATCATCATATTTGAATTTATATTCTTTGTTTCAAATAGTGATGAATAAAAATTACACCAATTGCTCATAGAGTTTTGGCGCTTCATAAAATTTCCATAAAATGCAGTTATATGTACCTAAAATTCACAATGCAACAACCTTTATAGGGTTGATGGAATGACTTGACTACCGTATGTGCACCCGTCATGCCCTGGCAACCTAATTATGAGTTTTATATTCGTATGCTCAATATGCTTAGTTAGCATATTCATTGCCATTTCCCACACAAGTCTCAACTGCAGGGGAAGACAACTCTGTTTGGGTGATCGATTCATTGCGTCATAACAGCTGTTCGGAAGTTATACACAAAATCCTTGCTTATTATAATTCTATTAAAGATGCATTAAGTAAGAGCTAATCTGCATATTGTATTATTTCCGTTGCCATTAAATATTATATAAATTATTAATTAGAAATTTTTTCAAATGACATGCCCATAATCAACTCCTTAGATCTACTTTGCTGCACTGACTGGGTTAATGAAGACGGGCGTATGACATACAGTGTGCTATGAGGGATATTTTGCCCGGACAGCGGCGCTACGGCCTACTATTATATCGAATTCTAACCGTCAAGTATCATTTTACGTGCACGTCAACGTGTACGCGGAACATAGGTTGTTCGTTCCATCCGAACAGATTGACACTGTCCTTGCCATGTCCTACGTCATGCACCAATGCTAAGGGGAAAACACAATGGAAAATCCCGGGGAACTTTCTCGACTAACACCAGGATCGAACCCCTGACCTCCTGACCCCCTGGTTAGTGAGCAGTGAATTTTCGCTGGGCCGCTACAATCACTGATAAGGATGACATCGATGCGACTTAATGAGCCAGAAATATTAACTTTCTTCCTGCGCCAAATTAAATTCTAAAACATTTTTTTTATGTATTGGAAAAGTAAATAAAGGCGTTTGACGTATTTCTAGGTAAAAATTATTTCCTATTTAGTGTAAATGGGTATTAAAATGACTAAAAGGCAGCATTCCGCACAAAGCAGTAACGTCTTATGTAAACAATGCACGCGCCATTCAGCCAATGGTTGACGCCGCGTGCTGTGACGGCACGTGTTAAGGCAGCCATCTTTGACAGAGATATTACTAGACTCGTAATTCTCTGTGAAACAGATTGAGTGAGCCAGCGCGTTACACTCCGAGCCAATGCTGCTCCCTATGGAAGGATAACGTTGCCAACATTATTTCAATGTTCACGGTGCAAAATGCATATTTCAGCAGTTCAAAATACGTATGTTAGTTTTACAATTTGAAATTTCCATTACAATACCAATGTCACAGTGTTAAAATACAGAATACCTATTTAATTATACAAAATACAATATGATAGTTATTTTGCATATTAAACTTTTCCATTCTGCATAATAGATGAATGCATTATATAACATAACATATTATATACCTTATGGGATCTACGACGAACTCATTTGCATACGGAAAAAAGTCCGGGCTAGGATGGAAAGCCCTGAATAGGACGTAAATTAAAAATTTACGTCATCAATCTACAAGGCCAATTTCAGTAGAAGGGAGTGGTACATATATTTACAGACCTTCGGAAAACGATCATTCAAATGAAATGAAATGGGGTTTAACATCCTATTGTTCTGCTCCGACTGGGCTAATGAAAACGGGCATAGTCATGCAGTGTGCTATAGCGGCGCTATATACGACATGTATCGAATTCCAACTGCCAAGGGATATTTTACGTGCACGCTAATGTATACACGGAACCTCGTTTTTCACCCCATCCGAACGATTAGAAAGTTGCCCTTGTCAGGCCCTGTGAGGTATCTAAAGTAAACATACCTGTCTTAATACGAATTCCAAATATCATTTTACGTATCAATAAACAAAACACATTCATTAATTATTCTTTTCAAATATTTTTCTGGCACATTTTTATTTTCATACTTCGAAAAAAAATGAAATGAAATAGCGTTTAACGCCCTATTGTTCTGCCATACGCCATACAGTGTGCTATGGTGGAAATTTTGCCCGAACAGCAGCGCCACGGTCGACTCTTATATCGAATCCAACTAAAAAGGGATCTTTTACGAGAACGCCAATGTATACACGGGACCTCGGCTTTTGGTAACATGATTTCACAGAAATCAGGGTCATCCAGTGATTTCCCTATTGCATGATATCTTGATTCGCCGTTATTGCATGGTAAGCCGACTTATTGTATGGTGACTTATTTTATGCCAGCTTGACCTCTGCCCATTGACCTTGTAAATAATTAAATTCCGTTTTTTCCGTATGCAAATGAGCGTCGTCGTAGATCGCATATAAGGTATATGTTCTTATATGCGAAGTTCTATCATGCATTTGTCTATAATGCAAACTGCAGAATTGAGAGGATGTGCAAAATAACTATTATACTGTATTTTGTATTATTGAAAATTGTATTCTGTATTTTAACCCTGTGACAATGGTATTGTGGAGCAATGAAAATTGCAGATAGTAAAACTAAAATACGTATTTTGAACTACTGACATATGCAGTTTGTACAGTGAACATTGGAGTAATATTGGCAACGTTATCCTTCCATAGCTCCCAAGTAACAGACTAACATAATTTTGTTTTCTTTATATATTCAGGAGCACTATGGATACTTATATGGCCTGAAGATCGCATACGTTGGTGACGGTAACAACATTCTCCACTCTCTAATGTATGGGTGTGCCAAATTAGGTATTGATCTCAGCATTGCTACACCAACAGGCTATGAACCCGATCCAGACGTCACCCAAGAGGTCATTAAGATGTATAAGCAAAAGAAGACACAGTTTTGTATGACGTCAGACCCACTAGAAGCAGTTTACAGAGCCGACGTCATTGTGACAGACACGTGGGTTTCCATGGGACAAGAAGAAGAAAAAACGAAAAGATTGAAAGATTTTGCAGGATATCAAATAGATCGAAACATGCTGAAAGAGGCCAACGCCAATTGGACATTCCTTCATTGCCTTCCCCGAAAACAAGAAGAGGTCACAGACGACATTTTTAACGATAAAAATTCTCTTGTTTGGCAGGAAGCTGAGAATAGAAAATGGACGGTCATGGCTGTTATGCTTCATGTGTTACAAGATTACTCCCCACTTTTGCCAAAACCCAAATTTGTACGAGGAGAATGATATTAGTCTGTTGGTCATTATCAAATTTCGGGAAATAATCGATATCCGCCCCCAAAGCACACGTCCCAAACATATTTCTATCACCCTCATACAAACTGGATATTGTTGTCGTTGGAGCGCTTTGCATGTTTTCTTGGGTAACATTCTTAAATATGCATTTGATCTGTTTTAGTCAGGGTTTGGAGAAAATAATGAACCTATTTCATGAAATATAACTGATCTCATTAATATCGTGGATGTACTAAGCTCTTGTCTTATAAGAATCTCACGCTTCTATAAATTGCTTTAGAAATAGGCCTCAGCGCGACCATCATAGGTTTATATTTATATTTATATATTATGATGTTAACATAAACACTATATATAATATATATACAATATATTTCTTAAAATGTACGTGCTTCACTTGTATATTGTAAAGCAAACCATTGTGTCTAACTCGTACGTTTCGTGAAATATGAAGCGTTGTAAATAAAAGCCCACTGTATGTCTTTTTTTAGAACGGTAAAATTGTACTTATACATAAGCAACAATGATGAAAACAAAGAGGATTAGACCCTACACATTTTTACATGTAACAAGCAAACGGCACAACTACAAGTATAAGTTGGTGTGTGTACACACGTTGATAAAGAGATCTCAACGGTTTATGAGATGTGCTCAGGAAAGAAACATAATTGGACACGACTAGAGCGCATATCAATATCTCACCCTCCCAACTAACAATCCCAACAAGTTTTGTATCTCATTTGTATACGCCGACATTTATATCCGTTAAAAAGGTGTGAAAAACGAAAGCGATTAATTTCTTGAAGCCAGATCTTTATCAAGGTTGGTCAACATCCAAGTTTTCCTTTTGAATAAGCTGCTGCATTTCAGCGCTTTTTGTGGCTATCTTTGTTAAAGATACATTATGGGAGATTAGATACTGGTAGTTCTCACTATAAAAGTTAAAAGTTTGATACTGTAAAGGGAATTTGCTGAAAATTTCAGTCAAATTGATCCACTATGAACTGAAATTTTAGCGATTGAATTTTCGGCCTTGCCTGGATCATCATTACTAAAGTCGGTAGGATAAAAAAAAACATAGTCTCGATTATCCATTTCATGATTTTATTATATGAATGGATGTCGAACATCACAGGCTAGCGATGCCATCGAGAGTTGATTATGGTCTGGATAAGTTAATTAATGTCGTCTAATTAATAATTTAGATAACATTTCAGGCCTAAAGAAAGACCTGTAATAGGCAGATTTAGCTCTTGCATAATGTATGTTTAACTTTAATTTTCGGCTAGAATCGAGTGGTTGAATGTACATTTTCTGCCCAGTTTGTATTACATTGACATGATGTTGAGGCGTAAGCCAGAGCCTATAGAATATTTTAACCGGTTATACCAAAATATCAACACATTTCAATCATTTTTATACCCTCACATTTTCCATACTCCTGCAGTGTGTCGTTTGATTGGCACTTATCCGACTAAACACTGCAGGACTCCCCCCAAATTTCTGTTCCAAATTATGACTAGTTAACAGTCCGGTCAATAACCGATACATTACAGCGTAATAAATCAATCGGGATCAATAAAAGCTCTATTATGTTAACATAATAGTATATAATGACAATCTTGGCTACCATACGTCATTACGCGAGAAATTTATTATGTTCAATTAAACAGTGCATAGGAAACTAGTGCAGAAATACTAATTGTGGGACAAACGAGGCTATTCAAAATAGCTAAAACCGTAAACATTTTATAATCACCACAAATTATTAATTAATATAACTATTATAATATCATATCTTGGGGAACTATGAACAAGATAAAATCTATTAACAAATTTAGGCCTAGATGTTTTGTGCAAAATTGTCGTAAGTGCAGGAAGTAACCAAAAAGGCACATTGACCCAATAAATAAAAGATAAATAGACTCAACCAAATATATTTTATTATTAAGAATTAATATAACTATTATAATGATTATGACATCATACTGTTGATGACCTCATAGCCTATGTGACATTGATGTTCTATCATGAAATCAAATTCAGCTTATAACAATCTGGTAATGAAAAATGTCACTTACGAAATTTTTGCTCCAAGAATTTGGTCAACTTTTCACTTACGACAATTTTGCACAGACAAGATTTCCGGTTTCCATGACAACATAACGGGCAAAACCATGCTCATCTGAAAAGTTGGTCATCCACTATCAATAATATATCGTAACATGGAAATCACTTACAATATTCTTGCTCCAACCCAACGACATGTGGAATCTGTTTATCATATTCGTTGGATCACACAGCAGACAAACAATATTTTCACCATCACCATGTTCCGTAGCCTATTGTATTTCAACGAACTGGACAGAAATACGGCTTCCAACAGTTTTTCTTACTTGTGCTTTTTTGATAAAATAATAATATTTCATGGATTTTCTTCAGAAAAATGGATTATTATTGTTTTCATAACAAAGGTACGTGAGCAGTAATTAATCCAAACTCAGTGTTTGTTAGTAGGCTTACTGATTCAAGTACAATTGTACGGCTGGATGCATCGGGAGCAAACATCGATACTCGCATCGGTAAATTGTGCCGTCGCGGAAGTTCGCTACTGGAACAAATTCTTTGACTCAAATCCCCGATATAAATTTTGTTAACATGAATATTTGTACCAACATTAAAGGACAATATTGGTGCCAGTCATTATCACATATGTGATAGAGCTGGTTAAACACATTCCAAATATAATTTTATGTCAGAGATCTTTGCTACGATAGCTGAGTAATACAGTTTTTCTGAATCGGAAGTGACGAACGCCAAAGGAAAACACGAGTCGCCTCTCTATATAACTGACTGATGTGACTAATGATAACGGATATAAGGAATTATTGGTGAGCAGAAATTCGCCCGTATATCCGTTATCATTCGTCACATCAGTCTGTTATATAGAGAGGCGACTCGTGTTTTCCTTTGGCGTTCGTCACTTCCGATTCAGAAAAACTGTATTACTCAGCTATCGTAGCAATGATCTCTGAGATAAAATTATATTTGGACTGTGTTTAACCAGCTCTATCACATATGTGGTAATGACTGGCACCAAAATTGTCCTTTAACAGGCCACCCCCGTTAAGCGGACAGGAGAGATTCTATATCAGGAGAGATTTGTTTGGACAATCAAAAACACAAGATTTTGCTCTCAGTACAGCAGTGGCTAGAGAGGGATTTCTCGGACCATTGCTTCAGGAATATGACATTTCCACGTGGACGTATATTGTCGTCGCCCATGTCCGTCCGTCTGCCCACAATTTGTGGACACTCTACAGGTCACAATTTTTTATACGCCCACATTTTCATGTGGTCTTATGCATATTGTCGTCGCTCCTGTCCACCCGGACGTCCACAATTTGTTTCTGGACACTCTACAGGTCACAAATTTTATCCAATTTTGGCAATACTTGAAATATAGGTTTATCTCCAAAACATCTTGGTCGCCTTCCATATTGGCATGTATTGGACCGTAACTTCATGAATTATGGCCACTGAGTGTACGCACAAAATCACGTTTTAGTTTGTGGACACTCTAGAGGTCACAATTCTTATCCGATTTTGATAAAACTGGAAATCTGAAGGATTTTTTCAAACTCGGATTTTCCGCTTTGATGTTAATGCTCTTGTCTTTCTGAAATCGCGATAGAGATCCAAGTTTTTATGGATCTTTTTAGGGGTGAAGGGTGAAAACTCAAAACAGACCCGGGGCGAGCATTTGGAATGTCTTTTTCCAAATCTCTTTACCGGAAATATTAGGTGTTTTACGCGCTATTGACACCAAGCCGATATGTGAATAAGAATATCACAAACTATTTTAATGCAACATGGAATAAATTGCACCTTTTAGAGGAGGGGTGCATAGTGACCTAGGGCGCAGCCCGGAAAAGGCGCAGAAGGTGTATTTGCTACCTTGATAAATCCCCCTTTCAGCGCCCGCCCACGTTCTGAACACAGGAAGAGAGTCGCGAAATTTGACGCAAAACCAACTCGGCACGCCACTGACACTACAAAGTTCACCAAATTTTCATTAATATTTTGGGAATAATTCGTATTGGGGTAACGATGTTGCTGATCAGCCTGACTATACTTGCGAAAGTTTCTTTTCATGATAATCAGTAGATGGTGCACTATCTTTATTATCATAATCAGTAGCTACTTTGTTATATTGTACAAACTGTAGGTTGTGGAAATATTGTACTTATATGTATACTGATGAGTTTTATATTCAAAGTAAATAAAGAAATTGAACTTGAGCTGAGGTATTATCTTGATCACCATTATCAGTAGCTAAATCATTACCCTTTTCACCATTATCAGTAGCTAAATCATTATCAGTAGCTAAATCATTACCCTTTTCACCATTATCAGTAGCTAAATCATTATCTTTATCGTCATTATCAGTAGTTAAATCATTATCACCATTATTAGTAGCTAAATCATTATCTGTATCATCGTAATCAAAAGTTAAATCATTATCTTTATCATCATACTCAGTAGGTAAATAATCAGCATCTTGATCACAATCAGAAAAAAAACAACTTTTGGTTGCAGACGTTTGTAGTTCCTGATAAAGGTAAACCCCCAAAATAATACTACCGGAACAATTACATGTATTTCAAAATATGAAAATCATGACAAAAACCCAACACAGATAAGGGTATAAAATGCATTACAAGAATAAGCATATTCCCGCCATTGTTTTTTCATTACTAATGTAACGAAACAAGATAAACGAGATGTTGAACATCAGAGTCGTGATTTTCTTTTAATGAGGGAGAGGGAGAAAACAACTTTGCAATCTTAAGAAAACTTTTGAAAGACTGTGTGGTGATATTATATATACTAAGCAGCAAAAGAAACGTCAGGTTTGTATGTTACTCTGAATAGACGTATCGCATAAAACTTGCCAAATGTTTTTATTGTATATTTGTGACCACATCTCCAACTTTACCTGAGCATGGGGACCCTTCCCAAACACAGAATTGAACCCAGAAAATGTTCTCAAAAACGCAACCTGACTTCTGAGATGGCATTGTGTTCTCTATGATTTTCATGTAACTCATGCTGGGACCAGCCTTATAAAGTGCACACCCATACCTGGTTGAATCCTTCACGCTACAACGTCAGCAGCATGCCACGACTCACGACAGCTCAAAGGAACCAGGCGTTTGGAAGACTCGACGCTGGCCACACTGTTGCCAATCACTTCCGGGTCCATGTTCGGACCATCTACGGGCTTCAGCAACGCTTTCGGGCCAGCAATACCACGGATGATCGCCCCCGAACTGGTAGACCTTCACACGGGCATCTGAGACGGCACGCCATACAGTGGGAACACACGGAAGACCCATGTATATGTATACTGATGAGTTTTATATTCAAAGTAAATAAAGAAATTGAACTTGAGCTGAGGTATTATCTTGATCACCATTATCAGTAGCTAAATCATTACCCTTTTCACCATTATCAGTAGCTAAATCATTATCAGTAGCTAAATCATTACCCTTTTCACCATTATCAGTAGCTAAATCATTATCTTTATCGTCATTATCAGTAGTTAAATCATTATCACCATTATTAGTAGCTAAATCATTATCTGTATCATCGTAATCAAAAGTTAAATCATTATCTTTATCATCATACTCAGTAGGTAAATAATCAGCATCTTGATCACAATCAGAAAAAAAACAACTTTTGGTTGCAGACGTTTGTAGTTCCTGATAAAGGTAAACCCCCAAAATAATACTACCGGAACAATTACATGTATTTCAAAATATGAAAATCATGACAAAAACCCAACACAGATAAGGGTATAAAATGCATTACAAGAATAAGCATATTCCCGCCATTGTTTTTTCATTACTAATGTAACGAAACAAGATAAACGAGATGTTGAACATCAGAGTCGTGATTTTCTTTTAATGAGGGAGAGGGAGAAAACAACTTTGCAATCTTAAGAAAACTTTTGAAAGACTGTGTGGTGATATTATATATACTAAGCAGCAAAAGAAACGTCAGGTTTGTATGTTACTCTGAATAGACGTATCGCATAAAACTTGCCAAATGTTTTTATTGTATATTTGTGACCACATCTCCAACTTTACCTGAGCATGGGGACCCTTCCCAAACACAGAATTGAACCCAGAAAATGTTCTCAAAAACGCAACCTGACTTCTGAGATGGCATTGTGTTCTCTATGATTTTCATGTAACTCATGCTGGGACCAGCCTTATAAAGTGCACACCCATACCTGGTTGAATCCTTCACGCTACAACGTCAGCAGCATGCCACGACTCACGACAGCTCAAAGGAACCAGGCGTTTGGAAGACTCGACGCTGGCCACACTGTTGCCAATCACTTCCGGGTCCATGTTCGGACCATCTACGGGCTTCAGCAACGCTTTCGGGCCAGCAATACCACGGATGATCGCCCCCGAACTGGTAGACCTTCACACGGGCATCTGAGACGGCACGCCATACAGTGGGAACACACGGAAGACCCATCAGTACCGATACAGTGCGCCGACGTCTCAGTTATATAAATATTATGCGTAGCTCGATTCCATTATATCGTCATTCTTCTACTCCTGATCTATGGTCTTAAACTCTCTAATCACTATCATATTAGTAGTAGGACTAGTGAGTGGGTCGTGGGGCGACAGGCTGTACAAATTGTCTGTCAACTCTCACAAAGCAGACAAAATTAACATGCCGCCCTCGAGGTTCGGTCCCATTTCTTATTCTCTCGTTCACAAGAATTTGCTCACATCAATGAACTCAGTTAGTAGTACCACTAGTGCGTGGGCCATGGGGCGACAGATTGTACTACTGTTCTGTCAACTTGCTTCCAGCAATGACCTCAAAAGACAGAATATTGACTTAGATTTTTAAAATTTTCTCAGATCGAGAACACTTGAAAATAGTGTGTAATTATTATAAATTTGTGTCAGATGTTGCCAGAAATGATTCCTTTTGGTGAAAAATAAATAATCACGGTGAAAAATAGAAGGTAGGGATTCCAAAATAGCCGTACAACAGAGGTAGGGAACCGGAAGAGTGGTATTTTCATATTGCAGCTTAATAGGGGAAGACGGAATGAGACCACTGGGGAAACCGAGGATGAATAGTGAAGTGTAGGAACGATCTGCGGACAGCGTCCAATCAGAGACCGTTCCTAAAGGAACTAGACTCAGATATGCTACAAAATACCCCCCCCCCCCCCCACCATTCCCACCGCGCTTCATTGACCTCAGATACATGAACGCATTATCTTCAACCCTAATGCACATCACTTGCATACAGTCCCTTTATTGTATGGCGATGCCAAAGTGGCTCACAAAATTAATGTCCGCTCACTGGATTGCTAGTTCTGGTGTTCATATTATTCATGTTCTGTTCAATAAGAATGAATCATCGTTAAGAACCAGTCTTATAAAAGAACTTATAAAAGAACTACAAATTAGGATGAAAATATTTACTTGAAATACACAAATTAATCATACTCAAACGAACGACCATCTGACCACTGTTCGGTTATAAACCGAGGCTTGATTACAAGATCGGTTGCCAAAAACTAAGCAATTCCCACAACTAAATTGTTCTTGGTACATGAAGATAGCATTGTGGGTGTTAGGTAAACGAAAAGTAAATGGGATTTGGCGTATATGCCATTTCGAGACTAACATAATAATATGGTATATTTCGCTTTCGCGTAGGCGTCTATAGCAATGGGTCAACGACGCGGTCAAAATGGCGACCCTACTCTTTGGCAATTTCAATCTTCCGGTCGCAACAACACCCCTACCCTCCATATAATTGTTACATAAGGCATTACTCGATACAACATTAATTTGATTAAGGTCATATGATGACTCACCCTATAACACTTGTGAGCAAGGACAAAAACGCTAGGAGTTTATACACGGGAAATGTTGAAATTTGATAAAAGGAAGAATTGAGCAAAATAAATTTTAAGCAGATAATTTTGTTACTAGATCCTCAATCAGATTTTACAAAGTAAACAAGGGCATTAACCCTGGAGTAAATAATGGACATAGTTGACATTTAATAGGATTCTTCATTTCCCTAAAACCATTCCATGATTTGTAGAGTGCTAACAAGAAATTGTAGGCTACGGACGGTGCGACGGAAGTGTGTGGTCATATTTCAATGGAGCGTAAAAACTATACAATAGCGATAGTAAAGCTACGACTTCGATGCCATCGTTCAATATAAACCAAACTCGACTTGACTCATACAGATAATATGTTACAGTTATATAAAATACAATCCAATTTCTAACGATAAGTTAACCATCATCTTTCTCCATCAATGTTTGCGATCATACAAGTTTGTATTTCTTCATCTATTTCAACTTCCAAAACGTCAATCTTTTTCGGGCAGGCCTTCATTGCAAATCCAGTTATTGACGCCAACATGAATAGGGCAGCTATAATAGAGAGAACGCAACATGGTTAAATACATTCACGCAAAGCGTATGAAAATGTGTCCATACAACAGCTATGTCACGACAGCAGCTTATCCGAAAGGATATCTTGGATGTAGACCAAATTTGTTACGGATACTTTATGCATACAAGGGGGTGGGTGTTTGTTGGTGGGGTCGGGGAGTAACATCTGAAACGGAACGTCAGAGAACGCTGAATATTTATGGATTTCGTACACTCGTGACCCCAGTGCTCCATAGCAATTTTAAAAGATATCCATTACAAACTGTAACCTTTATCGGGTACATAAGGTTTTCGAAAAAGGGGCATAACTCTGGAATGGCAGCCGGGGAATGCTGAATATTGACAGTTTCCGGAAGGGTTGGGCGGGGGCGCTGGCGTAACTCTTGTACGGAAGATCGCGAAACGGTGATTATCAATAGGATTCATCCTCTCATGATCAAAATGCTTACCGCTAAATTAGAAAAAAGATCCACCCTCTATCGCGTTCACAAGGGCCATAACCGGAACGGAAAGTCGTCGAACACTAAATATCAATAGGGCTGACCACATTTTCTTTCATTTACATTTTTCTCATGTTTACCTATTATTATTAGATCATCTTAGGTCAGTTGATTACTCCATTAAATGTTTATCTTTTAAAATGTCAAGGCTTACGTCTTCCTAAAGAATTCCCAATCTAAATAAATACAGACATATTCGAATATGTGGACAATGTTGACACAGATACTTGTGTATCCTCTTGTAGTTTGTGAATACATTAACTATATACTAATATTTGAGGAATTTTGTACAACGTACAATTTATTATTGTAGTCAAAGGAGTATGTGATGCAGACAGCCCGTGACAGTCTTACCTAGTCTAGCGTAAATGTTTCTATTCATCAATACATTCCAGTCCATTACAATGGTCGATCTGGGGAAGAAGGGGCAGTAGACCAACCCTCTCCAACTAGATAAGTTAAATTTTCCTTTTATATCCGAAGGTGGTAAATATAAATGTTGCTAAACAATAAAAAAGTAAGCGAAGAGAAAATGTCCTTTTTAGTTCATTTTGTTACAGTCCAACATTAGCAGCGAAGATGGATCACGGTGTCAGCCCTCCTCTATGTCTGTCCAAGCGTATCGTGTCAAAATAAATCTAGATGAACAACATTACAAAAATAAGAAGAGAAAATAGACCTTTCCCAGTGAGTTTTAATAGTCTAAAGGAAGGGGTGGGGGCACCGAAACAAAGTCAAAATCGACCCTAAAATTAACACCCTCGACCCCACCACTATTCTTTTGCACCTTTTCTATAAAAATAAATTCTTGGGTTTGATTAACATAGATATGTGGAGGATTCGACATTCTCTTAAGACAATATATAAAGGAGACATGGTGACAACAAGCCGTTTTTTATCCAATGAGATTATCTAAATAGTGAATTTGTTTTCTTATTTAAATGTGAAACAAGCCAACAGTGCGGCTGATGTCCCCGCCGAAATTCCACAATAAAGCCCGTCGTACACGAGCAAATTTTCTTTGACAAATCTCCATTTGTCAAAGAAAATTTTCTCGTGTACGAGAGGAAATTTGCCTCATTTTCATTTGCCATATGAGATTTGACAAAAACAGGCATGCATAGCTTTCCGTCAAATAAATGTGTTAAAGATTTGGAACTTATGTTCGTGTACGATAGGCCGTCAAATAAATTGCTGGCTTCGTACACGGTCAAAGAAAATTTGAAGAGACCGTCAAAGAAATTTGTCAAATTTTCTTTGCTCGTGTACGACGGGCTTAAATAGATGACATATTAATTAATCGCACGTTCATGTTTTTCAAACGTATCAAGCAATCAAACTGATTATCAACTATACACTAAGTTTCATCACTCTCTATGGGATAGAATCAAAGTTATCTTGTCCCAAAGCATCGACCAATGAGATTTCTTAGGTCTGCTTAGCTTTAGCACGAATTGTTAATCACTGAACTCAGTCAAGACATTCACCTAATGAACATCTACATCAAGTTTAACCATTCTACCTTAATTAAAAGCAGAGTTCCAAAGGCTTGAACAATCAAATTACTTATCGCATTATCCGGTTTCCTCCCATTGCTCAAGACCGCTACGCGCAAGCGAATTATTGAAATAAAATTGAACCATATGTCAGTCACGAAATGACCTAGTTTGTGTCGAGTGGACGTTAAACCCCATCTCTCTCTCTCTCTCTCTCTCTCTCTCTCTCTCTCTCTCTCGTATCGCATTAAGGCGTACAAAATAAGATATTCCCCGAAAGGTGCAAACGACGACCAGCGGCTGTTGGAGTATCCAGACATGTTGAACTAAATTAGAATATAATATATATAGATCCATGACTGACCTGTAAAAGCAAATGCGTAGTAATAATCACCAAATTTCAGCACAAACATTTCTAGGAAAAAAGGAAAATCAATCAGATCATATGTTATCTATATATATATTTGTGACTGTCGTTTGTCTGTCTGTCTTTCTGTCTGTCTGTCTGTCTCTGTTCGGGGTTGGCGGCTACACTAGGTCTGCCCGAGTCTGAAATTTGGGGTATAGGGGTAGCTCGGACCAGGGAGTAACATAGGCCAGGTGGCGTTAGTCTACCACTTCCGGTTTCGGAGTTATGACCCCCGAGCGAAGTCTGTCTGTTCGGGATTGGCGGCTACACTAGGTCTGCCCCGAGTCTGAAATTTGGGGTATAGGAGTAGCTCGGACCAGGGAGTAACATAGGCCAGGTGGCGTTAGTCTACCACTTCCGGTTTCGGAGTTTTGACCCTCGAGCGAAGCCGGTCTGTTCGGGGTTCGCGGCTACCCTAGGTCTGCCCCGAGTCTGAAATTTGAGGTATAAGGGTAGCTCGGACCGGGGAGTAACATAGACCAGGTGGCGTTAGTCTACCACTTCCGGAGTTATGACCCCCGAGCGAAGCCGGGATTCCTGCTAGTACATGTATATTCCACCAAGAGTTCGACAGACAAGGAGACACCCCCGGCTCAAACCAAAAAATTACAGTCGTCCTAAATTAACTCCCGAAACATGGATTTAAAATACATATGCTGCTATCCTGCCAATAGGACAAGCGTCCTAGTTTGTTTCTGAACCATTGCAAACCATCAATATTACTGAAACAAGGATATTATGTATCAACTAGACTTAAGACTTTATTTAAAATGCAACGATCATCATCACGATATCGGTGAACGCCTTTACAGTCTTGTTTGTCCTGTTTTGTTTCAGTTTTATTATACGCGGGTTTTAATTGACACAACAGCAGTTACATCTGGATGAATAGGATCAATGTCCTCCTTCGCTTTTATCACTATAACCTAAAATGTCATTGACAGCACACTAGAAATACAATCTAATTAAAATTATATTTGTGTGTCGTTTTGTCCGTTCGTAGGGTTTTACGTCCGCTTTCACCTTGGAATTAAAAATCAGAAAAAAATCAGAAAAAAAAGAAAAAAATTAGAAAAAAATGGAAAGACAAGCCAGGTAATTATATACAGGTACCTGCAATAGGCGGGCCGATAAGATATCCACCACCACACGCCATCATAGAAATTCCTAGAGCAGCGGGCACATCATATAATCCTACGATATCCACTAACAAAGTGTAATGTAAAGCCCAACAACCTCCCATATATATCCCAAACAGTGATGTATAGGTTAATTTACTACCTAAAGTCGTCATGTAATTTAAAAACACAGTGATAACACCAATTATTCCGAATGTACTACCATAAACTAGAGCAGTGTCCACTAATGTAACCATAAATCCCAATAAAACTCGAGATAATATTCCAGTAACACCCACTAATGATATAGCAAAAGCTGCTTCCTGGGGCGAGGACCCAGTATGTACAAAGTAATCCGGTATAAATAGATAAACTGTTGATTGAGCCATATTGAAAGACACCGAACTAATCAAAAATAAGAAGAAAGGTAACGATTTGCAAAATCTGAATTTTTCCCGCCAGTTACGTTTGTTGGTTTTTTTACCCGGTGTTGAAACAGTGTTTGAATTTTTATCGCAGCATATTTTTCTATTTGTGCGTACTTCATATTCTGTGGGTCTCATTAAGGCACCACACACCGACGCTTGGAAACCAAGAGCACCGAGCAGTAAAAATGCCCCATCTAAACCATAGGTCGCGATCAGAAATTGTGATAATGGGGGAAAAACGAAAGTACATAACCCACAGCCACTCAAGGCTATGCCAGATGCCATGCCGGTCTTCTCTTTAAAATAATACCCAAGCGTAACCAATGTTCCCGAATAACACATAGCTTGACCAATTCCTAAAATTAGAAATTATGTTTTAATATGACTGTTATACAATGAAAGAATAATGTCAATGAACGCAATTTCTAGAACAAATAATACACCTCACTGAATATTCAGAATCCATTAAAGTGTTACTATCTGCTGACGAAATGAGGCATGTTCCCGCGTATTTATATACGAAGGTCAGGAAATGTCTTTTATTATTCCTGACCCCTCCAAACTGGTTGACAGTCAGCAACGATCCAAAACGGTAAAGCCCCAAATATAGAAACAACCGAACAAACAAATGCGATTAAATTAATGCCACATAATCCAATTAATTCTATTACTTTAAACTAAGTCACCTGCAATTAGACTGTAGGTAATAAACAGATATTTCATGTTTACTACGAAACTGCTTAAAACAAATCCGATTAAAGTAACCAAACCACTCAGCATCACACATACTCTAGCATTAAACGTGCTTACAAGTATACTCCCCGTCCATCCTGAAATAGTAAAGATAAATTACCCCAAAGGTAACATAATTAGAGTGGGGTTGGCCGATACATAATAATGCGCTATGACATGCGGTAGTAGAACCCATCCCACGTCTTGTGAACAAGATACATGTACGAGGGCTAGCTGAAAAGCTATAAGCCTGAACAGAATAGATCAACTGGGTTGAAACAAACTTTTGCCACCAACAAGTAAAATGAATGAATCATAATTTGAAAACAAATTAATTACCTTTTTTAAAACAAGCGGTTGCCATGCAAGATACGCCCACATTTTGCAAGATATGGACAGAGAACAAGCTCAAAAAAAGAAGCGATTTTCGTACAATCAAGGGCCATAATGCAGGAAGTTACGATCCAATAATGCTTGAATATTGAAAGGATCTTTGGGTTATAAATAAGTTCCATCAAAATCGGATCAAAATTGTGGCCTCTAGATGGTCCACAACCTTGATATACCATATATTTACACTATTTGCGTGCGAGTTTTGTCCGGCAGTTTTGGTCCGATTTTCATGACATTCAAACCCAACCATCATAAGGGTGTAGCGGTGATATATTCAAACTTTTCTTTTAAATCGGATAAAAATTGTGACCTCTAGAGTGTCCACAACCTTGATATACCATATTTTTACACTGTTTGCGTACGAGGGGAGGCCATTTTGTCGGGGGGGGGGGGCAGCCATTTTGTCCGGCAGTTTTGGTCCGATTTTCACGAAGTTCGAACTCATCCATTATTACGATGTAACGGTGATATATTCAAACGTCTTTTTTAAAATCGGATAAGAATTGTTACCTCTAGAGGGACTACAAGCTAAAAACTCGATATTTCGTACAATCAAGGGCTATAATTCAGGAGGTTACGATCCGATATGCGCGCATATCGAAAGGAACCAAGATCTTTTTTTTATAAACATGCATTTCAAGTTTCAGCAGAATCAGGTGAAAATTGTGACCTCTAAAGTGTCCAGAAGCTAAAAACGTGATATTTGATACAATCAGGGGTCATAATCCGATACATGCCAATATCGAAAGAAACCGAGATCTTTTGGAGATAAACCTATATTTCAAGTTTCAAGTTTCAGCAGAATCAGGTGAAAATTGTGACCTCTAAAGTGTCCAGAAGCTAAAAACGTGATATTTGATACAATCAGGGGCCATAATCCGATACATGTCAATACCGAGATCTTTTGGAGATAAACCTATATTTCAAGTTTCGTCAAAATCGGATAAGAATTGTGACCTGTAGAGTGTCCACAAACAAATTGTGGATGGGCAGACGGACGGACAAGGGCAACGACAATATACGTCCACATGAAAATGTTGGCGTAAGAATTCTGTTATGCTGTGTAGTTATGGCTGTATATTAGATTCAAAATTCTACCATGCTCTCGTCTAACTTCTATTCATGTAATTTCTAATCAAAGACAATGTATAATATAATCTTTTTTATTTGTTTCGCGTAGATGTGGCTTCTAATCTTGCAATGCCTATTTTATTTCGTGTTATTGCTATTATTGTAAAGAAAATTTTCTTTTCAGCGACGCTTTACATCGAACAAGTTTAGAATTTTGATTATTCACCTAGCAACCATCATTATGACATCGTTTGGTGTCACCACTGCATGTGCATTTATCTGCGCAATTACAGAGAACGCGAGATAATTGACACAAGCGGCTTGTGCATTCGGAGTTCTTTGGTTGACCGAGTTGAACAAAGAAGCCTTTCGATTATCAATTATTTCCAAAACTATAAGCTTATAGTTTGTTGCTACATTATAAATCAGAAAGTTGTCTTTGAATATCATTAAAACTGTATGCAAAAAGTTCAAAGTCAGCTATTAAGTACGTGTCAAATTCTATTTATACAAAAACGGATTAGTTTAATAATAGTATGATTATTGTACCAGGAGAGCGAGGGCCTAGTAAGTGTGTGTTTCAAAACCTTCAGTAATTCGAAGCCTGAAAATCACGCAATTTCAAATTTGTACCTCAACCAATTAGAAAGAACCTCGTCCACACACACACATATGTATATATATATCCAAAATTATTAGCACAACCGCAAAGCTGCACTACTTTGTATATATATATATATATATATATATAAGACAAAAATATATAGATGAACAAGTAAAAAAATTAGAATTTTGAATCTCGTATACCGCCATATGTATAGCAATTTGTGTTATATCATTTTCTACTTATACACTTGAAATTTATAACAATACTAGCAGGATACCCGGCTTCGCTCGGGGGTCATAAGTTCAAAACCGGAAGTGGTAGACTAACGCCACCTGGCCTATGCTACTCCCCAGTCCGAGCTACCCCTATACCCCAAATTTCAGACTCGGGGCAGACCTAGTTAGCCGCCAACCCCGAACAGACCGGCTTCGCTCGGGGGTCATAACTCCGAAACCGGAAGTGGTAGACTAACGCCACCTGGCCTATGTTACTCCCCGGTCCGAGCTACCCCTATACCCCAAATTTCAGACTCGGGGCAGACCTAGTGTAGCCGCCAACCCCAAACAGACCGGCGTCGCTCGGGGGTCATAGCTCCGAAACCGGAAGTGGTAGACTAACGCCACCTGGCCTATGTTACTCCCCGATCCGAGTTACCCATATACCCCAAATTTCAGACTCGGGGCAGACCTAGTGTAGCCGCCAACCCCGAACAGACAGACAGACAGAAATTTTCCTAGGAACTGGGTGATCCAGACTGCACCTGCGGCCTCGCTTCGTAGGCGCGATCATTTACCGACCAAATTTCGAGTAAAGGATAGGTTTATGAGGGACTGGGTGATACAGACTGCTACAAACACAACTTATTTCCGGGCCGTTGAACATGAATTTCGGCAAGTAACAGCGCTTCACGTTTGATTTGTAATTAATAACGCTGTTAAATGGCCAATTTAATTACATCGGAAGCTGAATAATGATCAAATAAGGTCTCGTTGGCAATAAAAACGACGGGTAGTGTTAGAACTAGTGAGTATTGTGAGATGTTAGCAGACGTAATGCCTTGAAGACGTGAAAACAAAGATGGCGGCTGAAATACCTTTTATATACTATAATATATAGTCAAGCAATAGTAAGAAGTTTTATTTTAATCCCTTCAAGTGCCTGTGTCTCAAATATATATATATAGATGACAATATATATAGTTATATATAGTTATATATACAGCAATTTCTGATTTGACATTAGATTTAAATCATTAATAATATTCAACTTACCCGCTAAGGAAAACATACAGGAGAAAAGTGCTCCCAGCCATGATATCGTTGTGACGTTCTCTTCAGGGAATCTTTCTAATAAAGCTATATGTAGTACGCCAGCAGAATAGTTCAGTGAAGAGTTAAAAAAGAAAGCAAGAAAAGATGCTGTCAACACAACCCATGCCCATGGTTTTATTTTACTCATGATCAGCTGTTAGTTGTTCTGGAAACCACTTAATTTGTTGAAGTTCTTAATTCGTCTAGTATTTCACTATAGTTCAACCTCGGCAAGACCCTAACCTCACATATTCACACATTCGTGTGGTATGAAATGAGGTTGAACATTAGCCTATTACCACTGTGAAAGAAACTGGAGAGTAAATAAGAAACTGAATAGACGTGTGTACTTTTTATGTACTCACAAAAACCTTAATATTGTATTGAAGTAGACCCCGGGGTATACCTTAATAATACATTAAAGATGCATTATTCAAGAACTAAATCGGACTATTTAGGGGTTTTATTTTGGCTTCAAATGTTATATAAATTTAGACATTTATTCACAAGTCATGAATGAAATACGATCCCCATTTAATGATTTAATTTAAAAATGGAAAAGCGAGGCTGAATATCGATTAACAAGCACGTTGTTATATGATAACAAATAATCTAAATCTTACATAATGCAGCATTAAACTTATCATTTATTGGTAAACCGGTTTCTGTCCCAGGTTTGAAAGTGACAAGGGATTGACAGAGTAGGGTTGCCCCAGCTTCCTACCTTCGTGGTTTTTCTACGGGATTTTTCGGTTTCCTCTCACTGCTTAAGTACCCTTATCGAAAGAGATGTTTAGAAATAACGATTTTCCACAATTTAGTCTCACAATGACATAGTTTGTGTTGAGTGAACGTCAAACCTCATCTAAACCATAATTACGTAACCATTTTAAACAATTTTGACGACCATTCAGAGACGAAATCTGTTAATATAAGTAATTGTGTAAGTGGACAAAAATATATAAATTTAATATCACTTCATGCAGGTAACTTAAGGTGCAGCACTAGCGGAGTACAGTTTGTTCGTGTTGATTTAATATATCCGCTCGTTGCACCACATTAGGCGTCGCCGTAAAAGATGATCTTGCCTTTATTTTAGTATCACATTATGTCTGTATCAAAGATGTGTATCTTGAAGTGTAGTACTAGCTTGGTATAGTGTAACATTGTTGATATGATATTCACTCGTTCAATCACTTTTATCAGGGACATATGATGATGTTTAGTGTTCGACGGACGAAATAGTTCCCTATCGCTTGATATTTGTCACAATCATTATTAGTATTAATTTATTTATTTCGTATCTTATAGTCATTACAATATTGCCTGCGATATAATACAGGACTTATTGATAATCTTAGTATACTGAGAGCGCACATCGCCTTGTCCACAGAATAGTATTACTACGCCACCTCATTGGTGTGTTTATGAGTGTTAGCGTTCTACATAATCGCGATTTGACGGTCTTTGATTATCTTAATCGTCAAGTTAATCTCCACATCGATTACAACATAGTGGAAATTAGTACCACGTTTCTGTAATATTGATTTATGTAGTAAAACCTCATAGATCCAGATTAACTGCTCCACAGCGAAAGCTATTTTTCCGTCTGCCTTGAATCAGCGTCCAGTGTGAATGTTGACCCGATGGTTTACTGAGTCGTCTGGCATGTATAATTACTCATGCGCAGAAAAAATCGATTCAAGTATGTTATTTTCATTAAAGGCTTAACTTTCGGGCAATCTGACTTTTCGGGCAGACGGTTAAAGTGGAAACAAAAATTATTATTTCCTCTAGCTGGCAAAATAAAGTATCAAAAATCTAAGAACACAGTAATTTTACTTTTCTTTTAATTGAATGCCACGCATTTGTACTGAATTGACTATGGATTAAAGCATTTTGTCTAGAGTCACTCTACTTTGTGCGACATTTTTCGGGCATCGATTATTATTTGTGAATGCAGCTGCAACAGTCTGATTGGATGCTTGGAATTCAGTTCGGCATAGAGTCGGATTTCGGTTTCAAACCAATTGGAAACTTTGAAGTTGCTTAATTCACGGGCTAGAATAGCAAAAAAAACCTAATTTGCGGCGGTTAAATTTTCAAATTGTCTCGGTAAGAGGTCACCGGTGAAACGTGAAACACCCTTCATAACATAATATTATATTGCACCAACCATAGATTTATCGTTGATGTTATGCATGCGTCTACAATTTCACATACCGCCTTCTTTTATTTCATATAGTTGGGGCAGAACAATATATTATATATTATTATTGGCATACTTATTCAACAAGAACGTTACTCAAATATCTAATTCTTTATACATCTAGTCTAAATCATCTAGATTATCCGGTATTTTACATTATCATAAACAAAGTCTAAGGGAGGTAACTAGTCCTAAAACAAGAAGTTGACGCCCATGAAATTAATTTAAAGGAGATAAATCGTTAATATTTGGGACCCACAAATTGACACAAATGGGTCGCAACGTATATAATAATGTAATATGAATGTAAATAAACTGATTTACATTCAATCGTTTCCGTTTTTACTCTAATTTCAAAGCAGTTATGTTCGGCGAAATACGCCAGAAGTCTCAATCGAATGGCAATCTCTAGCGACTGGTTATTCCAGTCTATACCGATAATATTTATTGCGCATGCTCTCCAGATAAGAATATGAGGTCACCGTTTGACATGACTTGCTGAATATGTGTAACCTCGTTCTTCGGGGTCGCTTGTTACAAATTGCGCTGAAACGCATTATGGTACACGATTCGTGTACCAATCGTAAAATGTTTATTTTGTCTTAAATATTGGATATCAGAAGCCCATCTTTTCCCGGTAAGATCACAACATCAATGTTGATTAAAACTGACAAATAATTCGTGTTTTCTTTGTCGAAGATTTTGAAAGATATTGAGTTAGAGACTTAGCTACTTTAAATATGTATGTGAATGAATTGTGAAAAATAAACCGTGATTTGCTTATCGTGGCAGTATAAATATTTGCTGACATCTACAATAGAATGTCATCACAATGTAAAATTTTACAACTGAATTTAACGCAGCAAACTGTATTATATGACACGTTTAAAACATGATTAAGCCATTCGGACATGATAAATGATCAGAAAAAAAAATCCCTTCAACATCTCGGTGATAGTAACCGTATACACTATTATGGCACTACAACATTAATAGTCCGATTGGTGTAAAAAAGTAGGAAAATGAAATTAAATGGGGTTTAACGTCTTACTGTTCTGCTCCGACTGGGCTAATGAAGACGGGCATATATACGCTATACAGTGTGCTATGGGGGAAATTTTGCCCGGATGGCGGCGCTATGGCCTACTCTTCTATTGAATTCCAACTGCCAGGGGGTCTTTTACGTGCACGCCAATACTATTACTATTATTATTATTACATCATATTTATAGTGCGCCCTTTCTTATAACATGTTCAGGGGCACTTTACAAAGTGACAATATAAATAAACAACAAGATTATGGACATGTTAACGATTGTATAGAGCACTGGCCATTTGTACCATCGCTTTTCCCCTTGAAAACATTTTGAAGACAACCACCTGTAGAAGATAAATAGATATTATTACATATCCACAAGATTATTAGGGGCCACGGTGGCTAAGTGAGTAAGACGCTGGCTCACTAGACTGCAGGTCGTGGATTCGATCTCGGTACTGGCCGAGAAGGTTTATCGGCATTGTTTCTCCTTGTCGGTGGTGCAAGATGGGGGGGGGGGGCTGACAGCTATCGAGGTCCCGTGTACACATTGGCGTGCGCGTGAAAGATCCCTTGAAATTTCCCTCATATAGCACAGTCACACTGCAATGGCGTATGCATGTTTTCATTAACCAATAGTAAGACGTTAAACCATATTTGATTTCATTTCAGATTATTAGACCACGCTGTTTGATCATTAGGCTTATTAAATGACATCGGGAATTTTAAACAAACTTCTCTGTGTTTCGACCTTTATTTAAAAATTGTCGTAACTTTACATTCGGCAAGTTAAAACGTTTAACACAGTTAAAACATCATCAAAATGGATTTTTATCAACTAACGTATTATGTATTCGCAATACATTTGCACGACTGGGAAAAATATTTTAACTTTGATAGAGTCAACTATTGGTGATTGTTGCCGATCGAGCAGAACAAGTAGATAAAACTGCTATGACTTCAATGTGATTTTGATAATTATACATGCAAAACATCTTTGCATTGAATATATCTAAAATAAACAAACTTACTGAAATTCTTGATAAACACAGCTTAACGTTCACACACTCTTGTCAGATACACTATTTTAGTGTGACGACATCGGAAGGCGAGGACGTAAAATCTATCCATTTTGATCTTTCTCTATTGGTCTGTCTGTTCGTCAATGATGCATCCTATCGAAATCTGCATTCCACGACCTCTCGTTTCAACACGGAATGGAGGCTCAAAATTTGGCATCGCCCAAGGGTGCACCACTGGAATGTAGTTCCGGAGTAATGTATTGCCCCAGACCCACGTGATTTTTTTTATGAACATTGGGGAGTTGTTCAGGAATAGTTGGTATTGCGATATTTGAAATTGTAATTCCAGAGAGATGTTCAGATTTACACAATTTAGATTGTGACCATTACAGGTCACCGATCTTAACAACAGCTGGTGTATTGGAAAACAGGAGTCTCAAGAGTCGTATTACAGCTCGATTGACGAAGCTCCTGGTGGCCAGTGAGTGTACAATAAATCATGTTTTTGGCTTGTGGGCCCTTTAGAGGTCACAATTTCTGTCCGATTATACGTGTGTTTAGATCCAAACGATCTCGTGGTTATTGCCACGAGTTCGAATTTCATGAAAATCGGACTGAAATTTTCCGTGAAAATGGTCGCAACTAATTTAAAAGTATGTGATACCAAGGTTGTGGACCCTTTAGTGGTCACAACTTTTATCCCATTTTGACGATTCTTAAAATGTATCCCAGAGATATCAGTTCATGTATATATTGGCGGACCGTAATTTAATATATATAGCTTTTGGGCGCTCTTGGGCATCACAATTTTGATTTTAAAGACCGTTCAAGTATATCACCGTCAATATGACCGCTATCCTTTATGCAAATAGTGTAAAAGCATGTAATACCAAGGCTGTGTAACTTCTTTTTTCGATCAAACTTTAAATTTAAGGATCAAAAGTTCTTGAATGAGTGCGACTTTGGACCTTCAGTGCCGGAGTTGTGCCTCTGCCATTAATGCAAAATTTGCACCAAGTCTGTGAACCCTCTAAGTAAGGCGATAACTTGTATGAGTTTGAACTTACTGCGCAGGGGAACCTTTTGTTCTATAGTTATGGCCCCTGCTTTAACGCAAAATGTTAAACATGTAAGTTTGTGGACCAAAGTACATAAAATTTTTTGACTGATTCGGATATAACTTAACAAACATGTTAAGGATATAAAGATCTTGAATGATTTTGGTGCACCTCAAAATTCAACTTCTAATAATACTACCTATGTTTTTAATTCACATGTAATCATTTAGGCAATACACGTGTATTACACAACAAACAAATTTCTATTTGTGTTTATAACGAACACATTTGAAACACCGTATCGGGGTACTCCCACTGTGCCAGTTTTTAACCCCTGGATTATCCTGGATTATCGGATTTTAATTAACAGCCTTAATTGGCTTAATCAAGTGGGCCAATTTTATGGTGTAGAGAACTGTGTTCAACAGATTATTCGTTCAGCATATGGCATGTAAACTGTGTTCATCTTATTTTATCATGATGATAAGTAATTTTTTGTTAAAACTTACTTAAGTGGTGAACTCCGTTCAGAGGACACTATATATATGGAACCACTGTCATTTGTCAACAACATTGATCTGACAGATATCACAAGATGGCAAACGTTCAAGAAGATGTTAGTTTCATACCAAATGCTCAGGATGGCCAAAATCTGGTGTATAGAGGGCATAAATTTATAAAGATATTTCGTTTTATCCATCTAATCAAGCAAGAACAGGCATTCTTTGCTGTAACCCTGAAACAGCTTGCTGCTGGTGCCTCTAGCAAACCCAGAAAAAGGAAGTACCGGCAGTTGGAAAACAGACTGGTAACAGAAAAGCGGCGACTCCATGAAGGGCATTACACCTTCATCGAGTACGGGGATGCTGTCTCCCATTTAATTGGATTGTAAGATGTATTTTGTTGAAGATGTATTATTATAGGAAAATGTTTGATTAAATAAAATGTTTAAATGATAACTTGTACATTATATGCTTAAAATTTTTTAAATATTGTATTTTAGTATAATAATGTGTAAAAAAAGTAGATTTAAAATGGAATAAAATATTAAATTAAACTGTTAATCCTCTGGTAAACCCTTAATCCTAACTAATCCCCATTGTTGTATCGTTAATTATTTGATTAATCCCTAAACAATAAAACTGGCACAGTGGGAGTAAATCACCGTATCCTACAACATGAGTGTTATATATCATATATATTATTTGTTAATACACAGTAAACTGAAGAATAAGTTTAATCAGTTATTAAGCTTATTCGCCTGGCTAAGTATATATAAAAAATATTTAAATTCTGCAAAATAAAAACACGGTGAGTCAGACGGCATACAATTGTAGACAGAGACAGGTCACAGACACATAGAAAGACTCAAACTAAATAAAGAAAAACACAGCCATGAATACCAGCGCATACCCGAAATGGGATATCATGTGGTTTTTATAGCAATATCGTAGTGTGCCGTTCAAAGTTTCGAGACACACTTAGTAGTCCGGAGGCTGAAGGGGGGGGGGGGCAATCGCCACCCCAGCTGTGAATTTATGAGACCAAGTTTTTCTAGACCATTTTTTTGCGTAGATTCCGAATCTGGATGGTGATCAGGCGTTTGAGGGGGCGTTTTTGAGATGGGGGGGGGGCAGGGGCATCATAAACACTTATTTAGAGATGGATTATAGGAAGATTTCGCGGCACACTCGTTGAGAATCACTGCCTTAGTTGGTAATACTCAGTAAACTGGATAATATTAAACAATGTATATTTTGATCATTGTTCATTGTCCCCAATATACACAAGTTCCCTACAACTATGCAATAGCCATGGTCGATAAGGACACTATTTCTAAAACCGTGCCTTTACCAGCATGTGTATAACGATAAATCTCGAATCAGTTTTAACCGATATTTTTCAAATGTTGTTGTTTGTCACAAATTTAACGCCAATACCTTATGCATGATATTATGGACAGGTTTATTGAATTAAGATCATTGACATAATATGAAGGAGTAATAAAAAGATAGGTTGCCAGGCAACAAAACATACGCCCACAGCAGCTAAATCGCCCGTGCGGTCGACAAGGGTTGTCGCAAATTTATTCTTTTGTAGGTAATTAGGGGCATTTAAAGGGCCAATCCCGATAATATTTTGGAGAATAAAAATGCTTAATTTTGTGTTAAAATCCCTTAAAATCCTCTACCTTAGGGCCGAGAAACTAACTCAAGTTATCTGGAAATGGAAACCGGTGCCCCACCCTGTATAATGCAGTGTCTGGATAAAACCAGACTTTTGTTTTATAAAAATAATGTGTAGGTGAAATTTATCTTTCGTTATCAAGTACAGCACATGGGTCATTCATTGTATAGACTTTTGTTTAATAAAAATAATGTGTAGGTGAAATTTATCTTTCGTTATCAAGTACAGCACATGGGTCATTCATTGTATAGACCTCTAAAGGAACGGGAATGGATTATCAGGTCACTCAACGAACAATTTGACCTGAAATCTTAAAAGGGTTACGTGTCCGGATAAGCAGTTTTGACATTCACGTCCAAACGACTCAATATTTTGAGCCGAAAGTTTGAGACAAGGTAAATACACCATTCCTCTATATTTTGGCGTTTAAATTTCATACGTACTCAGATTTTTATTTTTGAGACTCTGTTTAAATCGGGATAGTCCCTTTAATAGACAATTTCATACAGATGACATTATAATTTTCGTCGTTTGAGGGTTCACATAGTTCTAAAAACTAAAATAAGGGCCATGACACTGGAAGTAATCTACAGAAATTGTTGAACTTCGACAGGCTTTTTCGTTTTACTAATTCAAAATCTAATGGAAGAGGTTCAGAGTGCTGACAGGAAGTTTCATAGCACCGAGACTGCTATTGTTCGGGTACACAATGATATCAACATGAGTTTAGATCGCCGTGAATGTGTGCTTCTAGTTCTCTTAGATTTATCCGCGGCTTTGACACTGTAGACCACGATATCTTGCTTCACATGCTACAATCTGATTTTGGTGTTACTGAAAACGCTCTGAGTCTGTTACGCTCTTATGTTACTAACCGTTCACAAAGTGTTGTAGTGAACGGATGATACACAGTTGTGCATTTCGTTTAAACCTATCAAAAGTGACTTCGATATTTCCAAGCGGAGTATTGAAACTTGTATTGCGGATATTAAAATCTAGATCAACAACAATGTTTTGAAACTTAATGCAGATAAGACTGAGTATTTGGTTATTGGGTGGTCTTACAACAGGAAAATGTTGAACTTTAATCTGTCAATACAAGCAGGAGATAGCTGCATTATTCCTTCTCAATCAGCCCGAAATATTGGTGTAATTTTTAACTCAAATTTTTCTTTGGAAAATCACATAAACAATATATGCAAAATAAGTTATTTTAATTTAAGAAACATAGCTAAAATACGTCAATATATGTCAGTGGATGCCACAAAAACACTAATAAATTCATTAGTTACTTCGCGTATTGATTCTTTTAATTCTGTCCTGTACGGTGCACACCTCAAACATCTTGAAAAACTGCAAAAATTACAAAACTCAGCTGCTCGCCTTATTTCTGGAACAGTATATAGGGATCATATTACACCTATTCTATATAAACTACACTGGCTTCCTATTATTTTCAGAATTGAATATAAGATTTTATTATTAGTTTTTAAATGTATAAATAACATGGCACCTATTTATCTTAGTAATCTTTTATGTTTTTATGAACCTCGTCGACAATTAAGGTCTTCCGGTGACAATCTGCTACTTATTGAGAAAAAAGCTAATCTCGTCAGTCTCGGCGAGAAGGCTTTTGGGGTAGCTGCCCCCAAACTATAGTATAAATTTCCTCATTCCATTCGGTCATGTACTTCTCTGTCATCATTTAAGATTTCTCTAAAAACCCACTTGTTTAATAGGGCTTTTAATTAATCATCTCTGTGATAATTATATCTATATTTTATACATTACTTCCTTTTACTCAACTTTTAGGTATATTATTTCACTTTTTTATGTTTTAATCTTATTTTTGTTTTGTCAATCATATTATCTTTATTGTAAAGCGTCATTGAGCACCTTTCTTTTGTGAAAATGACCTATACTATATAAACGCTTATAAATAAATAAATAAATAAATAATAATAATAATAACACTAGATGTAATTAACGGAAATTGCTGAAATTCAGTAGGATTCTTTTTGTTTTACTAATTTAAATGATGCATATAAATTTCATACAGATCGGTTGATAACTTTTGTCGTTAGAGCGTTTACAAGGTGCAACAAAGTGAAACAAGGGCAATAACTCCAGAAGAAATTAACGGAAGTTATTGAAATTAACTAGGCTTCTTCATCTCACTAATGCAAACAACATATATCAATTTCAAAACAATCAGATTGAGTGTTCAAAAGAAATTGTGGACGACGGACGGAATGACCGACAGACAGACGGACGGACCAACGGACGGACGGACGGGGGTGACGGCAATATACGACCACATTTCCATGTGGGCGTATAAAAAGGGTAAAAATATTTAAAAATATAGTACTCCCCAACTCTTAAGAAATACCACCAGGTGGCACTGTTCACATTTCGATTACTCTCACAAAACCTGTGTCAAAATTTTCTTTAGTATTCCCAATGACAGTATTGTAAATCCATATGAGTACTCATTTTTTGGGATTAACCCACTGCTGTGTCGATCAATGGTCGCCATTGTCATAAATGCATATCTTAGTACACATCTTCAGTACAAACACTATATCAAACTGTTTCTTGCGACCACTTGGGGAAATATAAATCCTATATGTTACAGTTATATAAAATACAACGAAATTTCTTACTACCATCTTTCTACATTACCTTTGTACGATCATACAAGTATGTATTTCTTTATGTACTTCAATTTTCAAAACTATGTCTTTGCATCATTAATATCTCTGTATTGCTTTATCTACATCGTTTATGTCTATTTCAATGTTTAAACCATCAACCTTTTTGGGCCAAGTCCTCACTGCAAATCCAGTTATTGACGCCAAAAGGAAAAGGGCAGCTGGAATAGAGAGAACATACCATGGTTACAAAAGTCCGCTACTTGCATTACCGGTTTCAAGGTCTGACCCAGTCACCGGCTTAACACTGTCCTTGAACACTGATACACTTCGCAGTGTTTAGTTTGATTAGACCATTGATTCTGAAATATGTTATTGGGTCCAGTCGTGTTCGTTGAGTACTGTATTGTGTATTATGCATGCCTAGTTTTATCAGATTGCATCCACTGATTCCAGAGTTATGTCCCCTTGGTCGATAACCTTGTAATCACGACATAGGCTAGACGTTTCAACATACTTTTGTTTAGAAGTTAGCGTGGCACATTATTAAGAGGAAGAACCCACCTTTGCCGAAAACATCTGAACATGACACAGCCTCCAGTTTTTAACGGATTTGGTGCGAAGGATTAGGCTTTTGAGACGACGAATCCTATCGAAATTCAGCCTTCCGTGGCCTTCCGTTCCAGAGCCATCCCCCATTTTTCGAAAACCTTGTAAGCACGCAAAATAATGCAATACAATAGCAACAAATAAAAGCAATACATTAATTTATCGTTTGAGAAACAGAATCCTTTCAAGGCCATATTTGAAATACTGAATCCCTTTCAAACTACAATATTGTGAAACTTGAACTTCAAAAGGGAATATTTGTTCAAAAATGGCTCAGTTCCCTTTATTATTTACAAGATACGATGAACTGCACACGATATAAATAAAATATGGTCAAAACGGACATAAACCAAATAGCCAAAATTCACTTACGGACATAAACCAAACGGCCAAAATTCACTTACGGACATAAACCAAACGGCCAAAATTCACTTTAGACAAAATATTAAAGAACACATATTTAACTGATAGTTTCCTAACCTATATAAACAATCAAGGGCAACCTACAATTTTAGCTCAAATACGTGAACAGTCCAAATGGAAAGGCAGCAGTTTAGGCCTTCTTGGTCCAGTCTACACATTTTGTATTATTATTATTCTGTTGTTTGTGAATAAGACGTTACTAATTACTTCAGCATTGTCTTGTACTAAGTTGTAGGATATATTTTTCTTTGTTCATTACAAATGCTCACTGTGTCTTAAATATTGGATATCAGAAATCCATATTTTTACAGTAAGATAACAACATCAATATGGATTGGAATGGATCAATATTGTCCAATATTGAATTCTAATTTGTGTTTTTAATTCTAATGTAATGGAGAGAGAGAGAGAGAGAGAGAGAGAGAGAGGGAGAGAGAGAGGGGGGGTTAAAGTCCACTCGACACAAACTAGGTAATTTCGGGACTAACATATTGTTCAATTTTATTTCAATAATTCGCTTGCGCGTAGGGAGGTTGGGCAGGCGACCCCACTCCTTGTCAAATACAACCGGGAAATCGAAACCTCACCAGTTGACTCAATGACAGACCTTTAGATACAGCGCGCACGCGCTAACCACTTAGCCGTCCACCCCATCCTCCCTCTAATATAATGGAGAATATGGAATAAGAGATTCATCTTCCTCTATGCATAAATTAATCAGTAAAACAATGGACAGTGTCCAAAAAATGAAAATGATGATCACCGGCTTTGAGGAATATCTATATCTTGATATAAATACAATCAAATTAAATATAGATTCGTAACTGACCTGTAAAAGCAAATGCGTAGTAATAATCACCAAATTCCAGCACAAACATTTCTAGGGAAAAACAGAAATCAATTCATATCATAAATATATGACAATCAAATTCTACACCGCTCTGCTTAACCGGGTCAGAAAATGTGCATTGTTGAACTTTGTTAAGAAATTGATGATGTGAACCATTACGCCCAATCCCCCTCAAATAGAAGCAGAGATTGGATGATAAAGGTTATTATTAGAACGTTCAAGAGATTCTACACCGTGAAACATGGGGCATAACTCTTAACAGTATTTAACGGGAATTTTGACTAATAATGCATATAAATTAAATACAGGCCCTATCTCTAACAGTAATTCAATAGGATTCTTCATGTCGCTAATTTAAATAATGCCGACCAATTTCATACAGTTTGGATGATAACGGTTGTCGTTAGAGAATCCAGATATTTTTACAAAGGTACCTGCAATAGGTGGACCGATAAGGTATCCTCCACCACACACCATCATGGAAATTCCTAGAGCAGCGGACACATCATATAATCCTACGATATCCACTAACAGTGTATAATGTAAAGCCCAACAAGCTCCCAGATAAAATCCAAACAGTGATGTATAGATGAATTTACTCCCTAAAGTTGTCATGTATTTTAAAAACACGGTGATTACACAAATTATTCCGAATGTACTACCATAAACTAGAGCAGTGTCCACTAATGTGACCAGAAATCCCAATAAAACTCGAGATAATATACCAGTAATTCCGGCCAAAGATAAAACCAAAGCTGCTTCCTGAGGCGAGGACCCAGAATGAACAAAGTAATCCGGGAGAAATAGATAAACTGTTGATTGAGCCATATTGAAGGACACCGAACTAATCAAAAATAAGAAGAAAGGTGCTGATTTACAAAATCTTAATCTATCCCGCCATTTACGTTTGTCAGGTTCATTACAAGGTGTTGAAACGTTGTTTAAATTTTTATCGCAGCATAATTTTCTATTTGTGCGTACTTCATATTCCGTGGGCCTCATTAAAGCACCACATACCGACGCTTGGAAACCCAGAGCCCCAAGTAGTAAAAACGCCCCATCTAAACCATAGGTCTCAATCAGAAATTGTGATAGTGGGGGAAAGACGAAAGTGCATAATCCACATCCACTTAATGCTACGCCAGATGCCATGCCGGTCTTCTCTTTAAAATAATATCCAAGACTAATCAATGTTCCCGAATAACACATAGCTTGACCAATTCCTGAAATTATAAAGTCTGTTTTAATATTGTTATAGTCTTACTCAAGTCTTTTAACTGTTTGAGTTTTATATTTAATGTGACGACATATATGATCAAATTCTAGTTAACATGCGTTATTGCTATGCCCATATCTTATCAAATATCATTATACAATTATGTTAATCTTACGTTTGTGTATTATGTTCGATATTATGATGCTTTCCCCTTTATTTGACTGGTTTAGGGCTAGCACATGGTTAAAACGATACAGCCTGTTTTTCAGAACCATGAAAAGCATGGATGTTTGGGTGATTTTTCACACGCATTTGGCACCCGTCATAGAGCAAACTCTACATAGGTTAAACTTTATAGCATTTACTGCCCCACCGTCATCAACCAACAGAACCAAAGAAAGATTCAGATATTTCGGACTAGAGTCATCCACTAATTGATTTTTTTACACCAACTGGTTTACTGATTAATGCGGTGTTGATATATAACTCTTACAATAAAATCACAAATATCTGAACAACCCGGTAAATTAATGCCACTTATTCGAATTCTTTCTATAAATTTAAACTAAGTCACCTGCAATTAGACTGTAGGTAATAAACAGGTATTTCATGTTTACTACCAAACTGCTTAAAACAAATCCGATTAAAGTAACCAAACCACTCAGCATCACACATACTCTAGCATTAAACGTGCTTACAAGTATACTCCCCGTCCATCCTGAAATAGTAAGGTTAAATTACTTAAGAGTGGGTTTGGCCGGTAAATAGATCGCTATGAAAAAAGTACCAGAATTCACTGCTACGTATTGATGACCCTTTCCGGAAATGATATGTGTTGCTTTAGTGGAACGAGGGCAACAGTTGACCGTTACATTAAAGTGTTATTGGCCAACTGCCTCATTTGACACCTCTACACAAAACAATACATATATTATATAATGATCCCTGGTCAAACACTGTGTGACCAACGATTCAGGGTTCGGGGTTCGATACGCGTAGTATGGTCGTCTGCCGAATCTTGTAAGTTTTCTCAGGGTCCTCCGATGGTCAGTGCTAAATGATAAGGCCAGCTCAATTGTTCGTCATAGGTCACGATATGTAAATAGGGCTAGCGCTAACCTTATTTGCATCTCAGCGACCTTGACAAAAATTGAGCTGGTCTTAACAAATAGTTCTAACCGTCTTCCGATATCCTCCCGCTGCACACAAGCGAATTAGTGGAATATAACTGTACCACGTGTTGGTCCCGAAATTACCTTGTTTGTGTAGTGCCGTGTAGCAGGTCAGTGCCACAATTAATTTGGAATCATTTATGACCATATTCTGTCATCTGGAACTTAATCATAAGCCTAAGTTGTTCACATGACAAGATATTATACAAAGATAGTTTGCCGAGCAACGAAACATGCGAGCGACCACAGTATTTTCAAAGTCACGGACCATAACTCTGGCAAGATTTATTGGAAAACGTTCAAAAGGCTTCTTTGTCTCATGACCTTAAAGTAGCTAAGTCTCTAACTCAATATCATCCAAAATCTTCGACATTGAAAACACGATTTATTTGCCGGTTTAAATCAACATTGATGTTGTGATTTTACCGGGAAAAGATGGATTTCTGATATCCAATATTTAAGACAAAATAAACATTTTACAATTGGTACACGAATCGTGTACCATCATGCGTTTCAGCGCTATTTGTAATAAGGGACTCGAAAAACAAGGTTAGGCATATTCCACAAGTCATGTCAAACGGTGACGCTATATTCTTATCTGGAGAGCAAGCCCAATAAATAATATCCGCGTAGACTATAATAACCAGACGCTAGAGATTAAAATTCGATCGAGAATACTGGCGTATTTCGCCGAACCTAACTGATTAAAAATTACAGTAAAAACAGAAACGATTGGATGTAAATCATTTTATATACATTCATATTACATTATTGTATGCGTGGCGACCCATTTGTGTCAATTTCTAGGTCCCAAATATTAGCGACTTAGCTCCTTTAAAAACTATGTATACAATGCAAGTTAATCTGACCACAGCAGACAACGTGCCAATTATTCATTTTATTACATGTATTTTTCTCGGATGAAAAGGGCACATAAAACCTACGAATTCTGCCAGACGGTGCAGTAAGAACAATACCGCATTCATACCGCGCACAGTTCCATGCTAGTATGCATGCTCACGGCGCTACAAAGTCTAGGTCCCATAATAGACCGTAAATATATTAATTTATCTCAAGATTTTCTGTTTATACACCTACCTGTCAATAGTCGCACAGTATTTTGGGTTTAGTGATTGGAAACTTTGCGACAAAAATGCTGTGTAAAGACTGCGAAAAATTCTCCCATAGTTTGCATGGAATCAACTCCATTTTTTTATATAAACAATATTTAACTGAAAGGATTGGGGAACAGGACAAGGCCTATATCACCCCTCTCCAAACAAAGTTATAACATATTTACATTGTAATAAGTGTTACATTTATAAATAAGTAAATGAGTAAAGTAAAGTACCCTATCATAAGTTTTATGAATTAATAATTCAATAATATGTACATGTATTGCTACCCTGTTATTATAATAAATATTACATAAATTAAAATTGATAATTAACATTATGGATTCAATTAATTAAAACGTTTCGAATATTCAATAAACCTATGCACCTGTTTAAAAATAGTAATATTTTCAGCATCTGAGAGTTCATTATTGCCAAAGAGTAAAGTAGTAATGTTAATGTTGGATTGGGTTACGCAATGAATCGTATTCTGTCTGATATCTGAATGTAAGGGGCAAATGAGAAAAAAGTGATAGACGCCTTCGAAATGATGTCCACAAGAACAAAAAGGCGAATCGGAGATATGGCGAATTAAGAATGAATAATTTGAAACTTACGTTTGCCGATAAAATAATAGGAAGGAACGGAGTTGTCAAATTTACATAGTTGTTTTTTAAATGTAGATAGAGATTTTGATGTTTTGATAGATGAATCTAAATTGTTCCAGAGTCTAGTTGCGTAAGGGAAATAAGAGTTGTAGTATAACGTTGTCCTACAATAGAATTCGGGAACATTATCTAATCTTAATGAATATCTTTGTGGTTTGTTTTTTAAGATGCTGGATAGGTATTCGGGAGTTTGAAGGTTTATTATTTTAAAAAACATTGCTAGTTTGTGTCGTTTGCGCCGCTCTTTGAGAGTTATAGTACCCGTATCTTTATAAATTAATGTATGGCTGGTTCCCTTCACAGCGCCACATATGGTGCGCAGTGCGTCTAAGTGAAGTTTTTTCTAGTTGGTTAGATAACTGATCAGTACACACGTCCCAGATAATGTCTGCATAATCAAAATGAGGTAAGATAAACGAGGAGTAGATAGTGTGAAGAGATTTTCTATTTAGACGATATTTGAAGGATCTAAAACAATTAATAAGTTTACTAACTTTCTTGCAAATGCCTGTTTAACTTACCCGCCAAAGCAAACATACAGGAGAAAAGTGCTCCCAGCCATGATATCGTCGTCACTTCCTCCTCTGGGAATCTTTCTAATAAAGCTATATGAAGAACGCCAGCAGAATAGTTCAGCGAAGAGTTAAAAAACAGTGCAAGAAAAGATGCTGCCAACACAACCCACGCCCATGGTTTTATTTTACTCATAATAAGCTGTGAGTTATTCTGGAAACCACATAATTTGGTGAAATTTTTATTCGTCTAGTCTTTCACTAAGAGTTTGGTCTCAGCAAGATCATATTCTCTTTTACATTCTGAAAAGGTTTAAAATGAGGTAGACGATAGTCTATTAATTACCACTATATAAACCGATAGAGCATAACAAATAAGCAATACAATAGATATAATAAGATGTGAGTTAATCTGGAAACCACCTAATTTGTCCAACCACTATATAAATCGATAGAGCATAATAAATAAGGACTGAAATAGAATATAATAAGCTGTGCGTTATTCTGGAAACCACTTTATTTGTTTAGGTTTTGTCTCGGCAAGATCATAATCTCTTATAATCTCTTAAATTATGAAAAGTTTTGAAATGAGGTATAACAAAGTGTACTACGACTATAAAATAAAAGACAGCATAATAAATAAGCAAAGGAAAAGATCTAGTTACACACCATCACAAACCGTACATAGAGCGATCTCAGGAAAAGCAAAGATATAGACAAGCCAACAGTGAGGCTGATGTCCCCCGCCGAAATCCTCAAATAAATAGATGACACATATTAATTAATCGCACATCTATTTTTTTCAAAAGTATCGAGCAATCAAACTGATTATCAACTATACACTAAGTTTCATCACTCTCTATCAGATGGAATCAAAGTTATCTTGTCCCAAAGCATCGACCAAGGAAATTGCTTATCTCTGCTTAGCTTTAGCTCGATATGTTAATCATTGAATTCGGTCAAGACGAACATCAACATCAAGTTAGAAGCAGAGTTGTTATGTTCCAAAGTCTTGACCAATCAAAATGCTTATTGCTCCTTAGCCTAAGCAGACAATTATCATCATCGAACTTAGGTAAGGTATTGATGTAATGAAACTATACACCAAGTTTCATCACTCTCACTTAATTAGAACTAAAGTTATCATGTCCCAAAGCACCAACCAATCAAATTGCTTATCTCTACTTACCATAAGCAGAAAATGCCCATCTTCGCACTCTATCAAGGCATTGACCTCATAAACACCTACACCAAGTTTGAACATTCTAGCTCAATTAGAAGGAGAGTTATTGTGTTCCAAAGTCTCGGCCAATCAAATTGCTTATCGTTCTGCTTACCCTCAGCAGAAAATGCTCAATATCGAACTTAGTCAAGGTATTGATGTAATGAAACTATACACCAAGTTTCATCACTCTCACTTAATTAGAACTAAAGTTATCGTGTCCCAAAGCATCAACCAATCAAATCGCTTATCTCTGCTTATCCTAAGCAGAAAATGCTCATCTTCGAACTCCATCAAGGCATTGACCTAATAAACACCTACGCCAAGTTTGAACATTCTAGGTCAATTAGAAGGAGAGTTATTGTGTCCCAAAAAGTGTGACGGACAGACAGACAGACAGACTAACCCATTTTAATAGTCCCCTGCTTTCTTCGAAAGGCGGGGGACAATAAAGTTGGGACAACTGTGAAGCCAGAAAATTCATATGACGTCAAGTGCAAAGCCCTGTATAGGGAAAGTTACGCACAACTCCACATTCTCCACGCAAGTCTCGCTATCCAGCATTCGATAGTGTGGACTGCAAGGGAAGACAACTCTGTTTTGGGAGATTGACAACTCATTACAGGCGTCATTTTGGGTCCCAACTATGACGCCACAAAAACTATGACGTCATATAGCTTTACTTAAAGATGGGTTCCCGCGTACAAACTGGGTGATTTAATGGTAGGCCTATATATGGACCAAAAACATATTCAAACTAATTAATTTGTCATAATTATGCTTCAAATCCTTCTCAAACATTATAATTGCGAAGGAATGCCCTGCTATTAAAATTCGATCAAACCAGGTCATGTTTACGTCACGTCTTGGGAGTTAGAGGAGAATTCATTGCATACATAAGACGATGTTGTCTTTAATCGCTTACTATTTATTACAAATATCGAATCCTAATTAAATTCTCGGATTATCCACAACCCGCGTCTTTTTCCGTCATTTTTATCTCAGAAAGTATTGTACGTCTAACTCTTCATAAAGTTTATCAACTTGTACATCAAACGCTCAATGTTCGCTTGTGACCTTTGACATTACGCGTGCAGAAGTTCCTAATCGTCGGGCTGTTGATTAGGGGAACCCTTACATTTTTGTCCTGTATACGCTCCATGAATGTTTTTCGGGGAATCCAGTATTTTTCTAGTAAGATTGGATATCTCTACTTTCCATATATACCAAAATTGCCATACTTTTATTGGAAATAACCACCCGATAAATACTTTTCTGGGAACCCATCTTTAACAAAACGTTTTAAGTTATCCTAAAAAAATTGCAAAAGAAACCAATGCAGTTTGGTTCAATGATAATATGTCAGACGAAATAATACTCAAAATCGGCCATGGCAAAATTACATGATTATCATAATTCAATTTGACGTTCTTCAGGAATTATCGAGAGCGCTATATCGTAATCAGTGTCTTTCAGTGGTGGTAGGATAAATAATTTATTTTTAAATTCCTCAAACACAGAGTGGTTATGCAAGCGAAGTGTGTCGAAAAATCGATGGCGGACATTTCTTTCAAAATGACTGCCAAATTTAAGAAAAAATTAAAAAACCCCATTAATTTGGTAATAAAAGGGCAGCGATAATCTCAAAAATTTAATTTCGAGAATTCTTGATGGTAGAAATTCAAAATGGTGGAATTTTCATTAACTGTCATTTCTTTCCGTTGGGTATGACTTGTAATATGTGGTATATCAATCCCGAAATGACATAGTTGCTCTTAAATGAATATATTGTTAAAGCGCTTTAAACATCTAGATGCAATAGACAAGGTGTAGAAAATTCAAGCTACATTGAAATGTTGGCAATAAAGATCGAATCATAGTCTTTAGTTATACACTGTTAACCACCCGTAGATGTTATAAATCACATAATTTATTCAGCTCGACGCAAGATTTAAAATGAATAGATGCGGTTCGTTTAACTTGAATGTAGATATTATATCATGCATACCTAGGACCTTTCGGTTGAATCATATCATAGGAATATCTTATTTGCATAGTTTTACGTGTTCTATTGTTCCATTTAGTAATTAATTTCCTTGTTTCACTTGACTAAACAAAACATTTTGTAGGAATGTAGGCTTTTATAGATTAAACAAAAGCTGATAAATGTTGAGATGTGTGGAACATGCTCGAGGCGATTTGTAACAAATCTCAGGCACGATATACTCTTCAAAAAAAGTAGGGGATATTAAAATGCAAATACCTATGCAGGTTGTAATATGATAAATAGTCATGGACACTAGACATAAGAACTTATCGCCCCAACAGAACCACTGAGCGGCACATGCAATAGCGCCATACACGTGGGTTCATTGTCAAATTTGACACTTCAAGGAAGGGTTGATGAAAACTGCCGCGTGCTGGTTTATCTATCCATGTTTGCTTTCCTAGCGGTTCTTGCACAAAATTTACTGTTTAGCGTATCTTGCTTTAGTGTATTACGTTTAATTTGATCGTCAACGTCAACCGACAACACTGCAAGAATTAGCCGTCGCACTGCAAGAGGAGTGGGTCAGATTGCCCCAAATCGTGACTGGATGGTTGATTAGGAGTATGCCACGACGAATTGCGGAATGCCTGAGGATTGGTGTATCTATTTGCGAGTGTAATGGGATCGTCAGATAAGCCGCCCATATGAAATATTTATATTCATGCGTAGGGAATTGGCCTGTTATTAACATACACTGGTTCCTCTAATAAAAACAGCAGTGCATTTCCGCAGTTTTGTATTGTTTCTGAATATCCCCTACTTTTTTTGAAGAGTATATATTTGATACTAGTTGAGCATCAGAACAACATGATTATTTCACTGGAAATGGGAGGCAAATACCCAAAGGTGTCGGACAAACTCTAAAGCAACTGCGTCTCCTTCACTAGGCCCCTTCGATGTATGTCTACCTGTGGAATAACATGTACATTATTTGTATCTGTTAAATTTGTGAGGTTTATATATTAGATTAATATTATTATTTACTATTGGGCGGGGAGAGATAACGTCTTACCCCAAACAAATTGCAAAAGACACCAGGAAGTTTCATTTGGGGTAAGACGTCATCACTCCCCGCCCAGTTGGTTTTGAGTTTGTCCGACTCCTTTTAGACCAGGAGCACAGAGGGTTGAGCCTAGACAAACGCGGTACCACTATATGACCATATAGGCATCCACATACTAATCTGGGATGTTTAGAAATGGGCGTCTGTCGGGGTCCTTTCCCTGGGTGTGGGCCTGGTGACCCCTAGAATGACCCCCCAAAATGGGTTAAACTCATACATTCGAGGTACCGGTCGAAATCAATTTTAAATATAAGAGTACATCTTACTGAGTTCGAAATTGCCCATAGCAGACGGTTTTGGCCATGGGACGGCCGAAATTGACACCCTAAATAAGTCCCTGCAATGACCCAAACTGACACCCCAAAGCCGAGGTGTGTGTGTGGGGGGGGGGGGCAAGAAAAGGTTATACTCATATATTTGAGGTACCGGTCAAAACCAATTTTAAATGGAAGAGTACATCTCACTGAGTACGAAACTTTTTTCCCCTTGATTCGCCTTGAATTTTAATGTAGGTGCAGTTGGGCTGGCAGAAAAGTTCTAAGCCTTTCTTTGAAAGACCTGTACAAAGTCGATGGTTTTCTACATAGTCCCATTCGAGGAAGAAATTTTCTTAAGCAACCCTAAAAAAAATTCTTTCACAGCTGACATGGCGTCATCATTACTAGGAAAATGACGACCGGCAAGTTCCTTTTTGAAATCGGGTCTCATCCATGGTTACAAATCTGGCCAAAAAATTATCAGGATCTGCTTCAAAACGGCGCAGATTGTCACGGGACGTCGGGAATCTGACACGTTTCTGATACACAGTCAAGAGCTTTGGCACCCATCTTGCAGAAACTTTTGTCATTCCTAACTCGTAGGCGATAATGTGCTCAACCCGCTCATGAGAGGTGCCCACAACACTGGCAATATGTCGAGTGGTCAATCTTCGACAGCCATGTCATGCACCCGGCTAATGTTTTCTTGAA